TTTTTTTTTTTCCCCCCCCCCCCCCCCCGTGGATTAGGGCTCATGGCGATACCACGTTAAAAAAAGCGCGCCTAAAGCTCTACCTCCAGGAGCAGTACCGTATCATTTACCTGATCGGACTATCCTAAGGTGGTGTGGAAACGAGCTTTTCAAAAATTGTTTCCCCGTTCCTTTTACGATTTGTGCTTTATACTGCCGTGCTGAGGAAAAACGCCGTATGAATATTCGAGAGGTGCCAAAATGTCCTCCGATAAAACGTTTAGTAAAGAAGAAAGTTATGAATATTTTTCCTTGACATTTTCAGGAACTTTAGGTGAAATTGCGAACAAAATTATCTGAAAATTTGGGAGAAAAATATTTCAACATTTTCCCAAAAATTCGTGATATCGCGGAGGAAATTTGGCAACGCCTGAGGGTTTATACGGCGTTCTTCCTTAGCACGGCAGTATAGCTTCTGGCTGACGTCAAAACCTGAGAATCTTTTTATTGAACCATACGAAACTGAAATTTTCAGGTGAGAGCAACACGAACCTGAAGAAGTGTTAATTTTCTTTTTTACACAGAGAGCAGAAATTAAATACCTGGTAACTGCCATCAGGTGCCTATAATGGGGCATCAGTTTCTAATAGACCAAATTTAGAGAAAATTTCCTGATGGAAATCCAATGAAAACGGGACACTTCACGCTGAGGAGCAACATTATGTCTTTTCGAGAATGATCGGCTCAATTCCAGTTATCATCATTGAGTACGGAGTCGTAATGTGAATGCAAGAGCTGGCGCCATGTTCTGCTCGACGAGTTCCGAGCCTAGAGCGGTGTGCGCCAAGCTTCGGTCACATTTTCGATACATTTTTTATCCAAAATGGCGGTTTGGAATACGTGGTAATTCTTATCTTCTTTGTTTACATCGGATGGCCGGGTACCCATGTCCCATGTATCGAAAGCAATCCATCTTGTATCGGAAAACTTACCCGGCGTCATACAGGAGTCTCGGAATTCGGGACCTGGAAAATGCTTGAAAGTGGCGCCAGCCCTCCCACTTACATTACGACTCTAAGTACTCCTCAACATCGGAGATATACTTCGAATGTCACACCATTACGCACAAGTGCCGATAGGTCAGTTATCTATACTTTCTCTGCCAAATATACAGCATGTTTGAAAGTGTAAACTACCAACCCGCACGTTCACCATCGCGCGGAGTCAGGCACGTTCTACTAACCTCTCTGTGTCAGGTGGCAACACCTCATACCTAAAATTCTCTGCTTGACGCAATTTCAATCGATAAATTACGTACAATTTTTCATACTACCGAGGCAACTACTGCAATCCTTAAAGGCTTTTTTCCAGGTAGCTTGTTCTTTTTTCTTCTTCTTCTTCTTCTTCTTCTTCTCCTTCTTCTTCTTCTTCCTCTTCCTCTTCCTCTTCCTCTTCTTCTTCTTCTTCTTCTTCTTTTTCTTCTTCTTCCTCTTCCTCTTCCTCTTCCTCTTCCTCTTCCTCTTCCTCTTCCTCTTCCTCTTCCTCTTCCTCTTCCTCTTCCTCTTCCTCTTCCTCTTCCTCTTCCTCTTCCTCTTCTTCTCCTTCTTCTTCTTCACACCCTGGTAAAAATTGGCGATAGGAGCTGCGTTTCAAAATACCATAGGAGTTCTTATAGCCGACTAAAGATGGCTATTGAAAATCATATAGCTGACTGTAGAAAGCGGAGCAAATCATACAGCCGGGCTATACGAAGCTATAAAAAATTATACAGTCGGGCTATGGTTCCTATCGCCGGGTTTTACGTTTTATCGCCATTGGCTATAAAAGGCTATAAGAAATTGTGTAGAAATTCGTGTGCTTTGGAAATCATTAAGTTTGATACGGAACTACCTTAATATTTACAAAACGCACATTATATTTTCCTTTAAAACACATTTTTTTTCATCAATTAAAATGAGAATAGTCCATACAGAGTGAGCAAACATTTCAAAATCATGAGTTGAAAAACGCTGACTCCGCGAGATTAAACATTAGAGTCTAACACAAAGCGGAGCGGCGACGCACTGGCGCCTACAAACCTAACAGGGATACTTCACGCATTGCGCGATGCGTGAGGTATCCCTGTTAGGTTTGTAGGCGCCAATGCGCGTTTCGTGCTCACTACCCGCCCGCCTCGCCGCAGCGTGCCACGGCGTCTGAAGCAACCATTTCACACCAGAGGTATTGCACAGTATCATAAGAGATTGAAGGCGCTCCAACATATTAAGAATGACAAGCATCCTTCAAAAGTGCGGAGCTTTCCTCGCAAAATAAATCAAGATACTACGGCACAAAAAGAGAGCGGTAGTCCAAAAACTAACTAAGTCCTAGTATCCGTAATTAGTAACGTTTAGCATAAACTTTATGGTCTGGCTGTTGCTTAATCGCCATCGGCTATGAAAGGCTATAAGAAATTGTACAGCCGGCTACAGAAGATATTGGAAATCTTACAGCCGGCTTTAGGTCTATAGTATTCTGGAACACACATTCTACTGCCAATTTTTACCAGGGCAGGAAACTAAGTCTGCCTTGTAATTTTGTTAGTAGGGGTAAAAATCAGGGCGTCATACGTTGCATATTTTTCCCGCCAGAAAATGAAAAATGGCTATTAAGAAACGTGAGATACAGTTGAACTTACTGGATCGCATTTAGCAAAATGGAACCAGCGAAATTACAATGTTGTTAAAATGTTGTTTTTTGATAATTATCTAGAAACATCTCCCAAAATAGCAAATAGTTTTTGCATCCCATCCAAAAAATCGTCAATTTCAAAGGAAATTAATCGTGTTAATCGTGTACATTTTACCATTGTGCATATTTTTAGTATGTTTAAAAGAAAAACAGAATTTGCACGATTTTGAAAACACTGTAATCACGCTGATTCCTTTTTGCTAAATGCAGTCCAACCCTGATTGAATGCATTCAATTATGTTGGCAGAGTTCAAGACAAATAAGTTTTGTCAACAGTGTAAGAGCAGTGCAATGGAAGATGTGTCATTTTGATTGGCATTAGGCTACGATACGCTACTGAAGATAACAAATCTTTTTCCTCCTTTTAAAAGTATTTAACCCTATACTACGACGACTAATTTTCATGAACAGTTTGTACAATAGTCGCGGATAAACATACAGCAGCGGCGCAACTTTGCACCGCCTGGATGGAACTAAACCTCCTGGACGGATGTCCGTGTTGCATATTCAAGCAACTGAAGGCGCTTTGAGTTTTGCATTGTTCCTCAGCCGACGAAAGTTACCCGGCGCAACTTTGCGGTTGTTTGTGACGCAAGGATGCAATTAAACCTCCTCGTTAGATGTCCATAAGATCCACATATTTCAATTCGCGACGTTGCAGAACTCCTGGTCATTTTTCATTTTTTCTTTGGAAAACTAGTCAATTTTTTGAAAACTTCCCTGATTTTTTCTCTGCTACCGGAATGTTCTGTGTACATTTCGAGCTAAAAATCTGGCTTATTTCTCTTCGAAAAAAATGAAATAGGAGCGGGAATTTTAAAACTGCGCAATGGGATACGTGAATTTACACGTTCGCCGTCGATATATAAAAATAACAGTGGCGTGGCGTAAATGATCGATTATCGATATCTCGCCATTTGAAGCTATGGTAAAGAATCGATTACTAAGGTGTTCGCTGTGAACACCCTGATAATCGATCTTTTTCATAGGTTTGAGTAGCGTTTCAATCGATGTATTGCAAAGCACGTCACGCCACTGAAAAATAACTGAAGGTGCACGGGAGCAACTCAGTGGCGTGGCTTGCTTTGCGATGTATCGATTGATCTGCCATTTGAACCTATGGAAATAGATCGATAAACAGGGTGTTCGTGACGAATACCTTAATGATCGATTCTTTACTATAGCTTCAAATGGGGAAGTATCGATAGTCGATTGTTCACGCCACGCCACTGGAGCAGAACTCAACGCAGCACAACCTTGCGGGTTGTTTTCATCGCTCGGACTAAACCGCTAACCACTAAACCACCTCGACGGACGTCCGTGTTGCATACACAAACAACTGGAGTCGCTCTGGGTTTTGCTAATTTCACAGCCACCGACAGAAGCAACACGTTCATGACGTTTTCGTTAAATATTTAAGAGTTTTGGGTTGAATCTATTATTAAAGAGGACGAGCAATGTGGTGCTTTTGTTCCCACCCTCACTACCATCTTCAATCCCTACCATCGGTTCAACGCATGGTCAATCGGATATATTTCCTTTTTTTTATTTAGATTTACCCGAGAAATGCACATTTAAAATTTAACATATTACAGTAATTCATCCTCCATAAGCCGAAGATTTTCTGGGGGAACTACGTGCCTTCAGAAAATACTATATCCGGTAACTGCTTTTAAATATACAGAAACAACGAAAAACAGACAAAAGCGTTTGGTATTCGGACGCTCGCTGAAAGAAAGAGCGCAAATTTAAATTTGGCGCGAAAACAACTGCGGCGCGTTGACACTAGCGAACTCTATAGATTTTGTGAAGTATTCATTCATAAACCAATACATTGCTAATTTTTTAGGTTATCTCAATCTGGATCTGGGAATCATTAAATAAGAATTACTTTCATCCTATAGTATAGTTTGTTCTACAATTACTACACGTGCGTATGTTTTTGCCGAAGTTTAACTGAATATTCTGTATCAATAACCGTCACTCACTAAATCAACTCTGCTACACCATTTAAGTGAGTATTCACTGGATCTACACCAGCTATCATCTTTTGTGTTTTATGATTGAATTTTTTATTTTAATATTTTATTTGGGTTTAAATAATGCAGCAGTACTAACATTTGACCGGAATCTATCATGGAATTGCAACTGAACACATTACAGATGCCCTCATAAAGGCTGAGCGTACGAAACGTTGTCACTGACGACGAGTGAATCAGAACTGAGGAAAGAAAAGATTAGACAAATGTCACATGATGAAATGGCACCATTCAGCATAAATTTATGTACTAACAAGTAGACTGACTGATGATTGATGTGTTCAGGTTGATTTGACTTTTGTCCCAAGGCGGATGAAGAATGGTGGTCACATTTCGTACCCTCTGGACATCACACGGTATCGGGTATATGCCGGCCGCGGCCGGGGGGAGGTGGCTCAATCTCAAATTGCATGGCTAAACCCGTACCCTCTTGACGTCACAACGCTTGAAGATGGCAGCCAAAATCCGAATGCGACCACCATTCTTTATCCGCCTTGCTTCTGTCCAATCTTTTCTCTCCCCAGCGGGGCGATTATTGAAATGACATAGAGTCGATATCATTTCAATAATCGCCCCGCAGTTGAATAGTCCCTTACACGAGCTGAGGTAAGCAAGATCTGCGTCCATGAGTGCATATCATCTTATCTGAATCATTTCTTTGTACCGAAAGATCTCAATGCATTCCTTCAAAAATCATCAAGAAGATCTGAAATTCACATTTTCACATCCACGTGAATTATCTTTTCCCAGCTTTCCAAGATGTTTGGCAGCCAAATTTTCATACCAGTTCGGTTTTCATACCACCCTATTCATTTCAACAAAAAAAGGACAGATGCTATCCACAAATTAACACGTTTGCGATGTGTTGACAACAGTGAAATTGGAAAACAAGCTATGGCGGAGGGGAAACCACCGAAATGTATTCATATCTATAACAGACGAGGAATCGGGATGATAGGTAAGCAACAAACCAGTATTATCTAACATTGTTTATTTAGCTGTTGTGTGAGGCCTGCTTTTCATTTTCAGTGATGACAGTCATAGGATACCTTGCATATCGCACTGATAGTTAACAGCTATGGTAATAATAACATCTTTAGACATTGAGGAACTCCACTTTTTTTTCAGGAAACTTTCTTCCGCAAAATGCAATCAGTCATTAACTGGAACCTCAATTTTACTAGTTTTAGTGAGATTCTGCTTAACAAGTAATTGAAAAGGTTACAATAATGTGTTGTTGCAGCAACACATTTGCAACCACTTGCTGGACAGGTTCTACCCTACTTAATTCATTGAAATTAAGTTGTGAGAAGTTGTTAAGTTGTCGAATCTTAACCCTCCATGACATGAGAAAACATTGGATCTCTGATTCTGGGGGACACTAATATATTTTGTACCTAGCTTGCATAAGGAATATAGAGGACCAAATTTTTTTTCAAAATTTTAAATTCTTGGGAACTGTTATTCAAAAAAAGGAAACTCGGCTTTATGAAAATTTGCAAAATCATGCCACAGAAGAAAGATTCAATTTTTGAAAAACTCAGAAATACGTTGCTACAAATTTATAAAGCTATGCCATAGATAGATAGTTTTAATGTGTTTGAAAGCTCAGCTCTGCAACTTGGTAAGTATGAATTTTTAGTAAACCAAAAAAAGCTGAACATTATTTAGACATGGTTGTTACAGTCATCGAAAACTGAGAAATGTCAGTGAATGGTGGGAAACGTCAGGGGAAAATAATCGCATCACCTTCATTTGCTCTCTAGAATATTTTGGACACTCTGAACAACAAATTTTGCTTGTTAGAGTGTGGAATCGGCAATATTTAACCATCCCTCGAATAAAATGTCAGGTAATTTCTCCAAAATTTTAGAGAATTTCATTTTCTGAAATCCAAGCCAACCCTTTAAATTGTTAGTGAGATTTCCTTTTCCGCACATTCCGCTCCAAATCTCAGTACCTACTCAGAAATGGAGCCATAAAAAGACTATGTCTGTCAAGTTTTTTGATTAAATTTTGTGGATTCTAGATTCAGTTTCATCTTCAGTTAAATATCTATACTTGTTTTTTTTATTTTTTGTAGGTGATAAAATTTTAGTCACTATCAAAGGAGAAATGAAGAAAGGGATAGTGGTTGGCACTAAAAAAGTTGACCAAGTGAATATTCCTGCATTTGACTCGAATAATGTAGTACTCATTGATGATAATGGATCACCGCTTGGCACTAGAATACACGCTCCAATACCTGTTTATTTAAGAACTATCCTAAAGGAAAAAACCTTCCACAAAGGAGCTGATTACACAAAAATTCTTTCCATAGCCTCAAGGTTTGTGTGAGGGACATTTCTTAGATTTATTTATGTAATTACTAGTTTTAAAGATTATGAACCTTTTTTGTTATTAAAAATAATTTTTAAAAATTTGTTTTGTATGAGATGGAAAATACACAAATAAACCCAGAAATTGAATCATCAGACTGACTTTTCGAAAACGCTACCTCAGAATTCCAGGTCAGATGTTTTGTTGTCATGTTTGTCCACTTAATCATGAGCATAAAATTTTCAAGTTTTGAAAGATTTTTTTTTTTTTTTTTTTTTTTAGAATAGGACGGAAATTATCGGTGGATATCTCTATCGCCCTTGTTAAGGTTTTGAAAGATGAATTTCATGGTTAAGTAGAAACCAGGTACTGAGTGAACTGGAAACTAGATTATCCTTAGTTTTAGAATTGAACATTTATTGGAAGAGATATGATAAAAAATACCTAGCGATCCAATCTGCTACAACACATGTAGTGTATAATGCCACCTAATGATGGTGCAAGTCTGATTATAGTCTCCTTATTCTATGTCACGAGGTAGTAGATTTTCTTACTTTTAAATCTATTTTTCAATTCTTCGACAATTTCCTTCATCAACAAGGAAATTTAAAAAATGCTTCAATCGCAGCTCCTTAAGCTGTTGCAGATGAAGCAATAACATTTTTTTGTGCGATTCCTTCATTGTGCAATGATAAGGCAAATTCAAAAACTCAAAATGGTTTTTCAGATTTAGTGGTAATCCACCATCTCTGATTTTTTTTTTGACATTTGGTCAAAGTAAAACTTTAAATGCTATTTTGTGGGAGGGGGAGGGGTTTGGGCTTGTGTATGATATTTTATGGTCTAGATAACATTTTCGGTACTGGGGGCACATTTTGGAACTGAAAGTCTTACCTCTAATGAAACTTTGATAGATACCTGGAGTAAATGTCAAATTTTAAATAGAAAATAAATTTTAGAGGAATTAATTTTAAATTTTAAAAAGTAAGTTTAGAGGAATGACCTAGCACTTTCTGAAGTACAGATTTATTTAGTCCTATAAATCGACGGTGAAAGTCGGCAATCACATAACTCGGTTTGCGACGTCGCAGACTTCCTGTCATACTTTATTTTTTAAATGGAAAACTACTCAACGGCAATTCTTTAAAACTGTCATGATTTTTCTTCTCAATGCGAAGAAAATTCTGCAAAAACTTCAAGAAATAATATCAATTTGTTCTCCTTTAAAAAAATGACGTAGAGGCGGAGATTTTCAGACACCGCAAACGAGTTATGTGATTGCCGACTTTCACCGTCGAAATGTACCATAAATTCAAGATCTAACAATTTTAATGTGTTAAGTCCTAAAATTGAAAACATACAGTAAGATATAATTAGTGGCATTAGTTTTATCACATGTATATCATGGAGGAAGAAAATCACTTACCTTTATCGAAAATAAAAAATTAGCCCAAAATCAATAGCCAAAAGCCCTATTTAAAAAAAAAAAGAAAAAAAAAAAAGAAAAACTACACGATATAACGAGGGGTGATAGAACTGCATCGTGGATACATATTGAAAGCATGCACCTTTATTTTTTCCCTTTTGAGGTCGTCGAAACGCCGTTTTGAATTTCGCGGGTTCTCCGCGAGAACAGTCTTCGAAGTTGCCAGATTGGTTGGTTCGGTTTATTTTATTCCTCATTTTAAACGACCGGAATTTTACGGCAAATTTCGAACCAGACATTTTGATTGGACAAGACCGGTTCATTCCGTAAGTTCCGAGTTCACTGCAAAACTGCGGGAAATTCAAATTAAAGCGGATATCCGCCTCATTAAATCCATTTCCGGTTATTGTGCTGCCCTCTGGTAGTGGTTTAGTTAAACAGCAACGAAGTTTGTTTATATAATAAATTTCTGCTGATAAGGATGATAAGATAGAAATCGAAAGTAGAGTAGAGCACATGTGGGATAGCGAAAGCTTGATCACGTCATTCAAGTTTGTTGCTTGCGTGTTTTTTAATTGTTGAATTAGCTATCAGTTATCGGCCTCGTGCGAGATGTGAGTTGAGCTTGCAGCTTTCTTATCACGTGTGTATAACCTCTTGTTGTCTCAAAGCGGTCTGCTGACAATCTTTAAATTGAAAACAAGGGAATTCAAAAACAGGTGTTTTCCTCCCTAGTGATCGTGTATTTTCTCCTACTTCCAACCACAGTTTCACCATGATTGTTGTCAACAAGTCGTACTCACTACTCCGCAAAAAAGTAAGTCAGAATTTTTAAGATTTCGATTCAGGGACTCTGAGGACTCGCCACTTTGTCTTGTCTCCCCTAAACCTCCGAATCACCCAAAGGGCTCTCAGGTAGTTAGTCCCAGTTATTCTAAGGTATTCTACATTGCAGGAAACTTGAAGAAAACCTATTAAATGAAGACCAATGGCTTTTTAACGACAAAGGAAAACCCAGAAATTTTGTGTTGCTGTGCCGCATAATTTTGTTTCCTTAACGTTTAAGGTTGTAAGGAGCGAATTCAGAATTGCAAAGAAAGGTCCACGCTTGTGCATGCACCATCTGCATTCCTCAGCACTTGCACCTTGTGTATGGCAGTGCTTTCAAAATGTATTTATTTAAAGAAAAACAACTGCACCCTTTCAAGTGAATTTTAAAATGATTAACTTTCATACAAGGACTTTCTTTTCTGGAAAAAAGGTCACTCAAAGTTTTGAGTAGTAAGCATACTATTGCTGTGTATTTGCCCAAAAAATAATTGTCTGTTAGTCTACCATAGGTACCTGTAAAATGGTGTGTAATTTTTTCCCCCAGATGTACCTAATTGTTGAAACTGAAGAAGACAGCCGGAAGAAATCTTCTCTTTGCAGGAATTTGTTTCTATTATGCCTCATACCAATTTATGTGGCCCTCACTGCATAGTGTCAAAGTTAGGTATATTACTTTACACTGGGTCATTTTGGTAGCGATGACAAATAATATTCATCTTATTTTTAGAGACTTTTTCAAATCAATTTCTATTATATAATTTACATTTGATTCCCTCATCAAGGAAAGAGGAGGATTATCAAATGATGTCATGTTGCAGTACAGACTAAGTATTCCATTTCTTGATGCATTCCTCATCTCTTCTGGATTAGTATCCCGATCAGGTCAACATTACCTATTTGCCCATAAAATTGCTCGATCATTCTCCTAATACACTCTGGTGTGGCGTTTCATTATACGGAGCTTACTTAAGTGCAGTTATAGTCTGAATATTTAATGGGTGAGCACTGTACATCAGGGGGTCAAAGATCAAATGAAACAAAAGGCAATTTGAATAATAAAGGGAAGTACATATTGAATCTTTTTCCTAATTCTCTCGGACAGCTGTTTTTTTAAAAAAAAATTACTGTGATATCTTTTGTAATTTTTCCATCTACTTTGCCTTTTGAGATTGTAAATTTTTCATTCCTCAAGGGAGGGGTTAGGACAGTAGTTGTGAATTTTGGCTGGAAAATGTGTTTTACTGTTGCTGTAATTCTGATATTTCTTTTTAGGAGCATTTCCGGGGCTCCTGTCACATGGAACAATCCTCGTAGTCTCTTCCTGCACCTATTCTTGTATATCAAAAACTTCAGAACTCAAATTCTTAAAAAAATACCTGGAGGGGGAGGGGTTGTTCTCATTGTAAGCAACACTGTGGAGTTCAATCGATGTTGAGATGGCTAAATTCTCAGCAGCCATATGGAATCAACAATCAGGCCCACCACAAGGGGGGGGATACTGGGTCCCTAGTACCGGGGCCCGTGCCGCAGGTGACAAACCACTACGAATTCACGTATTACCCTTGTCTCGTAAGATAAAGTGAAGAATTTACCCTAAAAATTTCTCAAAAGGTGCAACAAAAACAGGGTGCAGGGTGCATGTGGTGCAGGGTTTCTCAAAAGGAATAACTTTTCAAAAACACACTGGGACATACTTTCGAATTCTTCTTATTTCTGTAAAGATGCATAATTTAGTAACATTTCTATCTATTTTCAAGATTTTCAGTATAGAATGATATTTTTAGTATAAATGCGTTTCATTTTCTTCCGTCGTCGGATGCTGAGAGTTTCCAGTCTGGGCATCCTAGACTTCAATGGCTCAACTCCCTTGCCATAGATGTATGAAAGGGGAGTCCTGGGGGACCTGCCCCCCCTCCTCCCAGAATTGAAAATAATATCAACTGCCCCCCCCCCCAAAAAAAAAAAAAATTTCAGATGTTTCGAATGCAACAATTCGGAAGTATTTTGTGCTGAAAGTAAATAAAAAAAGGCGTAATTATTCTGCAGAAATTGATAGAAAATCTCCATTATGGGATTTTCAAAATGCGTCCAAATAGGTTTAAAATTTGAAAAATTTCCCAGGGGAGGCCTCTTGGACACCCCCCCCCCTCCTGTGCTGGGGGCCCGAGCCTTAAGACTAGTACTAGGGCCCGAGATGGGATATGGCGGGCCTGTCAACAATTATTCAATTAATTATAAAACTGTAAAAAATTACTCTTTCAATGACGTGCCTGTGAAAATTATTTAACCACCACTGATAATTTAAATTGTATTTTGCAGGCCCTGAAAGACCTGTGTGATGTCTCTTTCAAGCAAAATCGCGGTGTTTCAACGCACAAACTATACATCGATGGAAAAACTGTCGAGTCTCAGGCCACCGAATGGGTTGATTTGCATGATCCAGCCACTAATAAGGTATCGTTTTGGGCGAAAAATTGCTAATATTACACTGCTAGAATTTTAGTTTCATGAGAATTGGTCCAACATTTGTTCAAGTTTTAGAACAGAAGTATCCGTCTAGGGCCGTGCTGCCTGGGCCCTGGTTCACTCAACCTTTGAGTAAAATTTGGCTTGCCCAACGAGCTGTATTTTTTGGTTGAGAACATTTTCAGCAGGAGTGACAAAACTAAGTAGACACTTTAGTGAATTAGGGGAGGTGACGTAAGTGATCCAATGTTGAGGAGACACCTCCTCTCTTCTACCACTCCTAAACGTCAAATTAATCAAATTGTGGAGTCCCTCTAAGTTTATGCAAGAGACATTTCCTTAAAATCCCCCCTTAATTACTTTATCAAATTCTTGGAAAGGAGGAGCGATCTCTAATTTTAAAGAGCACATGAACATTTCCCTCCCTTTCTTCAGACTAAGAAGTTCTCACTTGCAATTCTATAAAAGCTCCATACTTTTCTGCTACTCTTCTTATACTCATAATAAGAAACACATTATCTGATCGGGTACCCTATGCATTGTATACAACAGAGTTTCTTTTATTATTTATTGCATTTTGAAAGCATTTAAGTTTTCTCTTCCCACCAATCTCGGAAGGTCCTCTTTACCCGGATCTCTCGTCATGTCAAATCTTTTCCTGAAGCTTTCAATCTGTAGTAATTTACCCATTAAAACTCAAATTCATTCAATTATATTTTTGTAGGTGGTTACGAGAGTTCCAATTTCAACGCAATCCGAAATGGAAGCTGCTGTCGCATCGGCCAAGGCAGCCTACAAATCCTGGTCCCGAACATCCATCATGTCTAGACAACAAATTCTTTTCAAATTTCAAGAAATAATTAGGAAAAATATGGTAAGGAGGCGGTGATAAAAATTGTTCCTCCTCAAATTACTTTGACTTTCAAGCTACAAAAAATTAGACTTAGCAGTATTGAGAGAGAATAAGGAACTTCTCTCCCTACTTATCAGCTTTTTTTTCTTCTTTTTTTTTTTTAAATAAAAATTAAGCTGGATCATATGATCTCTAATTCAAAATTTATTTATTTTAAGTTTCCTTGAACTCCTCATTTTTATGTAAATTTTCAATGGAAAACTGAAGATAAAAAACTATTTAAATTCTCTGGGTCTTATTCAGTTTGAATTTTTTTTTTTCTAAAACGGTCGGATTTCTGAATTTAATGAACCTGTGCCAAAAGCCAAGTTCTAGGATTTCCAAATTCCAATCCTGACGTTACCCCAGAATGGTTGGAAGCCTTCATACCAGAAAATAGTATCAACAAAATTCACGTTCATCTTTCTGGAAGGTAATGAATGAAGTAGGTCTTGGTTGCAACCATGAATAAATCTCTTTACCTCACAATTTAAGATTGAAGAAAAATGGGGCAAAGGAAATATCCAACATTAGAATTAGAATTCTTTGGGGGCTCAACATTTTATTGAAAAATGATGGGAAAATCTGTTTTTCACCACTTTTTGTTTGAGCTTATAATTTAAGGTAAAAAAAAAAAAAAAAAAAAAAAAGGAAAAACATCATCTTTTATCAAATGATTCCTTCATTTCAGAAAGAACTGGCAGCAAACATTACTCTAGAACAAGGGAAAACTCTAGCGGATGCAGAAGGGGATGTTTTACGTGGCTTACGTGAGTAGCTACTCTTATTATCCCCCGCTTACATACGGATATCTGTCAAAGAATTAGATCAAACCAATCTTTCCCATTCAAAATATCTTCTTCAGAACATTTGCACACTGTCTGAATAATTATGTAGAAAAATTACAACTTATTCGCTTGTGAAAATATGAATGTATGAATCTCCAGGTTTATTTATCAAAGTGCTCAGCTGAAGAGGTTGTAAGATAAAGTAGTTTCGGTTTACATTTAGGAGTGTGTGTGAGAAGTGGAGCTACATGCTGTGTGAGAGGTTTCAGACAGTAATTGGGTGATTTATGACAGTTCAAGCTGCCAGACCCAATTGACTCTAATCAGTGATATCCCTGTCTTCCTCTCCTGAAGTTGGTCTCTCTTCATATCCCCAAACTCAACTCCCACCATCAAGAGAATATCTACAACTGTTCGATGTCTCTTAGATCTGTCAAACCCCTGCCTCCATCTTCTTTTTCATTATTCCAGTTGCAGCCCTGAATATGGATCCAATAACGCTCCTCGAGAGCACAGGATTTGCGACTCAGCTACAAAGGTTTCAGTGTTAAATTTTGCAAGCCATGCAACAGGGCAGTGTTTCTTGACAGTGAACAAAGTGATAGTAGCTATTGCCAAATTTCGTCAGGCAATTTATTTTTATCAAGGGAAGGGGTGTATTGATGCTCTTCAAAATTTCAGAGGACTTCCTCAGTTGCCTAAAGCGAATTCCCTGATGCACTTTAGCAATAGCTGATAGCACTTATTGTCAGTTCACTTTCAGAAATACCATCCAATACTTTATTTATTTTTTTTTTTTTTTTTAAAAAAGAATTAACTTGAGCACATAAAAAAACTCCTGAATTTAATGTTGTATTGCAAAGGTTGACTGTAAGAGAGTCTAGCTCCTCATTCAGTCCGATCATTAACGCAAAGATAGGGCTGAGTATATTAATGAGGTTGCCAGTTTGTTTGGTGAAAAAAAATTTTATGGACCATTGATTTCTCCCATAAATGTATGGCCAAGATCATCAAGGAAAGAGCGTTTTCAGACCTAGAAAAAATCTGTGAGGCTCGGACATTTTACTTGAGCTGTAGTGTGAGACCTTTTCTATGTGCCGTGGATCAACGCAGCCCCAAAATCAACTTGAAAGTGAGAAATTAGCTATATCTCTCAGAAGAGGATCTGTAAATCCAAGCTTCTGGCTTGCGAAAAAACCTGAATCAACTTGCGGCAAATTAGCCATTAAAATCAAACTAATCTGTGCAGCAGTTAATTGAGTTTTGATTTGAAATAAAAATAATCTGATTGCAAAGCCTACCAAAGCAAATTTAGTGCCCAACTCTGCTCAAGTAGACATTTGCTCCGTGGTGGGTAGGAATTTTAAATTGGAGAGCACAAAAAAATGTGCTGATTTTACTCTTGTAAGTTTAATACATAAATTTTTTGTGTGTCTACCGTGTTTGATGTGAAATGTTGATGAAAAAATATGTACTGAGGAGCTCTATTTCTTAGTATGTCAGGTGTCACACGGTACCCTCTGAAATTAAACGAAATTTCGGCTATTTTTTAACGTTGAAAGTTGATGTTGAAGATCTTAACTTGTGGGCTGCAAAAAATTCAATATGTGACTTCATTTTGATAATATGCCTATCATTTTTGTTGTTTTTACCAGAGGTTGTGGAACATTGCTGTGGCATTCCATCTCACTTTCTGGGTCATACTTTAGCCGGTGTCGCGAAAGACCTTGATATTCACTCGTACAGAGTACCTTTGGGTGTTACTGCTGGGATCACTCCATTCAACTTCCCTGCAATGATACCTCTTTGGATGTTCCCAGTTGCGTTAGCTTGTGGTAATACTCATGTTATCAAGGTATGTGGGGGTCGCTATCGATTTTTCTTTCATATTTAGAGGGGACTTTGATTTATGAAGCCCTATCTATCAGCGGGCCGATTATTGAAATTTTTAGACAAAGAAGACACAAGGAGTATAAGGCAATCCTATTGGTTGAAATCTGTGGTTCTTATCGACTAAGGGGGTAAATGATGGACTAACTATTGAGTTTCTCGTGGGTTGTCGTTAGTTAGTCTATTACCTACGTCCTTTGACCATTGCAACCACCCGCTTCCACCAATAGGATCCCTCCATGTCCTTTTTGTCTTCTTTGTCTATTGCTTTGTCTATCAATTTCAATAATCAGCCTGCTGGACAGTTCAAAGAAATGGCCTCTCTACTCTTGTAATAGATTTTATTCAATGTTTGATGCAATTTTCAATCAAGCATTGCTGTATTAAAAGCGTAAACAAATTGCGAACAGGATTATACTTAAGTCTGAAAAGACGAGGGGATATTGCTCTTTCTACCTCTTGCCCTAAATGGAGAACGAGTGTTGGCGGAATACCGCCCTTTTCAGCAAAAGAATAACGTAATCTTTAAAATCAAGCTGGATGGCCACATATTCTCAGAAAATGTACTAGTTCTTCCTAATTTCTATTAACAAATAAAAATAAAAAAAAAATTTATTTGCAAAAAATTGCATTCACCATTCAGGAAATTTTGTCATGAAAGGTTAAAAATTGCGTGTGAAAGACTCATGATAATACAGATGGATTTGCCTTGAGGGTTAGGGGACAGTCACTCCCTAAACTTTGGCCGCAAGGGCCCCACCGATGCCCCTTTTGGCTTTAGGAGGCCCACAAGGCATTTCAAGAAATCTTACAGAACCTCTCAGGGCCTCTCTTGATTCCCCCCCCCTTTTTTATCAGGAGATGTTTCCAATCGTTTTTTTGGTAAGGCTTGCCTCCCTGAATATTCTAAATCAGTCTGCCCCTGTGTGTTAAAGACCCAAGAAAAATTAAACCGATAGTTAAATCTTCCTTCTTTCTTCCTCATCGGATAAGTAAGCCAATTTATGTGTCAAATTTTACAGCCTTCAGAAAGAAACCCCGGTGCGTGTATGATGTTAGTAGAAATGTTGACTGAAGCTGGTGCCCCACCAGGTGTTGTGAATGTCATTCACGGAACTCACGACTCCGTCAATTTCATCTGCCGCCATCCAGACATCCAAGCAATATCATTTGTCGGATCTGATCAGGCTGTGAGATTCCACCTTTTTTACTTATTTATTTTTCCATTACAAATGATTCATTACAAATTCAAATGTGGTATTTGGTTTCAGTGATTCAAAGTACATATTTCACATCTTAGGATCTTTAAAGGTTTTTCGTTTTCTGTGAAAGCAAATTTAATAATCTCAAATACTTAATAATTTTAATACTTTGATTAAGGAGATTCGATGGACGCCATATTTTGTGTCAGAACGGCACGCGATATATCGCATCAATTGGTCCCATTTTTTTAGCTACTCGTCATTTTTCTCCAATTTTGAGATCGCAACTCTGTTGTCAGGAGACTAAAGCACTCACTTACCAATTTTAACAAATAAATTGGACGTATTTCTATCAAACGGACCTAAGCGCCATAGGGTGAGGAAGGTAGAGGGGGGCTTGGATTGGCGGCGGAATCGGGCGTCCGGCCTATTCCGTCCTATACTCGCAATGCTTTTCCATGGTGCTTAGGTCCGTTTGACAGAACGCGCTATCCGGGATTCTAAATTCCTCAAAAGGAACTCAAATTGGCGCTTAGTTCCGTTTGATAGAAATACGTCCAATTCAACGTAATAAAGGCGTGGTTTTTTTAGAGAGAAAACATCGCATTTGATACTGATATCGAAACTGCACTCGAATGCTATATTTTCTCTCTAAAAAAACCACGCCTTTATTACGTTGAATTTCTTTGTTAAAATTGGTAAGTGAGTGCTTTAGTCTCCTGACAACAGAATGGCGATCTCAAAACTGGAGAAAAATGAAGAGTAGCTGAAAAAATGGAACCAATTGATGCGATATATCGCATGCCGTTCTGACACAAAATATGGAGTCCATCGAATCACCTTAAGGGTATGCCATCTCTAAAACGAGGTGCCAATAAGAAAGGTAAAAAACGAGAATTCTAAGCTTCTTGGCGTAGAAACTGTGTTCAAAAATACATCCGATTTTTTATTCTTTTTCAAGGTATCTCATCAAAATTTTTAATTCATCTTTTACAGGGCAAGTATATATACAAAGAGGGTAGCGCTCATGGAAAGCGAGTACAAAGCAACATGGGGGCCAAAAATCACGGAGTTGTTCTTCCAGACGCTAACAAAGAGGACACACTAAACCAGTTGGTCGGAGCCGCTTTTGGTGCTGCGGGCCAGCGATGTATGGCCTTGAGCACTGCCATATTTGTCGGCGAAGCTAAAAATTGGATCACTGATCTTAAGATCAGAGCAGAAAAACTGAAAGTCAATGCGGGTAAGTTATATATCGGCAGTGAATCTGCAGAAATTTGCAAAAAACACTGCAAACGGATTTCCCGTTTGCAGTGTTTCAAAATCCCTGCTCCTATTTTATTCTATCAAATGGAAACAAACCAACTCCATTGTTTGAAATGCTCGTGAATTATACTTCATGTAGAAGAGAATAATCACAGAAATTTTCAAGAAATAACTTTGCGTATTTTTCCATTTCAAAAATAAAGTATGACAGGAAGTCTGCAACGTTGCAAACCGAGGTGCACATTCCTGCAGTTTTACCATTGATATATGTACTGTCACCAACTCTTTCTACAGGGCAGGGTTAAAAAATATTTTATTTCCTGTACTCACAGCTCCATTTAATTGTTTCTTACAGGCGCCATGCATTGTTGATGTATAGCAACATAGGAAGAAAAGTAGTGCAAAAAGGAACAGAACATAAATAGATACATTTTAAATCAATGAAAAAAAAGAAGTTTTTGTAAAGGGTCATTTCTAGTTCTTTTTTATGATAGAATTCTTATGATTTAATTTTCATCGGATGATTTTTAATTACTAGTTTTTCTAGTGTAAGGAATTTTTCTTGAAATCTAAACAAAGCCTTTATTTCCCACTATTTTCTTTGAATTCGTCCAAGAGACAATCCATGAACATATATCCCATGAGAGAGTATAGTGATACTAATGAATTGCAACTGCTCCTAGATGAATCTAATAAAAGAATTCCCCCTACCCTAAAATCTGTGGCTCATTCCAAGCTGATCTTCAAGTTGATTGAAAGAATACAAAAGTTTAGAAGACTGGAAATTGTATCTTACCTACCTAGCATTTTATGTTAGTTGGCTTAAAGGTCAAAGGACAGTAATGGACTCTCCGAGTTCAGCCTCTTAAGGTTTGCACCTTTCGTCTCTTCTTTCCATTTGGGCAAAATCCTCTCTTTTGGTTCCTTATATCTTATTTATCTAAGTTTACCTTAAGCTTTATTATTGCCTGTCCAACTATTTTGTCTTCAATGCCAACAAATCAATACAGTAAACCTCGGATTACCCGAACCCTGGTTTATCCAAACTGATTTTTGGGAGGACAATTTTTTTTTATGCGTTTTTGCGTTGAAGTTGGTTGAAGCTCTGTAACAGATTGGAAAAATAAGCGTGCTAAGCTAGAAAAATATGTCAGCCAACAAAAACCTGGGAGCTCTAGGAAAAGTATGAAGAAAGGCTCCTATGCTGAAGTTGAAGCCACTCTATTTTTGTGGCATTCGCAAGCCAGAGCACAGGGCTCCGGATTATCCGAACCGGCCGACCACCACATTAGTTCGGATAATCCGAGGTTTATTGTATCAGTGAAATATGCCAATTGTTTTCACAAGTGTCAGGAGTTTTACAAAGACTCCTCAATTATTATATCTTCAGATTCGGAGGTCTCAATTTCAGTTTCTGCCGAATCAATTTCCTCTATTGTTGTCCCCTCAATTACTGTTTCTTCAAGCATAGGCTCCTCTATTATTGTTTCTTTGACTTTGGCGTGCAAGACATCTGTCTCATTTAGTTCTATCTCTTTGATATCCATTTCTTCAATCGTTCTTTGTTCTATTTCAGCCGCCTCAATATCCACTTTTCCCACTTCCTCTTCTTCAGTATCCGTGGCTGGATCTATCTCCTCGATTACCACTTCCTCATTAATGTCTTCTTTAATGGCAGGTTTTTTCAACACATCCATAGTCTATTACATTGATTTTTTTCAATGAATCAAAATTAATCACAGTTAAGGTATCCTCTTTGATTTTTCTTAACTCTACACTTCTCTCCCGCTATCAGATGGATTCACTTTTATTTGAACACTGTCTGGAAAAATCAGCTAATGAATAAACTTAAAGAACACTTTCAAAGTCAAGCACACTTGAGGAGCTATTTTGAAGGTCTATTTGTTGATGTGTCTCCATGGTAACGGTAAAAGTGCACCATGAACATTTGGAGGTTACAGTGGAAAGTAGCATTTGCCTTGTGCCAATGTTGAAAATACCTTCATGTGAAGCTTTTTGCATACCAATGGTGTAAATCCGCAACCACGTATCTCGGTTTGCGATGTAGCAGACTTCGTTTATACTTCATGTTTCAAATGGAAAACTACTCAATGGCAATTCTTAAGAACCACTGTAACTTTTCTCCTTTGTGGGAACAAAATTTTGCGGAAACTTTAAGTAACGATGTTGATTAGTTCTCCTTACAAAAATAAAATAGCAATGGAGATTTTTAAACACTGCAAATGAGATACATGGTTGCGAAATCACACCGTCAATATGGTTTGATCGTTTGTTCATTAGATAGATCTCTGTCATTTTTTTACTAGTGTCTTATTTAGCTCGTATCCTGTTATTCGAATTAATCTTTCAAAATAGAATCGTATGAATTTATGAAAGATTTTAGAGAAAAGTTAAAGATTCAGGAATCAAAAAAAGCATCTGAAAAAAAATATCATTCTCTACAAGAAAATTAAGTTTTTCTTCAATTACGTTCCTCTAAGATGAAGTTTCTTCCTTTAAAAACCTTTCTTCAGTCTTGCTTTTGTTCGATTTCTATTGTTTTTTGCGCAACATAAGTATGGCACGAGTAACCTAGCACAATCTGTGACTTGTCCAGGTTATTTAGTCTATTACTTTTTTACAATTCATCCATTGGAAATGCAAAGTATTTTGAAGTTTTCAATGTTTGCTTCTAAATTAACAGGTCACGTCCCCGGAACAGACTTGGGTCCAGTCATATCGCCCAAAGCCAAAGAAAGAATTCTAAGTCTAGTCCAATCAGGAGTTGACGAAGGAGCCACATTATTATTAGATGGTCGAGGTATTTCCGTACCTGGTTACGAGCAGGGGAACTTTGTTGGACCCACCATTTTAACTGATGTGAAGGTAAGAACGCAACTTAAATTACAGTTTCTGGATTATCGTTAAAGCATCATTAATTGAAAGGAAGCTATATGTAGGTCTTATAAGTTGTTTAACTTCTTCACACTCTAACTAAACTGCGTAAACAGTGCCAAGCTAAGTTTAAACACTGTTTCAGGTCTAGAAAATTATAATTTGGAAATGATAACTTCTTCCTTTTTCTGCCTGAAGTTTTTTTTTCATTTGGTGAAGATGTAGTTTTCTAATCCTTGCTCGATTTGTAACAATCTGTATTCAGGAACTCTAAAACTGTGGAATAGTTCAATCCTAAAAGTAAAATGTGTATCATACCCGTTCAATGTTGCATTTATAATACAGTCCTGTACAACTCAGTTTTTCAACTGAAAATTCTAGTTTTGAGAATTTAATGATGATGATTGATTCTACTTCTACTTTTGAATGCTGTTTACGTAATTAGGTATGATTCTCTTGCAGCCTAACATGCTCTGCTACAAAGAAGAGATTTTTGGACCAGTTTTAATATGTTTAAATGTTGACACCTTAGATGAAGCCATAGCTATAATTAATGCAAACCCCTACGGAAACGGCACAGCTCTCTTCACCACAAATGGTGCAGCAGCTCGTAAATTCACTTTTGAAGCAGACTGTGGACAGGTAAAATTATTATCTGTATTCTTATGTTTTGTCTCTGCACAGCCTATCATTGGTTTTTAATGCTCAAACGCTACGTAATACTTAAGATTCCTTTTTTTTTAATTTTACTGATCGATGGCTAAATGTGTATCTAAATTTCAATGTTTAAAGATTTCCGATTATGTTCTATTTTCTTTAAGGAAAATTACTAAATGTTTTGTTCCTAGCAATTCTGAGCAACGTTCTTGGAATGCATATAGGGAATATCTAGAAAATACAATAGAAAGTGTTGAGTTTTCCTTAAGAAAGTAATAAATGAGTGGGGAATTACAACATTGCAATCTGCGATACGCATTTTGTTTTTTTCACCGTCAAAATACAAAATATTGATAGGCACAAGCCATAGGCTGTAGCACATGTTAATTGTAAAGCCAATAAAAATTATTTGAGTGATGAAGACAAGAACAGAATAGATTTTGTTTTCTGCAGATTTCCTTCTAATTTTTGGAAGCGCAGTGTTGTCAAGGCCAATTGGCCCCATTCCAGGGTTGAAATCAGCCCCCCCCCCCTTGGTTTTTCTTAAACTGGCATTTTTTGACAATGAAAGATCTATTTTCAACAACAAAAAAATTGGTTTTAGTCGGTCATCAAATCTCTTTAATAAGACATACTGCTGCAAGCAACATTCCTCTAAAATCCAGAATAAATTTTCTTAATCTCTTTCTCCTCAGGTTGGTATTAATGTTCCTATCCCAGTGCCCTTATCAATGTTCTCTTTTACGGGATCTAGAGGTTCGTTCCGAGGAGACACTCACTTCTATGGTCAGCAGGTCAGTGAAAATTTATACAGTTTTGTTCCTTTTTCTTCAGTTTCTAACATTTACCTTAGTTCCGTGTAGTAAAAATTATTGCTCACCCATTGTTATAAAATTTAATGTTAGACCTAACAGTATGAAGAAAAAAACACTAAGAAGTGGCCTGAACTGTATGTAACAAGGTGGAGAAATGGTGCTAGGTCCACACCATTTCGCGGGGAAAACAAAGCCAAGAAGTTCCAAAAATTATAATTAGAGTCAAAATTAAATTTTTGAACTCTAATGTGTACCAGTACGAAACTTCGAAACTCTCCACCCTCAGTTTCGTACTTGCACGCATTAGAGTTCAAAAAATTTAATTTTGACTCTACTTATAATTTTTGGAACCTCTTACCTCTTGGCTTTGTTTTCCCAGCGAAATGGTGTGGCCCCAGCACCATGTTTCCACCTTGTTACATAACAGTATGTTTAAGTGAAAAAATAAAATAAAAAAAAACATGTGCGCAAGAAAATGCATACTTTACTGCACCTAACTTATCGTCAATTCATTTAATTTTTGTAAATATCATTATTGATCTATCAAAAACTTTAAACATCGAATATGGATGTTTGATTAGTTCTTTATGAAATTAATGCATCATTGCCTGTAGAATAGAGGAAGATACAATTTCCCTTTTAGGCGCACAACATTTTGTACATCCTATAAGTGCTTTATGCCAAAAAACCCTGTTTATAATAGGAGTACATATCAATTCCTGGAATAAGAGGTAGGAAAAGAAATGTTTTGGAATAATTTCACTTGGGATGGTTCTCGGGTCTAAGCTCTCCAAAATAGAGGTCCCTGCAGTCGTTAGATATGTTTAAAATTCCCCAAATGCAACTTCCCTCGCTCATATTAAATTTTCTCAGTAATTATCTTGTGCATTCTTTGTAAAAATCTGAAAGTAAAATTGTGGGTTCATACTAATTCATTTGTTTTCCCCTCAATTTTTCAGGGTATTGACTTCTACACTGAGACAAAAACTGTCACACAGCTGTGGCGAGAAAAAGATGTAACTCACAGTCAAGCCTCTGTCTCTATGCCCGTCATGCGATGATTATCTTACCTTGAACAAGTAAATTTTACTTGAAGTAAGTACCTATCATATTTTATAGTAAATTTCATCTGTCCTTCCTGTGCTCAGAAATTTAGAGGAAGATTTAGATTAACATTGAGCACTCTGAAAACATTTTTTTGGTTAAGATTTCACAAAACAGGACACCAACTCCTTGCTATAATCATTTAATGCCCAATTAGATCTCACTCAATCCGAATAAAATGTGGCCAAAAGAAAACAAAATAATTGATCTTCCTCCAGTTCTTTACTTACCAGAAAACAGAATATTTCGCTTTGAAATCATTCAGAATTTACTGAAAAGAATTTGTAAAAAGCTTGTAAAATCCAAGTTTACTTTTTGTTTAAGGACTGATTGCTAGGTACTCAATTGTTAATTAATTTTTCTTGCTTTTGCAAAAAATGAGCGAATTTTCTCCAAAATTTGGCGAAAACAAGTCTATGACGGCCATCAGTGTCCAAATGCTTCTCAGTGTTCCAATAAATTGGCCTGGTTTTGAGCATTTGTTTCATTCGCTCTTGTCAAAGGACTGATCAAGTTCCATTCGGTGATTTTTTTAAAAAATTTAAATCTCTTAAATTTTAAGAAAATTAAATGATACATGAACAAGTAGTCGCTGCCACTAGAGTTCCTGGCTTTTAAAGCAATATGCTACACATGCCTCCTACTTCTCTCAATCTATCACTAATTGCTGTTCATTTCACAGGTCATTCCATCACACCAACCAAAATCGTATGCTGAAGGTTCATATGAGAAATTTCCAAACGTTGCTTCCTCCTCTGCAGTGCTCTAAAAATGTCTCCTCAATCGAAGGAAAATTATATTTGTTGTGATTAATTTCTTCCTTTTTTTTAAGTGAAAACATTCCATTTCAAGCGCCATGTTCGACCAGAAAATTTGGTACTTATACCAACCAAAATTTTTACTGCAGACCTCAACGGTATCAAAGCAGGATATTAATATTTAGCTCAAGGCAACTGAAAGAACTGCTTTTCATTTTCCATGCTTTCGCATTCCCTGCTAAGGTTTTTTCTCCATAATAAATTTGCATTGTGCAAGAACGGATTACAAGTTCTGGCTGTCCTTTCAATCAGATATGTATTTCCTCTCTCAGGGAGAAATTTCTCTTAATTTCTAGTGTATCTGCTGTGTCTTCCATTCTTAAAATAAGTAATTAGCCTCATGTTTTGCGTGTTTTGAGTAATTATGTTTTTGTATTGTGGGTTGTATGTATTTTATTACATATTCTGTTTTCTTATTCTAATGTCTTTGCAAAACTCAGACAAATTTTCTGAGCCAAAAGCGTGCTTAATGACTTGCCGAGGCTCTTTGGTTTTAATGGAGGTTTGCCTTTGCTTTGCATGGAATCACAAGCTAATCAAAAATTCACAAAGGAAAATTATAAGCGTGTTGGAGACTGGCACCCTATTTTAGTTTAAATTTGTCAAGCTCCGAATTCCTTACCTGATGAAACTTACGTAAATTCTAATTTTTAAAAGTACCTGCGCTGAGGCCTTTTTGCCTCCTTATTTTTGACCATTTTGGTACACATTATTGTCAGTCAATGAATTTGTTTTTGTGCGTTTTCCGTTAATATTATACAATTTTTTTTCATCTCTCAGCTTTATTATTCTCCTGCTCTTTGGAAATAAATTTTCCGCCTTGGGTCTCCACCAAAATAATGTTGAGGGATAGAAGCTATGAACTTCATGCTGATATTTACAAGCATTTTTGTTTTACAAATTATCTCCTTGCCATGCTCTGACAGTGTTGCAACATTCTTAATAACAACCCTTTCGAAAATGTCTTCTATAACATCGCAAAAGTAGCTAAGGTGTATCTCCTTTTGCATTTTCACAGGCCCAGGGGGTCAGGGGCCCTCTAGGCTCGATTTTAATTTTCAAAAATTTAGTGTTGGTCAATTTTTCATCATGATTTCCTTTTCAATAAGACAATTATGAACCACTAAAATTTTGTTCCTTTCCCACTGGAAAATGCGAAGGACCCCGCACACCTCTTATGGGAAGCTGCACCATGAAGAATTGCCTTCTGACTTATGTATTTCGATTCTCCTCAAGATGCTGATCAGAAGTTATAATTGCGCCAACTTTTTACGATGCACCGTTTTCGCAAAAAACCTATGAGAAGATTCAATTATTCAGCGACTATGATTAAAAAAGAACAAAGCATTTGAGAACAGGCCCGATGTGAATAAGGAAAAAACGTAGCATGTGTCCGTCTTCTTATCTGTACCTGCCGACTCAGGGGCTATCTCCCTCTCGCACTCGCCCGGTAGACGTTCAGACTTTTCTGTTCTTATGCTCCTCAAGAATCTGATTTGGATGGTGGTCGAGCAAAACTGCGTGCAGAATCCGAGATAAGACTGCTGCTCGGTGCGGGAGTCCCCATGATTTCCTTGTTGACACACAGCGGCTTGTCAATCGAGCACTGAAATGAGGAATCTTTCTGGCTTTTTATCACCGAATAATTGAATCTTCTCATAGGTTTTTTGCAAAAACGGTGCATCGTAGAAAGTTGGCGCAATTATAACTTTTGATCACCATCTTGAGGAGAATCGAAATACATAAGTCAGAAGGCAATTCTTCATGGTGCAGCTTCCCGTATGAGGTGTGCGGGGTTCTTTGCTTTGAAAGAAAATAATTAGATATAAATAGATTAGATCAGAAAAGAGATTTCAGCATTTCTAATAATTTGGTTTCCCTCTTCTGAATGCAAAAAGAGACATATAAATTCAGAAAGAGAAACCAAGCGCAAAATTGGTTCCATGTAAGATTTCCTTGAGGTAATAACAATTCAAAGAAAGGCACCTATTTTCGACGTTTTATGCTGATCAAATTCATCAGACAGACTAAAAAAGGTCTCCAGTTCCCTGGAAATCATCAAAATCTGATACCCTTTTTTCTTCTTCTTGAAATTCACATTGTGTCGGCACAAGCAAGACAGAGTATAAAATTACTATGTATCATTTCAATATTTTTTAATTTAAAAAAAATCATACATCTTTGAATAATGTTACATTGAAAAACAAAGAAAGAAAAGGACGAAAACAAAATAATAAAAATGAGAAAATCTAAAGTACAAAAACTAATCATCTTAATTCTTACTCCTACAATTCGACCATGTAAAAGGAGAGAGTTTACAAGAATATCGACAATATATAATGAGAAATCGATAAATAGACGTCAGGAAAATAATGAACTACGGATAAAGAAAATAACACAGACAGTTGACTCTAAATCGCTGCAAAATTCAAGAATTTGTGCTGTCCACGACTGAGACCATTCCTATCAGAACTAACATGATTGATACAGGGGCGCAAAGATGTTTAAAGCATTTGGACAGATTATCAAAGCCTTCTTTGTAGAAGTAATGGGTATTGCACGAAATAGTTAATTGAAAAACTTTTTTTTAAGCCATAGGCTGATAATGGAAGTTTGCAAATGGATATACAATAATAATGATATAACTAGGTTAAAATAAACCGTCTTTCACCTTCGGTTGCAAGAATCACATAATTTCTTCGATAGTTGCCTTGCTTGACATAGACAAAATTCGAAATTTTCATCAATCCAGGCCTTCACTGAAGATTAACGATCCAAGACTATTCTCTATCTATACATAGACTTACCCCTAAGTTTCCAATCAATGGACACCCTGATGGTAACTTATGGTTTGGGCTTAATGAAGTTAAATGAAGATTATGTATGAACCAGCAGAAAAAAATACTTATTTTTTAAAAAAGAAATGAAAGAAATCAAAATTCTATAAAACCTCATTTTAACTCCTATACAATAGGTGAAACTTGAAAGATATGAGAATTGATAGTTGATTTTTGAATTAACATTTGCATTGCAGCCTGAGTAATGAACGGTCAAAAAAGTGTCAACGGGCGTAAAATAATCAGTCTCTAAAATCGATCAAAATTTTAAACTAATTTAAGCGAGCAAAATAATTTGATACAAAGCAAAACGATGTCCATCTGATCAGTCAAGCTTGAAGCTCCAAAATGGCGAGGAAGAGCTGGAAGAGTTAGATTTTTTAAATCTTGACGAGTAGTAAAAAATGGCAAAAAAAATCAAGAAATGACTTTTTGCCGTCATTGTCATCCCGTGTTTATACAAAAAGTAATAGAATTTGTTTCCCAGAAAATGAAACCAAGTTTTCTGACTGCAATAGTTGCAAGTGCTTCCAGCACCATTTTTAAAACTACGAAAAAAAAAGTAGAGATATAACATAAACAATTAAAAAAGAGAGAGGAGCTAACTTGTAATATGTGATTAAGAGAAAGATAATGCACAACATTTTACAGTTAAAAAATAAGGAAGAAGTAACCAAACAAAACATTGGACAGTTCAAGAAGAGGGGAAAGTATTTTGGCAACATAGAAACATTTGTGTCATTCAACTTGCAGTGCATTCCTTGCAAATAAGTTATATGCTTACTGACTCATCATTTACGGAAAGTTTACCATAAAAAGTGCATGAAATTGATACAGCATTCATTTGCTCTGATCACTTACCAATTATGCTCCCAAAATTCCTTGATTTTTTTTAACCATTTCTATGCTGGGAAGGAACTTAAATATATACGCAAAGTCGTGGAGTTACAATGCTGACTGACAAGATGGACGAAAAGTCAACACATAACCTAGAAATTGATCAAACTTTGGTCAAAACCGCATTATCATCAGAATGCTTCAGCAATAGCTGAGTGCACGAATCATTGGACTCATTCAATGAGATTTGTCCGTCAGAGTCATTTTTAAAATCTGATTCTAAACTTGGCGGGTAGGATACATAACTAGAAAAAGGTTCTTGGAACTTGCTCTTTTTGAGCTCAGAACTAGGAAGCAATTTGGTAGAGGCTTTGTTGACGGTCAAGTCGCTGTCGCTTTCCCCACCGGAGCCATTAGCTTCAGCACCAAAATCGAACCTTATTTTCACCGGATTTACGTTCCCGCTACCTTTGCTCACTTTACTGACCTGCTGTTCTAACTGTGATGTCAGGTCGATGATGAAAGGGGTTTGGTCAGAAGGATCGGTAGCTTCACTAGGGTTGTCAATTTGAATGTTGACAGACTTTCCATCACAGCCAGTTGCTTTGGCATCACTGCTGACCGCTTTTTCACCGGTCGCTGGGTCACTGGCAGATGCGCCACCAGCGGCTTGCCCCCCAAACTGAATGACTATGTCTGCGATTTTAATCAGTAATTTTAGAACAGGCAGCTCTCCTGCGCTTGAACTTTCCGTTCCATTCCTAACCGCACTGGCTTCCGGGGAAATGATATGAGTTTTCGAGACATCCCTGGAATCATTGGCATCCACAGGTGGGAGTACTCTGTCATAGTTATCAATTGTATTTTGAGCGTTTTCTGCGTTGCTTTTGGCCGTTTTGTTGATCTCAATACGCCAGGATAGCCCACCGTGTTCTCCCTCTTTGCTCGTGTCTAAGCTTACGGATTTATTGTTGCTGCTGGTTGCTGCATAAGTGTCATTCACATTGACATTGATGCAATCATCCCCTTTGCTCAGATGGATGCCATTGTCATTATCAAAGAAAATCCGAACATTCCGGACGCCTTTAAAATCAATATTGGTTGCTTCTCCTTCGGCAGCACCGTGGCGGTGAGTTGGGCAATCAAAATTATCTTGGTACGGTTTCCATTGACAATCAAACAAGGGCCTTGTTAAAAGATCACTGTTTCCTCCATCCGTCAAACGCGATGATCCAGCAGTGATGGAAGAAACAGGGACGACTCCTAAGGCTGGTACAGTCGGTAGCCTTGGTGGAGCGTCTTGTACGTAGATCACCCTGGAAAAGAATCACATATTAATAGAATTGAAAAAATGATTACGTGACAAATAATTTAGAATATTTGTCAACATGCACAACTATCAAAGACAAAAGTATTTTTACCATGGTCTTTATTTCATACTCCTTCTTTGACACGGATTATTACAAATTTTTCTTGCTGAAATCTTTTTGTTATTTTTGATGAGGACAAGAGAGGGATACCCCCTAAAACTTCTGAAAACTGAGTAATATTTGTAACCAGCAGCAGCACGCGGGCTCTTAAATTCGATGAGAGGATTATCAGGGTGTCTACTAAAACAGGCGGGCCAAAGATCAGTACTTTTCCAGTACTTTTTTAGCACATTCCCAAAAAATTCAGTACCTCCACAATAGAAAAGTTCAGTACTTTTTCAGTACCTCCATTTGACGAATTCGAAAAATTTCAAAAATTTGAATTTCTTGCTCAAATTGAGATAAAAATGACCAAAAATGAAAAAAATTCCGGACCTTTTGCGGAATTTCCGCACTTTTCAGTACTTCCGGACCGCCCTTAAAACATCTGTGTAGACACCCTGTTTATAGCAGAGAAAAAAAACAGAATTTTGTCAGAAAAACTGAATATCTCGCTACTAAACAACATTCACAAAAATTTGAACTCAAAATTTTTCCTAAAGATGGCAACATTTGCTTCATAAGTGAGAGCTATTTGCTACTTTACAGGTTCAAGACCTTAAAACCCTTCAGAAATAACATCAATTCATGGTATGTTTGAATGTTTTTGGACTTAAAATGACTGCAATTATCTTTTCCATATCATCATTTTAATTTTCATTATTTCGAAGTAAAACCTTGAACTGAGCTTGCAAAAAGAAAATGAAGTCGGGTTAGTCCAATTCTTTCCAAGTTTAAACTATTACCGATATTTTACATACCTATTGTAGGCTTTCCACCGCTGACATATTTGGATGTAAGCTTTGCACTGGATGTACATGAAAATGACACCACCTGTGATGCCAATGGAGACAACAATCAGCTTTGTCCAGAGGGGCCACTCAAGGACACCGTTTCGAACTTCTTCAACTGTTCGATCGATGAGGACGTACGAGGACCACACAACACACGTCAATGCTACCGCATGGAATAAGACAGCACAGAAAAGTTTGCGCCGCTCTAGGCCAGACATGTCCAACTGCTCCCACTGGAAAATAAGAGGATTGATTTTATAATCATTTTTAAACAAAATGGGAAATGGAGGCAGCAACCTCCCACTGATAACCTTCCAGGAACAAAATAAAAAAAGAGTTACTTGTCCTTTTTTCCCCATAAAAATCTTCTCCGAGACTAATTTTGAGCCATTTTCGGGGAGATTCTTCTGAGATACTACTATTATTGAAGAGGATTTTCAAAGTTTTTCAGTTGTGTAGAAAAAAGAACAGGCACGACTTAAACTGGATGACAAATTTTCTAAGATTTTAAAATTCCCTAGCTTTTGAGACCAATTCACACAGGTCAGTCATTGCGCAGCTTTTTTGAAATCCACTCCCCCGTCCGGCCCTAACTCGCAGCACCCATAGTGACGTAGCATTGAGTGCTCCCATAAGAAATACATTACAGGCACTCAATACTACGTCACTGCGCAGTAGAGTACCAAAACTCGTCCTCGGGAATGACTGACCTGTGTGGATTGGTCTTGCTAGCTTTCTAGGAATTTTGAACATACCATTTCCTGACTTTTCTACGTTATTATTGGCATGATTTCTCATAAAAATTCTTTTTGAGAAGAATGATGAGTGCAAAATCTCTTGAAATTGAGGAAGCAAATTTTGAAAAGTGTTAAGGCTCTACCGAAAAATTTTTTGACTTTCCAAGGTTAAAAAAATTCCTGGAGTATCTCAGGTTTTCCCTAACTTTACAGGAACTAGTCACTCTGTTCAAAACACTGAAGAAACATGTTAGGTACATTAAGTATTGATTAATCGCATTTAACCTAGTTCTTTTGGCACCCAGAATATTTTATTTATAACACAGTAAAGATGAGCACTGTTGATGGTGGGGATAAGATGAAATTACACGTTCCTTTTGATGCCAGTGGTATCAAGAAGAGAGGATGGATAGTTAAAAATTGCGTTGACATGATTACAGAGAATCAGACATTCTTTTATTCTTTGAAAGTTCAACTGGTACTTTTTTTTCCTTCACTATACAGCAGTAAATTAATGAGAAAATACGAAAAATTGGGTGATCATGTAGAATTATAATGGAACCTTGACACAAAATCAAGATTCTCTTTGAACATCAATCATATTTAACTTTCTGGAAACAGTTGAAGATTTTATTTATGAATAAAAATCTGTTGTTCCCTGCATGAAGGAAAGTATCTTGTCGTGTACTGTTTTAATTTTTAATTTTCACACTAACATTTTATTTCTTCATGAAAGAACCGTCGCACAAATTAGTCAGAAAACTTCAGTCTATGCTCACAAAGGTGAGGAAAATTACAAGAAGTTTCAGAGGTATTCATGCAGCAGTTTTTCTATAAACAAATACAATGTGAGTAAGAATACTGAAACAGCAAAATCGAGATAAGACCTTTTATGCAGGAGACAACTTATTAAAATTTTTCTTGTTCCATTTTTTCAACTTGTCATTTGAATGTCACTTGCTGTATTCTTCTTCTTAGGGATCAAGAGTTTTGGTGGGACGATAACAGGGAACCTGCAATCATTTCGACTAAAGGAGACTCAAAAAATTCTATTTACTTGGATAATAAAGAAAAAAGAGGGGAGGCGAGGGCACAAGGCCATTAAAAGGAGAGAGAGTGAAATGAAATTACCTCAGTGAATGGTTTTGTTTTAGTGTGCATGATGAACTGAAACTTGCAGAGTTCACAGTTTCGAGTATTTGAGGACTTGATCCACTGTTGAAGACAAGCTTGATGAACAAATCGTAGGGATCCAGCACAGTAACACGGAGTGATGAGAGGCACCTCTGCATCTCCTTCGCAGTGACAAATTCTACACAATCAACAGAAGTATAGATTAATTTCTTCTCGTCGAAATCTTTCCGACAGTACCTTGAAAATTTCCACAGGGTCTCAGCGATCTCCCCAAAGAGACTTGTGTACAAGGAGTTAGTTTTCAGAAAAACCAGATTTGTCGAGTTTGTCCAGAATGAGAGTTTGAATCTCTAACAGATAACCTCTGGGTATCCCAAAAAATCATTTGAAAGAGCTTCAGTCCAATTTTATGCCAATAAAAGACCCAGAAGTAGCAAACGATTTGATGATTTTTAGCCCTGAACATAACAAATCAAACATTTTTAAGTCTCAATATTTTTTGCGCTAACTGCGTTTTAACTGCAAATTTCTAATGGTTTGGCGTGAAATTTCTTGGCATTTTTTTTCTTCTTGCCAGAAAGTTTGTGAAACCCTCTATCGTTTTTTCAAACAGAAACAAGCACAATTCAAATACGATATTCACATCATTTTTTTTGTGTATGAGTCTCTTAAGGGAAACAAATGGTGCTCATGAACCAATCGGGATTTCACTATGGAAAGTAGTTTTAGGGAGGTTGCTGTTCCTTAGACTGAAAAAGCTTTCAAAAAGCAAAAACTCACGAATCAAATCATCTCAAGCTTAACCGAATCATCATGAGCTAAAATTACCCATTCAGAAAAAGTTCTTGAGAGAAAATATTACTCACCGACAGATATCGAATCCATTTGATGATATACTGGATGAGAGAGAGGAGCAGCCGTCACTGAATTTGTGGTTGTCAAAGTCTGTTTGTGCTCGGGGCGAGTCCGGAGATAACGAATGAGACTTCTTTGATGGCATGCTGTAGTTAAGAGGGATGACATTAGAATTTTTGGCACTATCAAAGATTAATAATAAGTGATCACGAAAATTTCACCGTAGAATTGATAGGTTTTTTCAATCAGGTACATACGAGGAAATGGCAGAAAATAAAATGGGAAAAAAATGGTCTCTTAACTATTTATGACAAACAAATAATAAATGAAAAATAAATCAAATGAATTCAGCATTCATGATTTGCGAGGAGGAAAACTGTCACCACAATGAAAACATTTCCTGCAACAGTGAGAGTACTGAGAGTCAATAAAAATGGCTATTAAGACCTGGAAAATCTTGTTAAGGAGTCGTTGCAAAAAAAAAAAAAAAAAAAAAAACTGGCTTTTCAACTGATGTCACCATTTCTTAATGACTGAGAGAGGTAACTAGAACTTCCTCAGAGGCAATGACTGTTAAAAACAACATAGAAAAAATCATAAATTCCAAAAATACAACTTTTCAGAAAACTGTTGAAATTCTCTTATTAGGAAACCGTGTTTGGCTACTTAGATGAGGTGTTTGTGAGCGGTTAAATTTAAGTAAAAAAAATTATAGAAAAAATTCTTCAAATATCTGCAGTACTTTTTCAACGCTAAAAGGGTTTGGAAAAAACGTTAAAAAACTACATTGATATTTTAATAGTTTTTTTAACACTTTTTTTCTTAACTTTACTTAAAAAAGTAGGCAGAAAGGGAATCCTAATATGAAAATTGTAACAGATTTTTTAGGAACTTTTGACAAATGATTAAAAAGGTCCTTGCTACTAGGGTTATCACAGTTTCACCCTTACTAAGCGACACATTTTGAATTACAATATTTTTTACAACATTGTTGTTGAAAATGAATCAGTTTCTATCACAGCTGCTGAAGTAGTGGTCGCTCTTATAAATGCCAGCATAAAGTGAACAAAACACTTTAGTGCCAAGCTCATTAAAGAAATTTTACAGCTACACATTAAATTTTACACATTAAAATGAAATAATGAAAAATTCACCTCCCAAAGAAATATTAATTAAAGTCAAAGAATCCAGATTACCCCAGGCAAATATTGGTGTGTGAAAATTCAAGTAAAGATCAAGTTATTGATTGTTTAAATAAAACTCATCCATGCCTGGAAACTTCACATACTAAAGTCCCTCAAAAAAATATCAGAAAAAAATGCTTACCTTGCAATAGTCTGATGGTATCTTTCACAATGAAGAAAATATGGTCATAGTGATTTGTCTCCGATGAAAATGAAGGAACATCAAAGGTTTCGGATGAATCGTCAGGAATCCATTTGATTACTGGGACAAAGATGTCTGAAAGTTCAATAGAGAGTAATTAGTCATGCAATGTACAAAAATTGGCAAAAATTCCACCACCACATCTTCAACCACATTTTAAAATGATATTTAACTTCTGAAGGACGTAGGCAATGAAAGAGAGGCAGGAATCTTCAAAGGTAAGAAAATAGTCTTTAAAAATCAATTATTATATTTGTTGCGATGTAAAAAAAAATCACAGAAACCTTTCATTATTGATGTTACGCGACCAATCCGATTCTTAGATCCCTTCCTTTCCCTTCCCTTTTCTTCCCCACACCTCCCTCATCTTTCAGGTTCGGAGCCCTCCTTTGAAATTAAGTAAAGCTGTTCTAAACCTCTTCCATTTCAAATAATGAAAATATTTGGAAATATCCAAATGATGAGACCAATTTGTTGCAAAAATAGCATTTCAAGAAGAAAGAAAAAAAAAACAAGAAAACAAAGGAGAAAATGTTCTATAAATTAAAGGTTTCAAACAAACCAGACCACCTTCTAATGTGCTGAAGATGAAATGTACTGAAAAAATCTAGGAACTTTTTTTAACTCTAACATTGACAGCGCATGAACTGTTTAAAAGTTGAATGAGAAAGAAAAAAATCCTGCATTTGAAAACTAATGTTCCTGACTTTCCCCTGCCTTCCTGGTGTTGAGAAAAATTTACTGACATTTCAGACCTTGTCATTCTACAGTGAAGAACAAAAAACAGGAAAAAAACTACAAGAAGTATTTACCAAAAGCCATTTCAAAATATTGGAAATATGGAACTATATCCATCTTATTTAAAACCATAATTTTCCCTGAAAAATCACACAACAAATTACTTTATTTTCACACTAGCATTCAGAGGGCTTGCAGGGATGAATTACGCTTAGAAACAAAGATGGCGATTAGTTCCGGAACTGAAAAGTTGACATAATAAAGGATTCTTGAAGGTTCCTCTGAATTCAGCGATATTTTCATCGAGGAAATATCAATAGTTGATTGAATTTAAACAGCAAATTTGAAGCCCTTGTTGTTGGTATGTAGTGCACAATTTGTGGATACTTTCTTGCCTTATATTCCAGTTCAACAAGCTGGGCTTGACAAGCACAAGCAGTAATTTATTTTGCCAAAAATTCAACTAGATGAACATTGGTTTCAATCACCATCAGCTCAGTTTCACTGGTCTGCCGATTCAGAATGCGCATAAAAGGAGTAAAAATCCAGTTCAATGTTTGTAAAAATTGTACAAATAAAGGGTACAACTCGACAAATGAAGAGAATGTATGATGATAAAGCTTCAAGCTTCATCTTATTCGCGCATTTTCAGGGCCATTGGTAGGCCCTGCTCATTCTGAGAAGCAGATGAACTGTGAAACAAACAGTAAAACACAACTATCATGTTTATTCTTCCTTTGATCATCTTTGGACAGTCACATGGTGCGGGTAGAGGTTACAAGTTTATACAATGTCAACCTCTCCCAATTTGGCTTCATTATCTGTATTTGATGACCATGCTAAGTGAAAATCTTAAGGAGCATGTGCAGGATTATGACAGGTAGTAAGGGAAATATTTTCTTTGCCTGGTAGATAAATACAGATAAGACATCCCAATGCTCAAGCTATGGATTGCAGAAAAATAACAAACTTGAATGACTGTCAATGCAAGGAATGGTGGAATGGCAGGGGACACCCATTCCTAAAGGACACAAGGAAAAAGTTACAGAGTCAAGAAGTTTAAATTACAATGCAGGGGCTCAATGTTACAGCAAGAAACGAGTACCAGCGATTCGACACAACCAACCAGGTAGATGCCTTGCCTAACTGACAGTTCGGAAAATGACCCAGTCAGATTCAACCCAACAGCCAAGACGACCATTAAAATGAAGATACACGACTGCAATAACTGCGGATTAGAATGAGTTGGTGGTGGATGAGAAATGCAATGCTGAGAAGGTGCCCTTATCAGAGAGTTCGGACTTACTGAGTAAAGTTATTTTAATTGAAAGACATAAGAATGAATATTCTGTCTGGATGATTAAATGAACCACAGAAACGAATGCATAAGTCATGGACTTTCAAAAAGCTGGATTAATGAGAGATATACACATAGAGATCAGCAAGGAATTAGAGTCACAAAGAAAAAGTGTTATTACCAGACAAAGGTGAATGGACTTTCCGAAATTCAGCGGCGCCCCAGGAACATCTTATCGTTGCGAACTCCGGCAGGGTAAAACCATGAAGTAAAGATCAAACTAAATTAAAGCAGGGCACGCTCTAAAACTCTCGATCGTCTGATTCTGCTGGCTGCCCGAGAATACTTCGTGCAGTTCGTGCAATTTTCCAAAACAAAAGCTTTCGCAGTGCAACTTTCGGGGGGAGAGCTTAACTTACTTAACCTTAATCTCTGTCTAGTGCTGCTCACAATGTTGCCTGATCGTCTCGACATTGCGACATATTGCTTATCAGAGGAAAATGATTGGAAAAACTTCAAAATTGGATATATTAACAGGCAACGAAACCAAAGCAAAGCAATTGTTGATTCAGAAATCGAATTGAAAATTTCATCGGTAAAGCTGTCCGCAGTAGTTAAAAAAATTAATTTTGCGATTATCTTATCAATGAATTGATTAAAGTCGGCAACGTTCAAACCTCGAACAAAACAAAAGCTAGTGATAAGTGATATGATAAACAACGCGGCGCGTAGATCGAAAAAAGATTTCTATATTATGCAAAAACTTTCACTAATCTGAATATATTTTTAAACGCACAGACAGGCTGTGTTTTAACTGAGGGTAAACACTTCTGTCATTAATGATTCTCTGTTAAATGTCCACTTCGATCATCCTAACTGATAAGAAACTAACAGAATAGCACATCATACCTAAGTATACACTTCGAGCAGCTCAGCCCTCTATAAAAATAAGTAATGGAATTATAGTATTTCTAATCCAACCAGGATGCAGCAGCTATTCTTATCAATACTTTGATACGCTTCCTCTCTTTCAGTGAAGGACTCAAGGAACAAGATGCTAAGTCCACAGCTGTTATTTTCTCTAAAAAATTATGTAATCAAATGCTGCATTACCATGCACTGCCCCAATTCTTTAGACAATCCAAGTTTTTTAAAGTTAAGAACATCTAGACCTGTTCCATCCATTCTGGTATCTCAGACTAAATGTTGCTGTGAGATTACAATACTTTCATGAATCGACCTGCTTTTTCAGATCGGTCCCGGAGGTGAAACCTAACCATTTTGCTCTAGAGCTGGAGTCTTCGGCTGTAGAAGATGGGGTAGACTGTAAGGAGGCACTTCACAACTGGAGGCTCAAACATACAATTGACCTGAAAGGTAACAGAATTTTATACGGTATTCCGTCAATGGGATGAGTAATTTTTTTGGGGAAAACCTCCGGAGCATCCTCAATATCGTTAGGTAGGAAGAATGGAAGACCTACTTGAAGTCCTTACTTTTCAAGGATCTAAGGGGAACAGGCAATTGCAAAGTTAGGCTAGCACTTAAAAGTTGATTTGAGACATTGATGTTTGGCGCAAATGATTGGAAAAACTGCGATCTGTAGTGATAGGATTTGGGAGTCTTTTCATTCATTTAGTCTCAAAATTGATGGTTAAGGAAATCTTTTTTTGCTGTTACTCTTCAAATCCTGACACTTTTTCTGGAGAGTGAAAAAAATGAACACCTTTCTGAGATTGACATTTTCTGAAAATAGCAATGTCTAACGGCGAGGCCTTCTTCACTACTCTGACCCTGCCTTGCTCCTCCAACCAAAATAAGTGGGAGCCTCTCTCCAATATTTTTCTCTAGCCAAGTCTGATCAAAAATTGAGCAAAAGTTTGGAATTTTTGCATGACACTATCATAAATAATCACCTCATTTTGCAGATAATTAATTTTTGAAGATAATTATCATTTTAGGTTTGATGAAATCCGCCAGTAAATACGCAATCAGTCTCTCACCTATAATCCTTGCTGCAGTCAGAACTTGATATTAGAATATCGACTCCCTTTGCAAAGTTGAATGAGTGATTACCAGACTAATTTTTAGGTTTCATTCAAAAGGATTAATCAAGTACTAGTAATTTTCAGAAGGATTCATTACAAAAAATACTCCAAAGCCTTTGCCCTCTGGTTTGAATACAAACTTGCAAAATTGAATGCATTGAGATTTCGACGGTGTCAGTCGGCAATCACATAACTCGATTGCGGTGTCTGAAAATCTCCGCCTCCATAATATTTTTTTAAAGGAGAACAAATTGACATCATTTCTTGAAGTTTTGGCAGAATCTTCTTCACATAGAGAAGAAAAATCACGACAGTTTTAAAGAATTTTCGTTGAGTAGTTTTCCGTTTAAAAAATAAAGTGTGATAGGAAGTCTGCGACGGCGCAAACCGAGTTATGTGATTGCCGACTTACACCGTTGATTTGGGCACGTTCAACAAAAAATGTTGACCTTTTTTTCCTGGCTTCGATAGTCTTTGAAACATACCCAACCAAAAAAAGTAGAGGATCTTATCGAAAATTAGAATGCTGATGTCTCCTGTTAATTCAAAGTCTTGCCGTATGTTTTCTATTTTCAGATACAAGACCGAAGAATGGGAAGCCTTAAAATGCCTGAATCATCTTTTAACCAGCCACACCATTCACAAGGATCCGCAGAAACCAGCGTGATCAGAGGCCTGTCATCTCTCTACTTGTCAACACTATGAATTTCGAGAGACTGAAACTCTTCCGATTTCCTTCTGCAAAACTTGTAACCGTCACTCTCACCATAATATGTGTCAATATTTTTCTCTTAATTTTTCTAGACAACGTATTAAATTCTCAGAACTTGCGGCAAACTGTTGCAGAACCGTATGGCTTCCTACCGAAACAGTCAGACTTAGATCTCATAGACCAGAATTTCACAAAATTATTTGACTTGGACTTCCGATTTGTGATCAACAATGATTGCAAAACTGATTTTCAGCCCCGGGTAATTTGGATCATCACATCATATTTTTCACACGTAGAGCTGAGAAGTGCATCCAGGAGATCTTACCCGGCCTCTCTTTTGAGAGAATTGGGCATTCGGCGAGTTTTTTTACTCGCCCGGTCGAAGAAAAACGAGATCAGTCAGAATGCTGTTCTCCATGAAAACTCTCGCTATAATGACCTCATTCAAGGGGATTTCATAGAGGATTATAGAAATTTAACTTATAAGCATGTGATGGGACTCAAATGGGCTGTGCATAGTTGCGGACAGTTTCAATACATAATGAAAATGGATGATGACATCGTCATTAATTTGTACGAACTACTGTCTTTTCTAAAAAGCTACAAAGAGGAAGTCAACCTGTTAGGTTACGTCATGACACACATGGAAGTCATTCGAAGAGATGCAAATAAGTGGTTCGTGAAAAATGCAGAATTTCCCGAGTCAGAGTACCCCCCGTTTTTGTCAGGATGGTTGTACATTTTATCGCGCTCTGCAGCCTTCAAACTTTTATCTTTTACCCGAAGTGTCCCATACTTCTGGATTGATGATGTTTATGTGACAGGATTACTGGCTAGAAAAGCGGGTGTTTCTCATCAAATGATGAATTCAAAATTCACAACTGATTATCACTACGTTAGATGTTGCTTTAAGTATGATTTTGCATGTGATATCCTCGTTGGACCAAACGGAGGTGATAATAATCTGCAGGTTGAATTTGCCAAGCACTCAGAAAAATGCCAAGCTCAGCAGTGCCCTCCAAGACCCAGTAATTTTTCTGTGCAGAACCGATGCGTTTTACCGTTTGAATCGAAACTTCTTGCAGCAGGAAAAGCTTCCGTCGATGTTTTAATTTGATTGAGCTACACTAAGAGAATGGGTACCTAACTGAAGAGATGGGAGTAACTGAATTTAAGCATTATATCCAGGTTGCAAAAAACTGCATTTCATTATCATGTAAGTTTGATTGAAACCTTAAATTTAATGACTTTAAAAACTGTTGCATGTATTGTTATGATTGTATCTCCTCATGTTACAGAATATCCTAGATATTCCGTTCCCAACCCAAAATTCTCCACCATCTCTCGTTTTTCAGAGATGGCCTTCTTTGACTCTGTTCTATTCCAACTTCTCTAATTACCGTTCACTATGAAGACATAATTCTGTTGTGAGTTTTATTACTCAGGAAATAAGTTGTATCTATCATTGTGATAAGAAATGTGTTGGAATGCATCAAGGCCTTATAACCAGAGAACCAGATTTATTATCAGGTAGATGATTACCTGCTTCATGAGTGCCTTTGTTTTACTTTGTACAACACGTTCGTTGGTTCTTAAAAAGGGATAGGGCATTCTCAAGACTCCAATGAATATTATGATTTTGTAAGGTGAAACCATGCATTTTATTAAACGTTGCATATTGTGATTTTTTTTTTTTTCTTTTGTAGCAAGAAGTCTCTTCTATATGTAATGATTTTAAGTTATTTTATCATCTATTGTAAATATGCAGAAGAAAAATGTTATCTTTAATTTTTTTGAACAAGCCTTCAATTCTTAGTTCAAATGAGTGAAGAGGAAAGAGGCAAAAGACTGGTTTCCAAATTCGGTAAGAAAAGGGACCATTTAAAATTTCACAGAAAGTCCTCCATGAACTCATAAAGGGTTAAATACTCATATAATGTTATGGCTAATTTATATTCAGTTTTGAGAGAATGTTTGAGTCGTTTTTATGATTGTACAGATACTTCGAAAGTTCTTTCTGTTGATCACAAAAATTCGATACGTACCTTTTTCTTCTCAACTTATGATTTCATGAAATTTTTAGAAATTGTATCTGTTTCTCATTTAATTTAACCTGATGCCTGTTAAGTTTGCCCCTAAAAATTCAAGGGAAAAATTAATTTATTTGCCAGTTAAAATGAAAAAATTGAAGAAAAGCTCATTTTTTTAATCCCTTTTTTATATCACTTGATGATGTGGCCACTTGGAGTTTTGAGGCAATTACATCAACACTTGAACAGGTCCTCAACGCAATCCAGGAAATTTTAGTTGCTGGTCCATTAGGAGAAAAATTTGCTGTTGTTAGAATGCTATTGGAATGGGTCATAGGGGAAAAATAATGCCTCAGAGATAGATTTAGAGTAATTACGCAAAGGAAAAAGGATCCTCAACCCACAATGTTGATAATCTATGTTTACAACGTGCATTACTTGTTGCCATAACACAAGCTCATAAGAATGAGAATAGAGCAAACTCAGGGGGATTTGACAAAATTAGAAAACAAACAATAAACAAGAACACTTAAAACAAGCTGGCATTATTTAAAAATGGTGTTTCCCTTGATGATTTACCGTGGTTCCAAACTGTTTTGGGTAAACATTCCATAACTACATAGCAGGAGCCATTATAACGGGAATGAAACTGTGTTTGAGGATCCTAAATTCTCACATTTATTTCCAAAGACCAATGATTCCAATAGGTACTGATTCTTATGAAAATAAATTTGTGGATCCCTAAAAAGGAAAATGGTACACATTTTTTTAATGTATTTTACAATGTTGGTATAATTACAACCTAACATAAGAGAGGAATACAGATTGGGTGGAAAATGAGGCGCTAGGTGCAGTGAGAGTACTCAGTCGCAAAGCTTCAGAATCTTAGCTAATATTTCATTCATTTTAGGCAAAAAGAATGCATACATTTCATTGAAATTTTTGCTGAATATTCTTGATAATTCTACAATTTTTTATAGAAAAATTCCAAGAAAAATCACCCATTAAATACTTCACTAAGGCATAAAGTAGCCTCATCGATTCTGAATAACATTCAAAATTCAATAACATGAATATGTACAAGGATTACAAAAGAAGTAGTAAGTCACAAATTAAGTAGTTCACCATAAAATTATAGCACTGCATAACTTAGTCTGATTCTCACTTTCTACTGGAATGATGGGTAACTTGCTTGAACATCTTCATTTTCGACAGGTTGAGTATCTTTCTTCTGTGAGACCGTTTCCTTCCGAACTTCAGCTTCCCTTTTGCCATGCAATAACAGACTACAAAAAACCCCGAGATGCTCCTTGATTGTCCTGATGATGAAGACTCATCTTCAAAAGTTCATCACTAACCTCCGGAATCATGAATGCGACACTCGTATCAGGATTTTGTCATTGTTTCTTAGTGCAGTGAAGTTTTAAATCCACACACAAGGTCACAGAGAAAGTAATCAGGCAAAAAAGAAAATCACAACAGCACATTTAGAACTTGTATAATAACTGATGAGAACAATAGCGAACGGATAACTTTTAATAGAAAAACGGTTTTTTACCGATGATACAATCGCAACATCATTTTGTTAGTGAGACCCGGAATTGCGTTGAGGTGTTGTTTCCCGAGTGCCGGCGCCATAAAAAATCCTGTCCAAATACAGTACAATTTTTCTTTGAATAAATTTTTTCAGTTATGACTTCTATGTTTTTGACTTCTCAGTGATAAGATATAGGGGAAACTTGTGTTCTGCTTCGATGTCACTTTTATCATTCCATATTTTGTTAAAACTTATTATTTGTACAGTGGCAGAAAGCCTGTTTTTACTTTTTACTTTTGTACTTGTTTCACTTATTGTTACATTTTCTAACTCCTTTATTTTTTTTAACCAACTCAGAAATTAAGACTTAATAAAACTTTTGTCTAACTCAATCTCCTGACTTTTCCTTTCTCTGCTGAATTAGGAGTTGTTTGAGCATTATGTTAATCATTTTGGCCAACCTCATGACCCCTTCTTCCCCCGAGAGGCCGCCTCTTTTCAACTGCATCAGCCTGGCTTCCCCCCCCCCCCTGAATTTTTCCATTGAAATAAAGCAGAAAATCTGAAAAATTACTGTGAAATATTTTATAATGGAAGATAGTAGTTTTTTTGAAGAGGAAAGTTAGAAAAGCTGACCCAATGCGAGGTGTTGGAAATTTCTCTTCCTTTATTTTAATCAAGGGCGATGAGAAACTGAAAACAGATATTCCACGTAACTTTCATTCACTTGATTCAAAACATTTTTGGATAATTTGTATCTGTGATAGTCAGGAATTTCATACTGAAATGCTGAAATGGACTTCTGGCAAGTCAAGAGTATTTGCGATTGGGGTCTTTTAACTTAAGTAAAATTTCATGAGAAACATGATGGTGCCACTAGTTTTTCTGGTGCCTCTTGAGCTCTAGAAAAGCTCTCGAAGTTGAGGCCACAAAGACGGAGATTGCCTTTGATATGGTGAGAGTCCACCTCAATATCCAGGCAAGATCCTCGTGAACAGATACAGAGCAAATACGTCAGCAGGGTTGCCACTATCTTAGGGGACTCCAAGGCTGGAACGATAGCAACCCTACTAATGCATTCACTACCTATCTGTGCACGAGTTCGGTTGGATTTGGGGTTGGACTTTCACCAATATGTCGAAATATCCCTTCCAATACAGCCTCAACTTGGATATGTAATTTTTTTTGAACTTGGGAGTTTGTTCAGATAAAATCATTAGGACTATAATGTTTTTTGTAAAATTTTAAGAGAGAATACCTGAAAAATTCCTGAAAATTAATTATTTTATCGCTTCTTCAACTCGCAATTTTGCATTGTGGGGAATGACATGAGGTAGATCCTACAAATAGGGGATTTTTTATTTTTATTATTTTTCATTTTTGGGGGGGGGGAGGGGTTCCGACCAAAATTAATGTTGGACTTCAATGCATCTAAAAACTAATTACACCTTTAGAAAGATCATTAGAAAGAGGGGATTTCACTGTTATCATTTTTTCACGTCATTTTTTCACTTGTTCCAAGGACCCATCTTACTTGGTATAAGTGGCATTACTGCAACATAAAATTCAAAATGACAAATTTTTTTAAATATTTATTTGTCTAAAGTACAAAAATTTTACAGTTTCATAATTTTGATAAATTAAGATAGTTAACCTTACCTTATAATATCTTACTTGCCATCCAACAAACAAATAAAAAAAAACTTCGCAATAGTAATGGCATTATGACTCTTCGAGAACGCATGCCTTTTCGTTTCATTCTATCGCTTCGGAATGAATATATACAACATCAGACGATCAATCCTAAACTGAGTTGCCAGTGATAAAAGAGAATTCACGCGTGACTTACAAAGAGAAACGCTTCCTACACTAAGCTTAAAATTAAAATCTTAACTTGTAAAAACAATATTTTCTTGATGATCCATGAAACTTGCAGGATAACTTCGATTTCAAAAACAATAACTCACAATGAGAGAGGAAGAGTGGCAAACTTACGTGAGACAATCAATAGTTAAACATGTAGTCAAGTAAAATTAAAAATATTTAATTTGTGTCAATTTGTTATCAGCTTGGTCAGGGTCCATCATGCGATTCCAGTCAGTTTGCCCAACAACGAATCCTAGGTTCCTCATCTTCGCCACGGCATGCCTCTCCTCCATGTCGGCCCACCGAACCTAGAAAAAAAATTTGAAAGAAATGTGACCATGGATGTAAGTACTCCAAATTGAGAACTCAATATGTACTGAAAGGCCATAAGCAAAGCAGTTTACGCAAGTCTCTATTAAGGATGGTCTGCAAACACTCGGCCAATCGGAGGAATCAATAACAAGGTGTCAACTAAAATTTTATATTGGGTTTTTCTAATACTTTGTATGACATTTCCTGATTTTTTGCGTAAATGAATTGATACCCATTTGATTTTACAAATAATCATACTTAATGAATTGGATGTGCTAAACTGCATATACTTGAGAAAATGCTTGATGCATTCGAAATTTCCTGATGCATGACTGATTTTCTTGCTGACTTCTGGATATTTTCAGGACTCTACGAATGGTGGACACCCTAAATACCTCAGTTTATGATATATGAGCCCAGAGGTCCCATTTTTTAAAGGTTTCTGCTCCTCTAATTTTGAGAGTCCTTCACGGTAGAATTGTCTTAAAAATATACATACAGGGTGTCTACAAGATTTTCAAAATGAAATTCCCTGACAATTCCAGGTTCTTTCCCGGTTTTCCAGACCTGCAGACACCCTGACATATCAAGGTCAATAAGGGTGCAGCTAGAAAATTTTCATTAGTAGGGAGAGGAGCATCTATTTTCAAAAATGTCCCACAAGAGGGAGGGGAGGGGTTCAAGGGTCAAACATTCCTATAAATCGTGAAAAATGGTACCTTTCATTTTGAAAATCATAGAAAAAGAGGCCGAAGTCTAGACCCTTAGACCTACTTTTGTAATGGATATTTTAAGACACAGTTTAGATTTGGTAAGTAAACTTTAAATTTAAAGCAACACTAAACAGAGAGAAGGATTTCATCAATTATTTATCACTTCATCTGAAAAACTTGGCTCCCCTTCCATTTGTTATCCCGAAAGCCCACTGTAAAAAATAGTTATCATGGAAAAAACTACCTTAATCCTTCTTTTTCACTATTTGATAGGCTCAAAATCCTCCTCGAAGTAGCACTGAATTTCCTGGTTCACTTTGTCGTTCTGTCTTGGATTTCATCTTCTTCATCTCTTTTCTATGTAGCAACTTTATGTAGATTCGTTTCCTTTACACAAGTGCGGTCTATTCTAGTACTCGTAGTAACAGATCACTGATGCTACTGATCACTTGAGGAATGACTAAAGACGTTCCCAAAAGAAGAAATACCAATAGCTGAAGTGCAAAACTATGAACCTCCACCCCGATGTTTCAAATTTCCATTCAATCATTATTTCTTTAACAAGAACAAGCCAACTTCATGGCTTGAAATTTATACAGAATATCGATGGCTATAGTGCAAAACCGTGTATCTCCATTGCGGTTTTCAAAATTTCCACTCCTTTTTTTATTTTTTCAAAGAGAAACAAGCCAACTTTATACAATAAGTAGTTTTATGAGGAAAAAATAGAGTATAACAAGAAATCTACAAAGTTGCAGCGGAGATACATGGTTTCGTACTTTGGCCATCGATATTCTACTGACAGAGAGGACAAATTAGGGCAGTTTTCAAGAAATTACGTTGACTCGTTTTCTGAGGTAGAAATTAAGTCCAACAAGAAGTCTGTAAAGTCTCAAACGGAGATAAGTGGTTTTGCACTTAGGCCATTGATATTTTGGTTTGTAAAATGATGATGTAAATGCGATACATACCCTCTTCTTCCCTGGAACCGTGGTTGATACCCTCCTCTCTGTGTCGAAAACGGCGTCCTCTGCGGAGCGGGAGTTGTTTTGGAGCCAGTCTCGGATTGAGTTTTCGGGGGCTCGCTTTTTTCGGAGACCGTCGAGTTGATCTGAAATCAGAAAGGTATATAACCTGAGACTTCTTCAAAGGCATAAGAAGTTCAACTCCAGCTAGGGTATTGAGAGATTAACAGAGGACGGGAAAGGTTGGTTGAGGAGCAGTAAAAAGGGCTCTCTTATTTCACGGTTCAACCCAAATAATTATTGGAAGTTCTCAAAGAAGCTTCCGAAATTTTTTTGCTTAGAGCGAAGCTGTCAGCACAGAAACTAAATTTTCATGATATTGATCATTGAGTCCATTTTTCCGGTATAAAGCTCTAAAAGACTGTTGGGGAAGTTCAAATTTGTCACTATTAATTGCAATCGAACTTGTGTGGACAACTGCTCTTTTCAACAACTTGTATGCAGCTTCAGTTTCATTAATAGACCTTACTTTATTTGTAAATTCAAGGTAAAATAGTGGGGATTTTCTTGGTTTTTTTGGAGTATTCCATTTTTATAAAGGGTAAAAGTTCAAAATTTACACAAAAAACAGCACACGGAGTATCAAGAAATTTGGCGCTAGAAAAATTTTTATAGTATCTTATATGACATTCCTTAGGCTTTCTTGAGCACGATGAGTGTTTAAAATCAATGTTTGTAAATGAAATTGTCAATAAAAGTGAGGTTGAAGAGATAATTCCGCTTCCTAACAAACGTTTCCTCACGGAGATGTGGAATCGTGGCTATGTCAGTGTGGATACTGCGCCCGCCGCACACTGTTATCATTGGATTTGATTTTTTTGTATACCTTATCCTTTTGGACTGCGATGAAACAAAAGTTATCCTCTATCACAAATTAGATGTTGCAACTTTTCGTCTCAAAATGGCATGTAAAAATACCGAGGAATTCACTTATCAGCCTAGCTTTTCTCGAGGTTGGCACATGGAATTTTGATTTTTAAAGCTCATCTTGCTCACAAAACATCATATCAAATAAATCGAAATTTAGCTTACGCCAATTTTCTTGTATTCCGTGTGTAAGTTCCTTTCAATCCAGATTTGTTAAAATCGGAAAACCATTACGAAATAAGAGAGAAGCCATGAGGAAGAAAAGGAAATGGGTCATTAGAGAATTGAGTTTGTAAAAATGAAAGAAAAGAGAATGTATGATTAACCGCTCCCCTTAAGCAGCGTTAAAACAGATTTTGATCATTAACTTTAAATTGAATTGAGTAAAACCATGCAAAATCGAAGCGAGGGAATTTTGTTGTCAACTTTCAAAAAAGCAATTACAATGAGAGAGTTGAATTGACTTACAATAAATCCCTAGAAAAAACTGGAAGAAACTTCTCAATCTTACAATTTTAAATTTTTCTTTTTTTTTAAAAGCAAGATTAAAAAAGTTTCGAACTAAATCATTATTCATTAATTCAATTAAATTCATTATTCTTTCTTCGTTCTTAATAAAATGTTCAAAATAAGATCCTGTGAAATTAAAGATGACAAATGCACGGATTTAATTGAAATTTTCTAAGAAATTGATTTGATGAAATTTAAATTTTTTTAACGCTTATCAACTTCAAAAGAAAATTATCAGTTAATTATTTTTGAAAAAATTATATTTTCCCTCTTCCATATTGAGGAAAAATTAAACTTATCAACAACCAATCAGGATCTGACCTGAAAAGTGTTAACTGCTCCATGATTTAAAATTACCCTTAGTCAAGGCCTCTCTAAGTCAATCTTGCAATTACTTAAACAGAATCTCCCCTGATTTTATTCATGTCCATGTGACTTCAATTACAAAAAAAAGAAAAACAAAAAAACAAAAAGCAAATGAATAGTTCGAGAGACAATCAGCAGTCATTAAAAAAACAGTACTAGCTGCGTTTCCTATTTAGGGTTTAGAAATTTTCAATTCTCTGAAAAAAGTTGATAAAGGAATGGAGAGGATAGGAAATAGGGAATAAGAACAAAATTAGATTAAATAACATACAGAACAAAAATATTAACAACGCCGACATACACACCTTTCTTTTCATCATTGAAATCCATCAGCTCCCACTTGCTTGTAAACAAACTGGCCGGTATATCATCCTGAAGCAATCAAACTCACAAACAACTGGTTCGTACAGAGACAAAGCTAGAACATGGCTTGTTACGTTATGTCACAGACACAAACGACCTGATTCCACTAGGAGGTACATTCAGGATTTGAGAGCCACTGACGGCTGCTCAAAAGTTACTCTGTGTATATGATACACTGTGTATCTCTGTGTATCTGTTACTCTGTGTGTGGATATGGGAGAAGGAGGCGGGTTCTTGGAAAAATATCGCCAACCGAATAACTCCAATTTTAATCAGCCGAAAACAGGTGGTATTAAGCTAAAATAGAAAAGTTACTACTGCCCAAGTGAATTCAAATGCAGAATTGAAGAGAAACCGGTGATCTCTTTCTTGATTTTAACATTTCAAGAAGTTGGATAAGAATCAGAAATAAATAACTTCAGTTCTTTGGGACAAGATCATCTCTTCCCTGGAGAAAAGTTTCAGTTCGCCATTGTTTAAAATGTTACACTGGCTGGCAGTGGTAAATCTTGTGAGTAAATAGGTAAATCTCAACAAATCAAACTTTCAAATTTGCTGATAAAAACCTGGTGCAATGACTACTTTCATAAATCATATTCAATATACTCTTCCCATAGTAAATATAATAGCTAGAATTAGAAACATGCAAAGTTCATGCTTGGTTTTTCTTGTTACAAGTGCTCAGCTATGCTGGATAAAACAGTATTTTATTGACAGAATTTTTTTTTCTCTACATGAAGTCCCCCAAAAAAAAAATTTTGAGGAAGGCCAGGGAATTCTCCGCGCTATCTGACTCTCTCACAGCGACATTATGCTGCCAGTGAAAAATTTAGGGTCTTCACATTGTTCTGAATTAGTCAATTTTCTGGTTGAAGCAAAGTTCTGGCTCCATTGATATGATTCTTCTGATCTGCCTGAACTTCTTTACAATATTAGGTTGTCAAAAAGTAATACATATGAAAATCACGGGATTTACATGCTAATGCACACCTGCCTTCCCGTTTTTTACAGCTTTCACATTTTTTTCAAGCAACCAGCCACGCAGCTGCGATTGCTTAGTCCACAAGTTTCAGCAGCCCTGGAGTTAGGCACTCCAGTCCACAAAGAACCACACAATACACGCGCAAGAAGGAAAGAATGTGTGAGTCTTGTTTACTCATAAAGTGCAGAGTGATTCAAGGTGTTTCCTTCAGATATGAAAAATTTTGCCGTCGTTTGTTCTATCTAAAAGTTTTGATGCATAAAATTTCTTTCTTGCGGGCGAAAAAATTCAGATGAATTAAAATTGCATCAACTTTTACTCTACAAAATTCACTGCTGTTTAAATCAACTCCTTCTCTGCGGAAAAACTTAAAAAAGCAAAATGAGGAAAATTTAATCACGAGATTGTACATTTGGAGCACCCACTGCACCCCCCCTCCCCATTCCCAATTTAATAATTTCTAAGTCAAAAACTGTTTCATGCGAGCCGTANNCTCCCCAAAATACACTAAAATTTGTTGCCATGGATCACAGCAGTTTAGCTCCTTTTTGATACACCTTATCTCACTTGTAAATCTTAGTAAAGCAAAAACATATTCAATTAAATCCTAGGCTCATAAATTTCTGGCACTCATGCAGAAATTAACTTCTGATTAGGGTGACTGGACACTTCAACATTAAATTCTCAGATTTTGTTAATTGGATGACCAAATTGCGAAAAATTCCAATTATTAGAGATATCATCCAAAAAAAAATCCATGATTTCTTTGTGCAAAAAGCAAAAAATCCTAGACTCCATGTGAAAACTTCATGGTTCCACAGCATGATCAACAAACTGTGCGCGAATTTCACAGATGGTCGAAACCGTCATACAGCATTGCCGAATCTGTACATGAAAATCTTTGGATGGAAATGAGAAGACACAAAATAAAAAATTTTCTGTGTGTTGCCCACCCAAAAATGACAATATGCCAGAAATCGACTCCCAATTCCCATCGTATTAGTACTTTCAAATACTGTCGAGTACGTGAAAACAAAAAAACATCAAGGATATTTAAGGTCTTTCCAAGAGTACATAAACCTCGGAAGCGAGCACATTCATGCACTCGCAGAACACAGAAAATTTGCGCAGAAATGAATTCCATGATATACCATGGAACGGTGATGATAAAAAAATTACTAATAGTTGAGAAAAGAGAGAGACCAGATCATACACATAAGCCTGAAGATGAGATGAGAGAAATATATAATTTGATTGTGTGAAAAACTGTTCAAACACACAAAGCGATAATGTATCAAATTGAAACCGGCGAACCGGTTACGAATAAAATACGGAGGAACCTTAAACCCAACACCCTGTAGCCACACAGTGCTTGGTGCTCCCACCTTAGAAACAAAACAATACAAAATTAAAATTTCTTGTCTTGCTAATCTTGGTGGCTTATAAATTGAGTCACCCTGAAATTCGAAATTTAAACTATACTACTTATTAAAGATTTTACAGTTGCTCAATGATGAACAACCAGAGAAAAAAATCAGACCCGAGCGAGTCAGAATCAGATAAAGATGGGCATTAACAGGATGTCATTTATCACGGCCATTCTGAGGAATGTTGATTTTCATGATATACTGTTCCCAACTCCATCCATTAGTCAGGCTAAATCTTCTGTGATCCTTACAAAAAGCCACTTCCGTTACTTTTAGAGCAAACCGTTTTCTTCCGATTCTAATTTGGCGCAGATATTTTCCCTTGATAGACGATGAGCAGAGTGAGAATTGAGGTACCACGAGACATTTTCCCTAAATTAAGAGCTCATGCGAATCAAATTGACTTTTCTGAGACTAACCGTGATTTTAAGATTGGTCGAGTCAAACTTTCTGCTTGCAAAAACAAGCCAAAATTAAAGTGGGTCAATTCTGTTATCAAGTAAAAACTTATCGTTGAGCAAATAGTTGACATTGCATTTCACTAAAATTTCCCTTCTCCTCTGATGAACTATACAGCAAAACTATGCACAATGAGAAGACTCTCACTTCGCGGAACACCTTAAAATTACCATGAGGAGGTTTTTGACGCACAGGTCATTAAGACACCATTAGTTTTTTGGCCAATGAGCAATAGACTTCAGTTAGAAACTGAAATTTTTACAGATCTATAAACCCGTTTATTGCCTGCTTTGATTCAAGAGAGCTATGTTTACGTAAAGAACGGAAAGTTTGAATTTACAAACACAAAAACCAATAATTTCTCATTTACGCATAAAATTTGGAAACTTTCCATGAGTCTACCATGTCCTGCATGAAATTTTGATGCGATAATAAGCGCTGAGATGCTTGATCTCTAATTCGAATCCAGGATCATGAGCACATTCCAAGAATCTTCGCAACACAGCACTCCAGGGATTTCCGCCGCGGAGGACGTACCTGAAGATGGCATCCATAATTCAGAGTAGAGAACGAAGGGCCTCCGACAAGGGCAAATAGCAAACTTCCCTTTTAGGTAATTTTGAAACGACAATTAACTTTGGAGTTATTCTTTTTCTAATTTTTTTGAGGAGGAAAAAATAAATTAAAAGAGGGAGAGCCATGAATCGAGCAAAAATAAAGATTGAGAGAAATCTTATAGAAGTCTAATTTTTACCTCTTGAGACTCATCGTCTTTTGCCTTCTCGGCATTCTCCGTGTCAGCTTTGTCTTCGCTTTTGTTTTGACTGTCATCATCTATGTCTTCCATGTTCACCTGGGCAAAAGCATTTATTAAGGTGCTGAATTATTGAGTGGATTTTCTCCAGGGTCTATTTTTAATTTAACTTCAATTAGGATTGAACAATAAAAAAGAGAGAAAAAGAAGAAAGAAAAAAAATAGGAAGAAAAAAAACCTAGGGCAAATAATGTGTTCCGTTTTTTTTTGTATTTTTTCTTTCTCAACTGAAGTACTGTTTTCAGAAGTGACTCTGCGCTGAGTAATTATTCTTTCTCACTTTTTGTGCAATTTTCAGTAAAAGTTAAAGAAAAGGCAGTCAGGGCCAGCATTACGTAATTTGCAGAGTGTTTCATGCAGAGAGAGGGGGTTAAAAATCATAAATTGAGCCACATGTAATTTGAGGACAGCCTCTTACAGAAGTTGAATTATTCAATGATGAAACAGTTACTCTCTGGGAAGGGTGTACTGACTAAACATGAGAAATTATAACTGACATCAATCGCACAGAAAAGAGAAGTACATAAATAAAATATAAATGTTACCTGCCTGATTCAAAAATTTTAGAAGATTAACATGTTCAATAGACATGTGTTCCATATTCATCTACCAATTGGACGTATTTCTACCAAACAGACCTATGTGGAGGTGAAAAATATGGGGTGTGCTCGTTAGTTCTCTTTGCGTAAGAGTGGATTAGAATAATACAGCGCCAGTGACGTCAGCGGCAACAATCGATACGCGTTAAGACGACGAGCTCGTTGACGGTGCGCTTTAACTCATGAGCCCTGTCCACAACGCTCTCTTGCCATGCCCGCGGCTCATATATCACGCATTCAGTTGGCACATAGGTCTGTTTGATAGAATGTAAAATCCCGCTTTTCCAATTCTTCAAAAGGAATCACGCCCACTTTTACATTGCTTCTTATGTAGCTCTCTAGAGCACACCCCGTATTTCTCACCTGCACATAGGTCTGTTTGGTAGAAATACGTCCAATTGGACTTACCTCAGTAATACTGTCCGATTGAAGGAGAGGTCTAATATCCAGCGGCACCTGAGCGTTAGGGGTCTTCTCCCATTTGTTGACAATGGCTTGAATATCAGCTTCAGAGCGGTTGTGAATATTCCGTTTCAAGCACTGAGCAACATCTAAGTCCATTTCGCAAATGTAAGGCTGAAATAGATAAGTAAATATTTTAAGAACGAAGTTTCATCAATAAATTATTTTGGATCACAGTTCCTTCATTGTCCAATTCCTTGGCTTTTCTTGACTTCTTTTGCTCATCCTTAACTCCAAAATTTCCAAATTCCCTGGTTTCCCATCTTGTCAGAAATATGTACATTATTTCTAAACTGAGCCAGAAAATGTAATTCCGAATTGCAAAATGCAGTTCAAACGCGGATGATCTTTCTTATCTTTACATTAGTTCAGTTTCAGCATTATGATTGTCTACTGAAATTAAAGCTTCAGAGGAAACAAACCGAAATAATTTTTTCCTCAAAGATATCAAGGTAAGTAATCTTATTACATATTGCTGTAAAAATCTTTGTAAAAGGGTATACTACAGGCTGATCGTTGATGAATGCATGAGAAAAAATATTTAAATAAAACTCACTTTAAAACCGTTAGTCTTGCTATGACCAACGATTTCACCATATTGTGCGATTTTATCAAAAACACTATCAACAATGATGAAATTAAAGAATCCTTCAGTGACTGTTTTCCTGAATGCCTTCACTAGTGATAACAGATACGTTTTCTCCATCCCAGCTTCATAGACGTACTCCATTTTCTGCGAAACACAATGCATTAAAATATTACTTAGAAACAATTGAAGTATGACTAATGTGGCTATATTGCTGCTGACAAATAGATTACGTAAAACCACCATGCACTTGAAATAAAATGAGAAAGTTTGAAAAAGTTTTTCGTCTGGTGGTGCAATGAATAGGTTTTACTGAATACCAGCAAGCTAATTTTTTTGTGATTTTGGCTAATCCTGCTGCTGTTGTGATTTTGACAGTTGTAAATACTCAGGCTTCAAATTTTCCTTTACCCTTCTCGATCCGAGTGCATTATGAATGCTACAAGGTTTGCACAGAATTTCAGAAATGGAATCCCCTCACATTTGCAGAAATGCCATAAAATAAAAAAAGGGAATTTAAAATAGTTTTCCTGCAAAACATGTTACTCAAAACATCAAACCTATTCTAGAAGACACTTAAATTTAACAATTTTTCTCTAGCACTTTCGTTATTTTTCCTGTCATTTCCAGGTTTTCTCTGACTTTTTAAAATCCCTTGACATTTTCCAGTTATCCCAGTGTTCCCCGATCGTAGCAACCGTGTTGCTACTTACTTGAATTTTCTGCACTGATGCACAAGTTTCAGGAATTTGAATTGTCCTACGTTACATCCTTTTGCCAAAATAAGTAGATAAAGATAATAGATTAAAGGAACTATAAATGAGGCTATAAATAAAGAAAAACTAACCTTTGTAGTGACTTTCTTATTTGTATCAGGATCGACTTCTTCCTTTTCAACTTCTGTAAGGAAATAGTCATCCAAGGACAATATCCGTGGTGCTGTTCCACCCATTGCAACTTCTTTGTCCTGAGATGAGAAAAGTTGACAAATAATTAATTGAGAGACACAAGTAATGAGTCAGTTAAGTCATTTTTTTTTATTGTGTAATTCGAAAGTAGTAAGTGACCGAAGCTTACAGTTTTTTTCCTAATTTTTTTTGATGACTGCAAACGGGAGAAAAGTTTATTTGAAAGTGCCAAAAATTAGGGTGGCCTAAAACGGCGTTTGAACCGCGCACTCGTAGGTTTTGAATGTACACGTCACGATCAATATGGCGGCAGAATGCAAAGTGGAAGAATACAAGGCGGCGTCGCGTTGGCGGTGTGATTTTGTTGGTCAATTGGAGGTTATGTAGGTTACTTTGAGATTCATATCCATTGTTCTTAATTCTCTAAGCTTTTCAATCAGAATGCGATACAGATGTATGTAGGATATGAAACTTTCACACAAAATTTACTTAACCTCAAACGAGAAATTGTGATGTTAACAACGGCAGCGTGGCGGTAGTAAGCAGGTCGGCTTCGGCGCTGCCATCTTCCCGTTCTATGACGCGTAGATTCGATGATTCACGGAGGTCGGTTCAAACATGTTTTCGAGGACCCCTATAAAGGAAGCGTTATATCTCCGCGAAGACAATTTTTCGTGAAATTTTAACGTGCGCATCGTTCTTCTCGCACCGAACTGTAAGATTCGACTATTTGCAGGCAAATCCCACCCGAGCTTAACTGACTCATTAAAAGTTAATGTATATGAATGCAAAAATTAAAGTACAAATTGACCTCTCAACTATCTTCAAGGTTCGTTCACTCATTGATAGGATGAGACACCCGATCGGTCAGTGGCGTCCATTTTTTTAAAAATAATTTTCTTTTGAAGTACGGAGTGAACTGAGCATTTAGGAATTGTTTAAACCCCAAATTGCAAAGAAACCCCCAACCCCCCCCCCCCCCCTCTGAAAAAGTAAAAAATGGGACTGGTTTGAAACAATATTTTTGGCACACTCTGATAACGTAGCCAGGCAGAGGAAACAACATTTGCTTGATTTCCTGGACTCAACTTTAGGCTTTGCCTTGCTACGACATTTGACTGTCAGCTTTTGATTAGTCCAATTTGGATTAGATTTTTTCCTCCTTAAAAGTGCTTTTCTAAACTAACTGACGAACTTTTCAGTTTATCAATGAAATTTTAGACAGGAGTAACAACTCTATTACCCTGTAAAAATTCCTTGCCACTACCTTAGAAGACAACCGATGAACTTCATAAAGAGATGCAATGCGTTTAACTAAATGACAAAGTAAAGAATTCAGAGGTTTTTCCTTTTTATCTGAGATATTCATTTTCATCTTGTCAAAGTTCATAGTCTCCAGCGGAGGAACTTATTTTGTCACTGCTGCTTTAGTATTTCTGCAAACATTTACTTTTTTCATGGGAGAACCATTGCACAGATGTCTGAAAATTATAGCATCTTTTTAAAATCACTTGAAATTTCCAGCAAACTCATGCAAAGGTTCTCCTATGAAAAAATAAAATGTTTGTAGAAATACTGAAACAGCGCGATCGAGATACGTTTCTTTGTATGAGAGATAACAAATTTTCATCTATTGATATGTAAGAAAGTAATCCTTGTTTTACCATACCTTAATTAATTTTGCTACATAAGATTTTCCAGAACCAGGTGGACCCCTGAGTATTATAACTATTTTTGTTGGTCTGTTATTTCTGCCAGGCGGTTCTAGTAAATCACTAATAGAAACAGACTGTTGCTTGGGACCCGTCGACGCACTTGAAGGAGCGCTGCTACTAAAATCAAAGAAAACAGACTAAATTTGTTAGGTAGGCTGAAGGAAGATCGGTTAAAATAGACACAAATTTAGAGGCACGAGTCATTGAGGATTCCTTTTACTTTAATCCATTTTTTTGAGCAAAAAAAAAACAAAAAGGGAAGAAAATTTAATACGTGGAAATTTTATCTCTTGATTTAACATTCAAAACTAAACAGAAATGAGGTGAAATTCAATCTTACCTTTCACCTTGCTGTTTGGAAGAATCCGTTTGAGGTTCTGAGTTTTTATTTGAATCTCTTTCAGAGTCTTTTTCTTCAAACTTCTTGCCACCTAGACATGATTGGAAAAAAAAGAGGAGTTCAATGAAAATAAACAAAGAAAAAGAAGATTGAACAAGCAAGATAAGTTAGAGTAAGTTTGCATTTTGTATAGCCGTTGTATTAATACTTTTAGACGACAAGCACAAAATAAAATCAGTCTGAAAGAATGTGAACATAAATGTTACCAAGGTAAAATTGCTGCGTAAGTGGTCATCTAGTTACTCAAGGCCCTGTTCTATCACCTCTTCTTACCCTTTAGCCTCTGTTTAAAATAAGTCAGTGGTACCCATTGCATTTTTTTAAAAATCCGGTTTCTGACAGTAAAGGGTAAACTAAGCTCTTAGGAATTTTTTCGGATTTTTTTATGACTAAAAGGCAGAGATTCCTCATTAAGAAAATGTCAAGCACGGACCCATTTGAAACGATATTCTTGGCAGACTCTAATGATGTAGCCAAAAGGGGGAAACAGTATTTGCTGAACACATCTTCTGACATTGCCTTACTATTTCAACTAAACTATCAGCTTTTAATAAGCTTCACTTAGAAATAATTTTTTGAACTTTTCAATCAACTATAAAGTTTTTTCACAAAATTTTATGTTCAAGAAACTATCCTGCAACCCAGGAAAAATTCCTTATCACTGCAACATGCATCATTATCAGGTTTGAAAGTTTTTTCTAAAAATTGTTTCTTGGAGGAGGAGATGGATTTCCTGACAACTCTAAAGATTAAATTTTTTTGAACACCTGTTTCAGGAATTTCAGAATGTTAATTCATCAAATCCCTAAGGTGACTAAACTATTGGAAAAAGCTTAAAATACCACAGCTAAAAAAATACAGTAGATTCAATAATTTGCTGAGAATGTCTAGGCATAAAATTTTATAGCAGGTGTATAACTAAAATGGTATGGAACTTTGCTTGAAGAGCCGTCATTTTTTGAAAAACCTTGATTAAAGTAAGTCTTCCTAAAATATTCCATACCCAGTTTTATAAGGGTACAATGATATGGCTATTGATAAACTCATGATTAGTTAGGAGTAAAAACTGGAGTGTTACCTCTATCCGTACTGGGAGATTTCCGTCGAATTGGACTCCTAGATGGATTCTCGCGCGAACTCCTACTAGGTGAAAACCTTCGCCCAGGGCTGCGGCGTGAAGGAGACATTCTACGAGGTGGGCTTCTTCTCACAGGGCTTCGACTATGCCTTGATCTAGGCATTTTATCTTCATATTCACTCCTTCTAATACCTGAAAAAAAAGGAATAGAAAAGTAAGTTTTAGGAAGGATTATCATAAAACGATGATTAAAAGCGAGGGATTTGGTGCTGAACTTCAAATATTCTATTTATCATGAAGATGATAAGTCTGTTGGCCCAAAAAACGATGTCTCCCGCACTGTTTTCTAATTTTCCTTCTCATTGAACAAGACCATCTACACAGGTCAGTCATTGTGCATCTTTTGGAGATTCACTCCCCCGCCCGGCTATAACTCGGCCATAGCCAATCTGACCTTACATTGGCTGCTCCCATAAGAAATACACAGCCAATTATATGTCATTGCACAATAGAGTTCCAAAACTCTTCGTCGGAAATGACTGACCTGTGTAGATTGGTCTAGCTCATTAAAAGGATGAGTTGTCTCCTCTTGGATATGCCAACATGAAGTCAGTCGTGTATTTTTCTTGTAATGATGAAAAAATAAAAATGACCATTCACAAGAAAAGGAAACTTGATCTATTAACATAGCAGTTCCAACCATAGCATGTTCCAAACATAGCAGATCATGACTGGAACACAAAATTGTCAGTACCCTCTATTGACAATAAAATTAACAAGACCAGTCTTAACTTATTTCATGTTTTACTAGAAAGAGTTTCCCATCAAAATTTAGAAAAACCATTTTTTTGGATCAAATCGACATTAATCGTTCTGCCGTAAAGTTCACAAGGAACGCAGAGAGTTCTTAGTCTTCCCATTTTAAAAGCCTGTTCCTTCTCAAAGATTTCAAAACGATAACTTTTTCCCCGAGGCATAAACAAATTGCTGCTGTTTTGCCTAAAAATACGGGGTTCTCACAACAGTTTTGAGGAACATGTAACTTTTACTTTGATTTAGTGGAAAAAACTCAACTTTTACACTGACAGACATCGGCTGCTCTCACTTTTAAAGCCATTCTTCAGGGCCTTTTTATTTTCTCTTCACAACAATCACAACAAATGAAAGGAAAAAGTATACTCTGGCCTTTTGTAAGTAAACATCCTTTTTGTATTGGGTACTAAATTATTCAATAATTTACTTTTGACAAGTGGACATCTGATTTACCTTTATCGTAAACTGAGGATCGGCTGGAGTAGTTAGCGATACCGTGACCATAGTCTTGGATTGTAACTGGTTCAAAGAAGTCTGAAAATGACAATCAAAGATTGAGCATTAAAAGCTTGGGAATGCTAATCATAATGAAATAATTCCAATTAATACAGGTATGAAGTCGAAAAAAATTAAACACAGGTCTTTCTTAACTTTTTAATTTGAACTCCGAATGAAGAATTTCTTTTTTTTTCTTTTTTTAAATACAAGCAGTAGAAGCCAATGGCTGAGGCAACAAGCCATTTGATTTCAGTTCCTACTGACTAGGGAAAATTATTCATTTCCTCCGAAACACTTGATAAATTTACAAGTCCCTTAACAATACATAGAGCTCAGTCCTTAAGCCTGTCCTAAAAAAAAAAAGAAGAAAATAATTGAGTCAAGATACATTTGAGAATGTAAACTTACCAGGTTCAAGTCTTTTATGGTTGTAATCTATGACTTTAGCAGGCCTCAGGAATTCTACTTCCAAACGAGGGCGAACTGGAGCTGGCTCAAAACGTGATGGTGCGGGAGTAGGCGCAGGCTCGGGTCGGCCCCATTTCCTGTCAAGACAAACCAAATTAGAATTCATTAGCTCATTAAAAGATATGGGTTCGATTGTTGATCATTTGCGTACAAAACGGTCTGTTTCACGCAAGAGATACAGCCAAATAAGTATACTCTTTATGGGTAAAGTTGCACTAAAATGACATTGGGAACGTCAAACATTTTGAAATCTACTCCTTAATACGCAATGTGCGTAGTGCGTAACACGCTTTTCCAAGTTTCCCACGTCTGCAGGCAGTTTTTCTCGATCATCGCCGACCAGGTATGCTCGAGCAGCTGGGTAAAAAAACTAACTTAACTAAACAAACGATTTCACTAGCGTTTGTTTCCTTTTTCTTTCTTAATTTTGCAAAAATTAAAACTTTGAGTCAATTGAAATCTTGCGCAAGGAGAGTTTATAACAGTTCAAGAGATTGGTTGTATATTTAAGGTAGGTCTCTTTCCGGGCAAACCTGCCTTCCCACCACCAAGAGAAACTGCCCGCATACACAATAGATTTGAAAAAGTATGTTACAAACTACGTAGATTGCCCGCTAGAAGTGGATTTCAGACTTGTTTGATGTGCTCGACGTGATTTTCTAGTGAATTTACCCTTAAAAACTACATTCAGTTGGCTGTATCTCTTCCGTGCAACAGACTCATTTTTCAGGATATTTTCATCATCAAAATGCAGGAAAAAAAACAATGTGTAATTATTTTGACTGACTTCACTATTTTCAGGGGCTTGATCTCAGTCATAATAACCGGTATGTAAGCAAATTATTGTATTGTAACATATTAACCAAAAATTTTTTGTTTTCTGAAATTTGTATGATTGGCCCATTATGTACCTTTGGTCAGCAGTAATGAAGACTCAAAAGTTAATCTAAGAAGGTACATTGTTAGTATGTCTTGACTGATTTTGCAGCATGGATTAAAAGGCTGAACACAGCTAGCAAGAGAGCCATTATGAAGGAATTGATTGGATTGAGGATATAGGAAAAGAGGAATGAGGAAAAAAAAGTACTTACGGTCTTTCACTATTAGGTATATTGCCGGGTGACAAATTTTCATCTGTAAGATAAATAAAAAACATAGTTACAAAAATAGTTTCAGGACTCGGGAAGATGTTCAACAGTAATAAAGGTACAAAACACGAATGGTCTTGTGTAGCAAGAATTGAAAGTCTCGAGCCATGCCTGAGAATTCTCATTTTGCATTGTGCATTTGGTTTTCCTGCTTTTGCTTCTACGTGCCTTCATAAAATTGAGCATGTGGCATATTGATGGGTATAAGGGGAAAAAGGATGTGAATCTCGATTTGCCAAAATGCCAAGCCTCAAACTCTTATCGACCATTGACGGCAAGATAATCAACAAGGTTGGATACTTTCCGGACAGACCTCTCATGCACCTTCATGCTTTGGTCATTGATGCGCTACCTATCTGCAAGAATACAAGCCATAATTAAATTGTATTTTTGACAAAGGGCACCTCAATTCCAGCACCTGATTCCTAACCTGACAATGAAAGGGTTAACCATTGCCTAATTTCCTTTCGTTTTGTGTATGATGTAATTGAAAAAAAAAAGAAAAAAAACAACTAGCAACTAATCTATCTTAGAGTTATAGGTGCATCTCCATTATAATATTCATCTATGAGTAAGTTAAGTTAATGTTAATTAGATAGTTAATTAATTAGTTAAAGTTAATTAGAATGAGAACATATAGTAATTTTACTAATTAATATTCTAATTTTTTCTCATGTTTCAATTTTCAAAACAAAAAATGCAGGCAAGGTGAAATAAAATGCGGTGAATTCCCATGATACGATGATTTGAACTAAAAGAATTGTCCACAAAGATCATACCAGAAAAAGAATGCTAATAAGTAGAAAAAAAAACAAAAAAGAAAACTTGCCTCTAAAGGGTCTCGGAGGTCCAAAATCATCATCTGGAAACTTGTTCTCCTGTTGAAGATAAACTGAATAAGTTATTATGTTTATACCAGAGGAAATGATAGACGCAAAACAGGAAAAAGACGACTAACCGACTTAGATACACACACACTGATGCAATCGATAATTTTACTTAAAACTGAATAAAAAATCAGCTGACTCTGAATTGAAAATTCTGAGGCACTCAAGAGACATGATGCTTCAAAGTAAAATATACAGAATAAGAATTTTACTATGTTAAAAACCATTGTAAGCTCTATCAGTCTTGCACTTGTCTCAGTAAAAGACAACCTCTAAATTACAAGAGAAAGATGAAAAATCTAAGACAGACTTGATGTTGTGGCTCAGGAAGGCCCCCCTAATATTGGTAAAAATTCAAATAATTTTGCTTCCTCTAAATTAAAATTTAATAAAATGTTCTTCTTACGATTTTATTTTTCTTGTTTTCAGGTTAGTTAAGTACCGAACAATGAAAAAATAAATTTATAAAATTTTCATACCGTATCAAACTTATTCCTGCTATCGAATCCTCTATCAGATCCATCAAAACGACCACGTCCCCTTGCCTCGAACCTGCCACGTCCTCTGGGCTCATCAAATCTGCCACGTCCCCTAGGTTCATCAAACTTTCCACGACCCCGAGGCTCATCAAACCTATCATCCATTTCATTGAATTGGTCTCCGCTATTCGGTCCATCAAATTGTCCTCGCTCTTCAAAAGGCTCTCTGGTCCTTGAGTTATCGAACTGTCCTCGACCTTTTGATCTAAAATCATTCATAGCTGAACTTTGACCGAACGGAGCATCAGTGATTGAGCTTAAAGGTGGGAGTCCGGCACTGGTTCGTATCCGTTCAAGAGCGTCTCTTTTATCCATTAAGTAGCTTGGCCTGAGGAGGCTGCCGGCATTATTCAAACTACCTCCAAGAGAGGGTTTCGACGGTTCTCGGTCAGTAATGGGATCGTCAAACCTGCTTTTTCGCTGATTGAAGCCTTTGTTCCCAGTGTCTCGAGGGCCTGATCTATCCATGAAACCAGGAGGCTTATTCTTAGGATCAAACCCAGGTGGCCCACTTTTGAATTTATTATAATCAGGATATTCTTGATCATCGTAAGACCTATTGAAAGACCCATTGCTTTGTACATCCATATCGTCATCTGGGTATTGACTAGAATCTTGAAAGTCCCGGTTGAACCTTCCTCCTCCGCGCTGATCGAATCCTGCTGGTTTCTGGAGGAGGCCGCCAGGCCCTTTCTCTTTTCCACCTGACGAGTCAAAGTAATTATTCTGAGATCGAAAATTGTCAGACTGGGAATCTTGCCCCCTACCGAATCGGTTGGATGAGTCGCCCGGTTTGGCTTTGTCGCCGCCGAAGGCATTCGGACCTTGAGAACTATTTTGATTGAATGGGGCTGCAGTTGGTGGGGCAGTTGTAAATCCTGCATTGGGCATTCCTGGGTACATTTGCATGGGATTTGGCATTCCATACATATTGGGTGCACCAGCAGCAGGGGTCATTCCGAATCCATCTGGCGGTGGTGCTGAGAACATTCCAGCTGCAGGTGGAGCAACATTCGGTGCGAACGATGGAGGCATACCAACTTGCTGATTGGCTCCTTGCATGAAGGGGGGCATCTGCCCAACAGGAGGCGGAAACTGGAACGGTTTGTCATCGGAGGTAGTTAAAGGTTTGTTCATGTCGCGGCCAGAGTAGTCGTTCCTTTCTTGACTGTTTTTACTTGGATCATTTCTGTTCCCCGAGTCTCCTTCTTGACCAACAAGGTCTAAGCCAGGAATACCTTTGCTTCCAGACTTTAAGAAATCAAGTGGAGCCGTATTGGTTTCTGGATTCATGGCTGCAGCATTCATTCCTGGGAACTGATTCTGAAAAACATGACAAATATAGAATTAGAATTAAAATGAATAATTTTCATTGGGTTTTTCAGAGAGGTACACATTTTGAAACTAAACTGCAGTGTGCCTGCTGTAGTTTCAGGGCAAAGAGACTAGGTTCTGCTTCGGTAATTTGAATTTTGAGGTCTGGAATATGAATTTCAAGTGACATTGACCGAGAATGATGTACAGTGAGTACTATATTATTGCCGGAGAAATCTGCTTTGTGCATCCTTAACATATTCACCAAGTGATGATTCCCGCAATTTTCACTAACCCCTGAAGACTCACTGACTATGTAGCTAAAAACAATGGGAACAAAATTGGACGCTGCTCTTTAGTTGTTCCTAGGAGTCATAAATTAGCAAGTTGGATTTTCCTGATAATTTAGATAAAATTTCTACATTTTAGGCACAAACTGACTCTCACTTAAATTTACAAACCAATATATTTGATAGATTGAATCAAATGTTTCACTATTGCATGTGTTGAACTGCATGTGGTTGAAAAACGCTTGACCCACTTTGAGTTTCTTGATCCTGGACCAATATTCCTGATACTTTCCGATTTTTACGTAAGGGGGACGAAATTTAAGAGCATCCAAGGACTCTTCAAGGCATCAAAAATCTTAAGAGATAATAAGTGTGCAGAGAGCCTCACCATGGCTGCCTGAGTGGTTTGCTGAGTCATAGGGGGCGGCACTGCCATTCCTGGGAAGGCCCCATAACCAGGGAAACCGTAAGCACCAAAGCCTGCCATAGCCGCGGCAGGATTCATTGCGGCGTTCATTTGGAACATGGCCGGATTCATGGACCCAGCAGCGGAGTTCATACCGCTCATCATAGTTGCTGCAGCTGATACCGCTGGTGCTTCGTTCTTCTTCGCTTCTTTGGCAGCTGCCTCGCGAGCTGCTTCTTCCTCCTTCTTGATCTGCGCCTCTTTGGCTTCTCGACGCTTCTTCATCTGCTCGCGCCTATCCAACAGTTGCTCCCGCCAACTTTCCCATTTCGCCTCATATTCTTTGTACTGGTTCTGGAGAAAGAAAAATTGATGAGAACGCAATTTATGTTTTTAAATCTGCTTGAACTAGGCAGATTATTCTTAAAATTGGAGTTATTCATAATTCAACACAATTAAAATTCATCTAAAATTCAAAACAAAACCTGTAAATTAATGTTTTCAAGTTCCAATCATTTGAAAAGCTGGGCCGATGAGTGAATTTTTTCGCCTGGGACACCCCCATTTTTTCTAGAAATATTGTGACAGATGACTGTTCAGTGCAGCAAGATTGTTGGTAGTTTTTCCAGAATCATCACAATTAGGCATAAAATACACGTAATTTGAAAAATTCAACACTGCGAAGAGGGTCTTCTCAGTTGCGTTCGCCCTAAATAATAATGTAGGAAAATTTTTGTTGACATAATGAGTTGAGCTATTTCACTTTGAAGTGTTATTTATAAGCTTTCATACTTTTGCTTGTTTGGCTAATATTTTTATTAAAGCATCTTTTTCTTAATGGTCTTCAAGAAAATAGGCAGAAAAATTCAAATATGGTCTCACAAACCGAAACATCCCATCCTGACAAGATGTTCAATTTTTTGGGATGACACACATTTTTTCAGAAAAACTGAGATACGCCAATTTGACTGGATTGAGTTCAATGGCATTCCCATCTTTGTTAATAAAACTCTATTGGATCTTATTTCTATTGCTTCATTATGATGCAAATGCAGATCTTTTTTGGCTTGTTGCTTTTGTTTACATTCTATTTTTTGTATTTGGGATTCTGCCTGTCAAACTATTAGAAATAGAAATACATAAAATGCAACTTACTTTATCAGGATGATTAATGTTCTGTTCTTTCCAGCGTAAGAACTGACTCTCCCAATTTTTAAACTGCTGGTCAAAAGCTTTCTCGGCTTCCGCCAACTCTTCAAGAGATTCACCCTAGAAAAAGGAAAGAGATTAATTATTTTTTTTTTTTCAAAAATAGGATAGAGAGCCCAGAATAATGACAGTTAAACAGAGAACATGAAACTTAAGACAAGAAAAACAATGCTAGAAACAGACAAGAAAATTGAACTGCAGGATGTGCCAGGGTATCAAAATTAAAAAAGAACAAATCGTAAAATGAATGTACAAAAGACAAAGCAGAATGGCCGATCCAACTAAACAATACTGAAATATTGACTTCTTGATTAAAACTCAGAAGCAAATGGATTCCTGGCTGAGAAAATCACTTATTCGTTATTCACAAATCTCAAGAGGGTTATTTCTAAGAAACAAATATTTAAGCCACAACCATTGCTTTTAAACATCTGGAGTGTAGTTTTTCGAATAACGACTAAATCAATTTTTTGCAAAAGAATGTAAATTAATTGGAACAATTCAAAATTACCACAGACAGTCCATTAATTACAAAAAAAAGGCCCGGATTTACAGGCTACGTATCCTAGGCAATTGCTTGTCCTTAGTAATTTTGCATGATGCAGTGAACTTACAATCTCATGAAAAAAAAAATCAATTCAATTGCAATTTAATTGAATTTAATTAATGTACATTCAAAAAATTTGTGGCTTTGTTATAAGCTTTTGATAAGTATTAAGATAAAATAGAGCAGAGACTAGAAAAATAGTAACAGATTGAAATGTCAATTATTTATGCACAATTCTAAAACTCCTTTTCAGTTACTAGTTTAAAAAATGTTACACCTTTTTTCACAACACTGCTGATGATTTAATGGGAGCCCTAAGATAATGATGAAGAAAAAGTAATTTCTTGAAGGAAATAAGGGTTTTTACACGGTGGCCAGATAATGATCAAATAAAAATTTGATGATGGTTTGTACTAGACACAAGCTTCTAGTTGTATGAGAAAAAACAATTTGAAAGAAGCAAGAGAAAAATAAAAGAAAAACCAAAACAATGATGACAAAAACAACATCAACAGGAAGAACGACCAAATTTCCTCACCTTTTTAGCTTTATCATCTACAGACTTGTCGCTCTTGAATTTTTTTGCATCGTCTTTACTATCTTTATCATCAAAACCCCGCTTAAGGCTTTCATCAGCCTGTCAACAGAATCGAGAGTAATGGTGCCATTAAAAGCTTAGAAAATGAAAGAAACCACACAATTTTTTGCTGAGGCACAGTTTAACATTCAACCCATTCTCTTGCAATTATGTATTTAATTTTTATTCTTCTCAAAAACGGTAACTTTGGACACCTCTGAGTAGTTCTGAATTTAATTCGGTGGTTTTGAAATTTGAAATGGTTAGTAAACAAGAACACAGTTAGAAAATAAACAGTTTTTACAGATTTAGCATTCTCTTTTTTTTTATTTACAACTGCCTGATCAAGAAACTTGCAAAATCACTGAAATCAGCTATGATCACACATGAACGTTACGTGATGTGCAGACACAATAAAACCAAGCCATCAAATGGGAGGGAAAACCACCTTGTGAGTAGGGTGGTCACTGATCATACGACTCTTGTTAAGATGGAACTAACTAATAGACTCTCAGAGAGTTCTATGATGAATTTATGCACTTGTCAATTTAAGGGAATGGGTTAAAACTGACACCTTGGGCTTGGGATATCTCAAAGCAGCATTCCTGTAATTTGGCGATTTCAACACTAGTCTCAAAAACACTAAGTCTTCAATGAAAATGCAACCCTCCCTCTTGGATCTATTATTTTCAAAAGCTGTTTTGCAAACCTGTCTGATTTAAGTTCATGCATTTTCTTGATGATCTGATTCATTTCTACTTAGAAAAGCAAGTATTAGAATTGGAGGTTCTTTTCTCACTTTAGAATATTTTGAACTTCTTCCAACTTGATCAAAATTTTGCAAAACTTTCCTGGCCTTTCACTTCTCGAGAAAGAATCAGTTATCTTGGATGGATGAGCTTTGAAGCTTACGCTTTTGAAGATATTGAAGAGCTTACTGTTGGAATAAGTTGAGTGACATTTTTACTCGAGTCCTAACTTATATGGAAAATACGAATTATTAAGAGTTTTGGTTAACCCGAGGGATCTCAAAAAAAAGTCATGTTTGAAATCTGACAAGCATTAAATCAAAGTTAAGAGGAAGGAGAGGAAAAAGAAAAAGAAAAAAAAACAATATTATTATCAGTACCTGAGATCTGGTTCCTTTGTTACTCCTAAGACAGAAAAAACAAAAGAAAAAATATTAGCGCAAAAAAGTCAATACTTTACATCTCAGACTCTCAAAAAATTTGCAAAGGGCACGGTGGTAGATAGAGTAAAAACTAATCTGAGATTCACAGTGAGAGTTGTTTTGTACTTTCTATTGTATCTTGTATCTTCTTCCTCTTGGTATATATACTTTATTGCTTCAATATTACAAAAAATGCCATTATAATGAGAGTGCAGGGTGCAATTATCATTTTTGGCTTTATTAAATGAGCTAAGAGTAACTTCTGATACTCATGATATGGAAAATATTTCCTTAATTTTTTATAGAAGCGCAGAAAATTGTTTTTTCTAGGATTTCACGCAGATACTAAAAAAAGTCTTGGGAATGTTTCTTGTTAAAACTTATGAAAAAAGGAACAATCTAGAAAAAAACTCGGCAACTTTTAAAAGAGTGAGACTGCGACTTTCCTGACCTGTTCATGACTACAAGGTCATCCATTTCCTGTACTCTATTTTTTTGGAAATCCAAAAACTTATACTGAATTTGATAGAAGTATTAACCAAATTAGTCTTTGATGACACCTTTTTGGTGACCTAAAAAAATGAGCCACTCCTACATTGACTGGGCATTAGGGGGGAAAAAAGTATTTTTTTCCAAGTTTACAGTCTTATAGAAAACAGCCCATGGTGTGATTGTGAAGTGATGTGTTTAAATTGGAATTAAATTTGACAAATAGATCTTGACATGCGGCTGTAAACCCGAATCAAGGATGCTTGATGGACGGACAAACACTCTTTCAGGTTTTTTTTTTTCACTCCAGACACTTTAAAACGCCTAGATATGATAAAATTTTAACTTTTTTTTCTTTCATTCTATCTAGGTTGACAACACTTCCCCTTCTCGCTGGGGGGGGGGGGGGGGGGTGAGAGGTGAGAAAGTAAAACCTGAGCTTACCCTGAGTCATACTGAGTTGATGGTTGAGATGGAGCTGCGGCAGTTGGAGGAGGAGGCTGCTGGGGAGCAGTTGTTGGCAATGGTGGTTTCGGGGTTGCGTCTGGTGTTGGCGCAACACCCATTGTAGCGTTCATGTGAGCCTGATACTGAAAAATTGAAAGTCACTAATTTTAGACAAGATGAATTGAAAGTAAATTGTGAAAAACTGATGCACTGCCTATAGTCCACTGCCCTCCAATGTAAAACATCTGTACTTAACTTTGAGAGTTAATTAGGCCCAGTACATAATTCCGGTGTGTGCGTAATTGCATTTACGCACATTTTTGAGGAAATTTAACCCTCTTTTTTAGTTATTTAAGTCTGATCCAATTTGTGAGGATGCCTAATTATTGAGGGCAAAATGCGTAATTTGAAACAGCAACACTGTTTCTGAAAAAATATCTGATTACAGAAGAATTAACTTAGCGTTCATCCTTATTATCTTCAAAATAATTGTGGCATAGGTACCACTGGACAAAGTTTCTATAATTTCTTCATTTTCCGATTGCCTGAATTTTTATGCTTAGGTCTGACTCAAAAACTATCCAAAAATTTTTCAACCCCTGGAAAACTACGAAAAAACTACTCTCTCACTGACTAGTTAATTTTGAAATGCTCTCGAAGTTTTGCATGTTTTACACGACCTGTGGATGGGAAAAAAAGTTTCGCTTTACTTTATTTCTACCCTATCTAGTGGTCCCTTGACTTTCTGATATAATCCAAGAGTCAAAGTATTTTTTACTCACTTTCTCCCCATACTGTTGTTGCCACTGGGCATATTGTTGCTGCCACTGTTCCCACTGCTGCCAGTTTTGTTGTTGCGCCATTGCCCACTGCTGAGGTGTGTAACCTGCTGCTGCTGCAGCGACTCCGGCACCACCAGTCGTTGCTGCTGTCATCGCCTATAAATCAAAGAAAAAATATAACTAGATATATTTTTAAAGAAAACTTGTAGTTAAGAGTTCCAATGCTTCAGCAATCAACAAAATAAAAGAAAAAATAAGTTCAGTTCCCTGAACACGATGCAGATTTTGCAATCAAAGATATCAATCACTTTAAGTGAAAAGCAGCCTTGACCAACCTCAAGAAATGAGACGCAGTAGACGAATTAACAAATACAAAATTATTATTGTGGTTATCAAAATTCTGCTCATTTTCCAAGTCTGCAATGGGATTGTTGCAAAGTTATCCAATTAGCTCACTTCAGTTATTAATTCAATTCTACTAGTAGCGTACAAAATAAGAAATTACTTAATCTTTTACATTTTTTTCATTTTACCGAATCACAGCCGAAGCAACTACTTTCGACAGATTTCAGCGATAAAATCATTCAGGCGACCAAAATTTTAATTTTCACCTGTTATTTTACTGAAAAATGCTAAAATTCCCTAATTTCTAGGAAGTTTCATCACGGATATTTTTGCTTCAAACAGTTATACCAGCTACATTAAAATACTTGCAATTCTCTAATTTTCCCTGTCGCTAAACACTGTTACAGCTTCACTATTTTTCCTAACATGACAGAAAAACTAGCAATGTGAAATTTAGTCTCATTAAAGGACTGGCTTTGACTGACCTGTAAGTACTGTTTGTGAAGTCTTAAATTTTAGAAGTAACATTTTACATAGAAACCTCTGGCATCCTTCTCCCTTCAATCATATTCTCTTGAGAAAAACATGTCTTCCTTGATAGTTGGCATCTTTACAGTAAAACTACTGATGTTTTCCATTTTTCAATATTCACAGTTGAGGAAGTAGAATTTTAATGACAAAAGGGTCTAAGAGCTTGTAGCAAAGATTTTTTCTGTAATTAAACCGATGACATTTTCCAGGTTTTCCTGATCCTTGACTTCATACTTTGAGGAATTAATAAGAAAAATACTAACGGCTGGGTTAAGGGCAGCTGCTTGGGCATTGTACATTGGATATGAGCCCATTGAGAAAGCACCAAGAGCTTGTGTCGCTGCTGCCCCTGTAGCGGCAGTGCTTGCTGTGCTGGCTGCTGTAGTCGGTGGAGGCATTGAGAAGCCAGCCATACTTGAAGCCACACCAGTGGTGGCGGCTTGCGCGCCCCACTGTCCCCATGTTGCCTGCATTGTACCTGTAAGCAGATAGAGACAAAGTTACATCTTGCATCAAGTCACAATAGACTTAATTTTAAAAATAAATATGTGTTTCCAACAACTATTGGCATCCGATCTATTTCTTAAAGTGTACATGTTAAACCTGCCACTATATTTTCCATGTGAAGAGTTCACTTTTCCCCTAGAAACTAACCTTGATTTTGAACCATTAGAGCTCGCGCATCGTATGTTGAGACAAACGTCAAAGTATCGTTTGTCACCATTCACCAGTGGTGCCACCTGACTACATGTATTAGCCTGTTGAGTGGTGCAAATTCGGAGCTATTCGGAGATTGACGTTTGTCTCAACATACGATGCGCAAGCTCCAACTTGGCATTACTATTCAGCTACAGCAAGGCCCCAATAGCATCAGATCAAAGGTTTTTTTTATCAACATTTTGCATATATATATTTTCATTTCCAACCTGACAGTTGGACCGCGTTAAACAGAGAGGCACCAAGCCACATCAGCTATTGACAAATTTAATTTTTTGCATGAAAACGATTGTGCGGATTTTTTAGCATATTTCAGAGAATTTCCTGCATATTATGCAACATGTTCTTAAACATTTTCGAAAGGAATCCGCACGAACATTCTCTTGCAAAAAATTGAATAGCCCGGATAAATTTAGCAGTAGCCGGTGTGGCTTGGTTCCTTTCTGCTAAATGCGGTCCAATGGGTGTAGGCAAAAACTAAGTGTAATCTACTGAGCAGGGCTAAAAATGGCTGCAAAACTGCCTCTGCCATGTCGATGATACATCTTCATGTCCTCAAAATCTTCGCACCATGCTTACTGTAGTTTACTTATTCATGAGCTTGAGAACTGGGAGTTATTACATCAGGTTTCAAACTTAGGCTTAGATTTGTCAACGCTCTTTCAGCACAGTACTGGAGCCACTTAACATAAACGGAACAAACTCCACGGTTGAAAATAAAATGGGAGTCTCCCAATATCGTTAAACTCGATGAAATGGTGAACCTCCTTGGCTGGTTCACACGTCAAAAGTTAATGTGACTAGATCTTGACGGCATGCTCATTTATCTTCACTGCACGATTGCTTCAAGTTCACAGTTAAACCCCACTCTTGGTGGCCAATTTTTGCAAATTTTTGGCACCATACTGAGGGGGAAAAATACGAACAGTGCTCATATCACTGGGATCCTAGCCGTAGCTAAGGAGTCCCATCTGAGGTTCTATCTGCGGTTGCTAGGTGCTAGGCAAACTGAATGAGGGTGCTTGTTGGATACTCTACCTTAGATACTATAGTTTTAATTGGTGATAAGGAAAATAATCGAGAGTGAAAAAGAGGCTCCGAGACTTTCGTAAAACTAAATGCCAATTAATAGGCCTCTGCTTGGGGGTGATGTTTGGGTAACATGTTTGGACTTGCACTTCGAAGGGCGTGCGTCACCTTTTAACGTATAAAGTCTGTAAAAAATATGGTAGACTAACCTTAGGATGCTTACCGTGCTCTTAATTTTACATGAATACCACTGATTTTACGATACTTAGGAGAAAATGCTGATAAAATGCGGGGAAAAAACACTCACGCACGGGATTTTCAACACCTCCATTAGCAACTCATCGAAATTTTGTCGAACACCGGAAACGCGTGCTTGGTCATAGTGTCGAATCACTCGAATCGAAAGAGAAGATGTCGACGGCGGTCGACGGTCAAAATTGTCGACGTTCACCTTTGTTTACTATGGCAGCACTTCCGTAAACCTCTCCCTTTAAAATCGGAAATACGACGTCCCTCAAAAAAATGATAGGAAAAATTTCGGTTTGCACTATGAAAAAACACTGCACGTGTGCGTCAACATCCAATCAGAGTGACGGAACTCTAGATTTTTTCTGTGTGTATACGCGACCCGTCCATTTCATTGGTTGACGTCTGTCCACCCACAGAAGAATTTATAGGTTNCTGCCATAGTTTACAACAGGTTATGTCAAAAAAAATTTTATCTTTTGTGCTCCAAGTTATTTGCTGGTTATTTGTTTCTTTCTGTGCATAATCTGTAATATATCTGTGAGAATTACTAAATTTCAGGGTTTTAATTATCAGTTTTACCACATTGAATCTATTTGTTATTGAAAATTTATTCGCCCCGATTTTACTCCAAGGGTTGCGAATCTTCACTGCCCGCTGTATTTATTATTGTTGCATAGTTTCATCTCTGCTAAGACGTAGCGGAATCATTTTATAGCCAGGATGAATGAAGATATTCCCTCATCATATGATGTCATTGTCGTGGGCACAGGTATGTCTCAAAGTGCTTTGACACTATGTAAATATAAGGAGTGTTCAAACCGAAAGGTGCGCGCACATGATGTTTTAAAAACACAGCAAATCTGGAGCTGTTAGAAACGCTCAAATACTTAGTTAAAGGAAGATACTGATAATCTCTTTTAAATGAAATTAAATAATGAAGACCCTTCTGCTGTCACGGCAAAGAGACTTCTCTTTCAACAAAAGTGCCTAGGGCTCTTTCTTTTGAATTAATGAGATCCATTTCCAACAAGTTTATTGAGGACCATCAACATAAAGTTTCTTCAACATGAGTGCAAAAGAGTCATCCCTCTGGTAATGCTGCCATTTTGTGATGCAATGAACTGTCCTCTGGGATAGGGATGAAGAGCATTATAGTTTGTAGTATCCCACTGCGATCATACAGAAAGGAAAGCCTCTGAGTAAGTAGTGGACCACGAATGATTTCAAATGAGACAGCATGATGTCGCAACAATGATTCTGAGTTGACCTTAGAGCTTCTATTTTTCATTGTTCAATCATATCCGGATAAAAGAAATAATCTTTTTGTATTCTCATTGAGGAAAAACATTGACTTGTTGAACCAAGTTTACGGTTGATTCATGAATACTTTCTCAAGTATTTTACCAAAATGACATTTACAGCTTAATTCTTCTATAATTTGCTCAATTTATTTCAGGTATGACAGAATCTATTATTGCAGCTGCTGCTAGTAGAGTTGGGCAAAGAGTTCTTCACTTGGACAGGTAACATATCTGCAACCAAGATCATGAACTCTTATGATTTGTGATCATTATTTGAAATTTTCCATAGACTGTAAAATAATCGGTCAGTAGCACCCATCCTCTCTAATTCATTCTTTTTTCAGAAACGTTCTCACTTTTGTATGGTGTGAACTATAAACTTCTCACAATTTCCTCAGATTTGTTTTAACCCTAAATGACAAAAAAAAACCCTGTTCTGAAAATGCGAAAAATGGGACCAGTTTGAACAATATTTTTGGTGGGCTTTGATGACGTAGCAAGGCAGGGGAAATAGAATTGACAGTGCTTGCTAGTCGGATAAACTCAGCTTAAGACATCGTCTCACTCTAATGAAACACGCTGCCTAACAATCAGCTCGTCCGTCAGCTTTTAATTAGGTATCAGATAAATTAGCTTTTTCTCCCCTTAGAAACAGTGAAATTTTTGAGTTTTTCACAAAATTTCAAACAAGAAAAATTGTATTTCAACCCTGCAAAAATTCCTTGTCTCTGCCTTGTTGAATTTAAAGTTTTTTTTTTTGTTTTTTTTTGCAGTAACTCATACTACGGTGACCTGTGGGCAACGTTCAATTTCAAAGGAATTGAGGAATGGATTAGCAGTCAGTCCCCTAAGGTCTCAGAAGAAAATTTGATTGGTTCCTCTGGTTTCTCTGTTCCTGAAAACTGTTCATGTTTACAAATCAAAAACGTTGGATCACTGGTTTCGAACATAGAGGAAAGATTTTTCATAGAGTAAGTACAAATTGCTATTTCTTCGTATAGATTACATTTTTCAAATTGGATTACATTTACATTTGGATTTTACATTTACATGGTTACATTACATGGATTACCAAGGAATCAGAAGTATTGTAATGATGCTAAGATTGTGTATTTTCATCCTTTGCAATAAAATTACTGAAATCATGAAAAAATATGAAATTTTAGATGCTAATTTTTGTCTTTAATTTACAGTTTTTAGCTAGTAAAATAGAAACTGTCAATGGATAATCAGGTTTTTATTCCAAGACAAAAGAAGTTGCACAATCTTAATGCTCCTGGCTCCTTTTTGCAAAATGCAATCCATATATTCTCAAGTCTGCTAAAGTTTATAGTAATTCAAAATACGATTGAGTGGTATGCTGGGAAATTATAGAAAATCACAAATTCTTCAAAGTTTTCTCTAATTTCTCCCTTGAAGTAACCTTTTGATGCTGACCTGTGTTCAATTGGTCACACAAATGAGGGGTTTGAGGGAAATTGTTGTAATTTTGAGAAAATTTTGGCATAAAATGAAAAACTTACAGGGAAGACTATGACACAAATGAACTCAAACCTGAAAAATGAGGCAAGACAACGATTTACTATGATCAGTTTTCTTAGAGAGTATCTCCCAAACAAGTTTTACTCAGAATGACTAGCTTTTAACTTTCTCTCCAGGTTTTTCTTTTCCCCTTTTTTTCTCTCTAACTTCTCCAGTTGCAATATCCCTCATTCTGATACATACATAATTAGAACCATTCAAAAGGAAGAAAAAATAGTTAAAACCAAGAAAAACTCCATCTAAATGGAAGGAAAAATCGACAAAAATAAATTTCAGTGACTGGAGGAAGAGAATTGCAACATCAAGCACTAACCCTCTCCGAATCTTTCATCTTTTACCAACTGTTGCATTAGATCTTGATCGATTTATTTTTTCTCTTGTCTTATTTCTGCAGAGATAAAGAAGAAGAAACACCAGAACCAACAATCGCCGGTTCAAGCGCCAATAAAGATTTAGAGCAGGTCCCAGATGACAATGCATCCGGACCTACAGAAGAACCTCAAGAAATCAAACCGACTCCAAGTGAGCCTGTTGAACCCGAAAAGCAGGAGGTCTCCTGGAGCCAAAAAACATTCCTAGAAAATAGTCGTAAATATAATCTAGACCTTGCTCCTAAGGTAAGAATTTTGAATACTAAAAAATCTGCAAAATTTGAAATTATTCAAAGGCTAAAGGTTCCCTCATTTCGATTACTATGATTTTAAATTAAAAACAGTTTTGGGATAATTTTTTTTTTCTTGCTTCTTTTTATAGGAAAGAAATGAAAAAATACTCTTGGCCCCCTCATTTGAGCCTGGGCCTCTTCATTTTTATGTAACCACATAGTTGCTAGAGTGGGAAGTAGTTTCACCTCTGCTTCAAGGTAATAACAGGCTCAATTTCAATCAAAATAAAAATTCTTTCAACTGAAGCTGTTTTCGAGTTTTTCATGAACTTTTTTCAAAGTTTTATCTGTAGAAGAGCGATCTCTGTCCTAAGAGTTTATGTCTGAAAGATTTTCATTACTCAAATAAGAACATTTTTCCTCTCTAAAGAAACTTAACTTAAGTAGGTGGATGTGTAAAAAATGTTTGTATCTGTTTTCTCTCCTGGTACATCAAGATCAATCCTTGTTACAATGTTAACCTCAGTTTTGAACTTTTTTTCCAGCTACTTTTCGCCAAAGGTTCATTAGTTGAACTTTTGATATCATCAAATATCGGTCGCTATACTGAATTCCGCAGCGTGACACGTGTTCTAACGTGGATAAATAATCGACTGCAACCCGTCCCATGCTCTCGAGCGGATGTTTTTGCAACTACTGATGTTAGTGTGGTAGAAAAACGCATGCTCATGAAATTACTTACATCTTTCACTCAGTCTGACTCAGGCAGTGAATTTGAAGGTAAGCCTGTCCTCCTACAATTTCAGCTGTTGTCAATACTGTTTTCATAACACAGTTCAAACAGCTTTGAACCCTCAGAAGTGCGTGTCGATCCACCAACTATTTTAAAAAAAATTTCTGCAAGAATGGGGATTTTTGTGCAAGGACTCAGACTTTTCAGGAAGATGATTTTTTTTTAAGTTGGGTTGAAGCGTTAAAAGTTCAGTTTGTAATAGTAAATATTAGACATCAGAATTCGAGTTTTTAATTTTAAATTTCTAGAATTTTCAAGGACACGGTGGGAGCAATTAATTCCAGTTTTGTGACAATAAAGGGAATAAAATTTATTCAATTGATAATTTGAAATTTCAAGCATGGAATATTACAACTTCAAATAACTTTTTCTCAACTAAGGCATTTGCAAACCTTAAACCATCATAACTCTTGCTCTGCTCTGTATTTTTTGATGCTTTAAGTGGCAAAATATTTGTATCATACTCCTGCATGTACTTGGACCATTAACTTCATTTTAAGTTTTAAGAAGCACCGAGGGCTTCTCTCCAGCGGACAATTACATTCCTGAAAACTCTTTTCTCTTTATTGGATGCAAAAAGAGATTTTTTCGAATACCTGACCATTTATTTATTTCATGATTTTTTTTGTAACAGCTTTTCAGGACAAAACATTTTTGGAATTTCTAAAGAGCAAGAAGTTGCCAAACAACCTGATTCATTATGTACTTCACGCCATTGCCATGGGAACAGAAAAAACTTCGTTTAAAGAAGGACTATCCCGATCTCAGTTATTCCTTAGCAGTTTAGGACGATATTCCAACTCACCATTTCTGTGGTCTATGTATGGAAGCGGAGAGCNGATCTTATAATGTTGCCAAATTTAATTAACACTCAGATAAGGTACGCCCCTTGACCGCTTCCCACTCCAACCCCCCAAGCGCTTCGTCGGGTAATCATTTTCAATAAAAAAACCCATGTTGAATATTCTGTAGTTGTTCATGCGACAGATTTCCACTTTTATTGATTAAAAAACTTAAGATCTGTCCGATGTTGCAAAGTTTCTGCAATATTTTTCGTAATATTCTCGAGAAGTATACGTTCGCGCCTGCGAGTAAGGTGGCTGATATATGTAGGAAATTCCACGCTGCGGCGCGTCATCACAGCAGCCATTTGGGAGATTTCACTATCGCGTGCTTGTGTATCTTACATCAAACATACATAGAGTCACGAGAATTTGTTTATAAACTTGCAACTCCGAACAACTCCGAAACTTAAAGCTTCGGACTGTATTAACATTACTAATGTAATATGTGCAATAAATCGTAACTCTCACATTTCACGTTCTGTGATGTACAGTAAATAAAAATGAATAAATAATCATTCTATTCGGCTAAAACTATTCCTTCTAATGAGAACAAAATGGAAGTGACACTTCTTTCACCAGAAAACAGGTAAAAATCCATATCACGGAAGGCAAAATGTGTAAATAAGAGGAGAAAGTTCGTTGGCCGGAAGAAGGGCGTATCTTCGGTGTACTTTACAGGTCAATTATTAACGTAACAAATCGACAGATTTTTCTCAAACTTGGAGGATACTCTCACTATTCGACGTAGAATCAGAAAAGCAGAATGTTGAAAAAAGGGCGTATCTCGAGATACGCCCTTCTTCCGGCATGATCCTCAATTACATTCCTGAAAACTCTTTTCTCTTTATTGGATGCAAAAAGAGATTTTTTCGAATACCTGACCATTTATTTATTTCATGATTTCCTTTGTAACAGCTTTTCAGGACAAAACATTTTTGGAATTTCTAAAGAGCAAGAAGTTGCCAAACAACCTGATTCATTATGTACTTCACGCCATTGCCATGGGAACAGAAAAAACTTCGTTTAAAGAAGGACTATCCCGATCTCAGTTATTCCTTAGCAGTTTAGGACGATATTCCAACTCACCATTTCTGTGGTCTATGTATGGAAGCGGAGAGCTTCCTCAATGCTTTTGCCGGTAATTATAACATTTTGCTGTCTTTGAGATGCGATTTTAAAGTTATGCTAATAAACAAAAAATCTCTCTTGCAGAGCCTGTATTATATTCTTATCTCTATCCAAAAGCACTCTCTTGCTGGATGAGAATGTTATTCTAAGGATGTTTGTTTTAAGTGATACATACAAGGGCTCAGTTGTAGTCAGACCGGCATTCAATTTGACTAGCGTCTCTTTCTTTTTTTTAATTGTGCATAAATTTTATTATTTATCCAGTTTTTTATGTAATCTACAAAGATATTCGACCACAACCATATTCTTGAACAAATTTGATAAGTTATTATGTTTCCAATATTTTAATGTTTGATTTATTAACAATGACGTAAGTAATTTTCTTCCCTATTTTTTTTTTCATCTTTCATAGGCTTTGTGCAGTATTTGGTGGGATTTATCACTTGAAGAAAGGTGCTGAAGCATTGGTCATTTCAGATAGTGATAACTCTTGCAAAGGCATCGTGTCGGAAGATCAAATATTCTCGGCTCCTCATGTAGTTTTAGGTGTAAGTTCATTCCCGAAATCTTTCTTAGTCAATCCTGAAAAGAAGGGTCTGTCAAGAGGAATTTTTGTAACTGACAGGTAAGCAAAAATATGTCCTTTTTTATTCTTCTAGGGAACTATTTTGACATATTTATCTTGAAGGAACCATGTTGCTTGTAAACCCTACGCACATACTTCCTTTTAGCATGAGTATGTCCATTCGATAAGTTGAAAACGCCTCTTACTTTGGCCCAATGAGTCAGTCTTGTCAATTTTTTTAATGCATCATTCAAAAATATCAGATAAACTGAACTTAGATGTATTATTCTGATTTGTTAAAATGAGGGCAACTGAGAGAACAGTCCACTAAAAATGCAAAAAAATTTAGGCAGCCCTAAAAAAGGTTGGAGTTATTCTTTTTTTAATGCATCATCTTTTATTCGATTCTCTCAATTGAGCTATTCAGTTCAAAAGCATATTGTCTTTGTCTCTCTGAAACTCTGTAATTAGAAACAATCACTGCCTCTAAAGTAAACAATAATTTTCAACCTACATCTCTCGGAAGAAAACTTCTTAAAAATACAAAAAAACTAAGGAATACTTCTTTAATTAGCCATATTTAAATATTTTCCCTACAAATGTTCTCAAAACAGAGAAATATTCTGTAATGTACGTTTACACACTAATAATTCAATCCTTCACAGGTCCATCTTACCATCGGAGAAAGAACAACTAACTCTGCTTCAATACCCAATCAATAACAGGCTGATTACTGTGATAGAAGTTGGACCCGCCACATGTGCATGTCCAACAAATCAATGTACGTTAGTGTTTTTCTCTTATTTTGTGTTACCTTAGTATTGTCAGGCATTCTGGCATGCAGCTCTTGGACAAAGACTCTTTACTCAAGACCTTGAAACTATTTGATTTTTTGGATTACGTTTTAAAAGTGCTTGAAATTTTCTTTTTGATAATTCCCACAGATACCTAAGTGTAATTGAAAAGTTGAAGGAAAATATCTCCCAATGAAAATAAAGTAAAGTCTCTATCCTCAAAAAGGATAAAATAATCAGTCTACATTCTCATCATTAAAATTGGGCCCCGGGAAATGACCTGTGTGCGTTTGTGTAGGAATTAATTTTGAGAAGAGTGCTCAGAAAGTGCTTGAAAGGTGCTCAAATATTGCCTCTTCATCACCAAGGCAACATAATTGAACCTGGCATTCAAAAAACTGATTTTATGAAGGATGTTCAAATCCTCACACGAATTAACTTGGGCAAAATTCTTATCTGAGATAGAATTTATATTGTTTTCCATGGGGCAAATTGCAATTTATACCTTGTTGGAGAATTTCCGTTCAATCAGAATCTTGTTGGTTACGCCTGTGATTTGTTTTTTCAGATGTCGTTCACATGACTTGTAAACAGGAAGTATCTGCTCAAGAAGACTTATTACCTATTGTTTCCAATTTATTTAATCCATTTACACTTGAAGATGATGAAAAATCGGCTGATGCAGCAGTGAAGGTAATTTTTACATGTGTTAAAATGACTCGATGGCTGAAGGATTATGAATCAGAACGACACACGATATATTGCATTGGTCAGCCTCAAGTTTTTGTTTAACTGTTATTTTCATTGAATTTTGAGTTTACATTTATGTTTTCAAGAGACTTTTATTTACCAAATTAGGTAAACAATTTCAACGTAATAAGCACAGGTTTGCAACATCCATTTTTAAAGCAAATCCCTCCAGGTAGATAGAATTCTAACCCTACTAAATGACTCATCAAGGCTGAAGAACATTAAAACCCATTCATAATTTCAGCTCAATTGATGTATTTCTTAATTATCCTTGCCTGATTATTCCCTAATTTTTTGCATCACAGGGTGACTCAGCAGAAATTAGTGAAAATTGGAAGCCACGTTTGCTTTGGGCCCTCTATTACAATGTTTTGGATACCTCTCCGCAGTTTTTCAGCCCCAGTGTACCAGCAAATGTTCATCTTTGTTCTGGACCTGACGGTGATCTTGATTTTGATGCCTCTGTTAATCAGGTGAGTGGCTTTCAGACGTATTAATAACACAAGATGAAGGACAATCTGATCGAAATTTTTTACATGGAATCAAATGTCCAGTCATGGAAAAAAAATTTAATATTTTAACTTGTATGCAGAATTGTTTTTCAATGAGTAGATGTGCATATTTAGACAGGGAGAAAGGGATTGATGTGATGAAAGTCCATCAACCTTGATTCCTTGTAATTTTTTACTTTCCTTCAGTGTGAGGACCAGTTTGGTAAAGTCACAAGAAGAACGCATGTGCAATTACAGCAACTATAATCTCTCCACCTTCCTTTTTTGGAATGATAGGCTCAATTTTGTACCACCGAAAAATAACTCGGACTTACACTGAAGGAAATAAATAGAAAGAAAAAAGAGAATGGGATTTGTAAAAGTTGGCTTGCCTTTTTTTACATTGTATAATAAACAGAATTATCGGTAAGTTTGATTAACCCTTTCCGGTCCAATGTCGGATATATTCACCGTGAAAAATAACGCATTTAGGTCCAATGTCGGATATAGTCGCCCAAAAGTTTGAACTCCTGCGCAGGCCCGTTGTCGGGTATATTCAACTGCTCCAACAAGTGGCGGCCTCTGGTGGACCCTTTGGAAACCACTGTCTTTTTTGACAACATCGCTGCTACCTTAACCTTGCTTAATGGCGGCTGTGGTAAACTGCCGCGGACTGGAAAGGGCTAATTTCCTTTTATTTTCTCAAGAGGCAGAAAAAATAAGTTTTAGGCTTTCATGAATCCTCTACTGTCTGATCGTCTGAAATTAATAAACATCTATTTTTTTCAGGCTAAGTCAATTTTCTCGAGAATTTGCCCTGAGGAAGAGTTCTTACCTCGTGCTCCTGATCCTGAGGAAATAGTCCTAGAGGATGCAGAACCTGCTGAAGAGGAAAAACCGGAAGAGAGTTCAGAGAAAGAGACTACAAATGAGACTGCAAATCAAGAGAATGAATGTCTTTCATCTGAACAAGAAGCCAACGTGCAAGAAATTCAAACAGAAAAATAGAAGAGAAAAATTTGCCCTAGATAATTATTCCTCACAAAGGATGCACAGGATTTATCATCTCACCACCCCTTTGATTCAATTTTCAAAATTCTAAGGACATTTACTGCGAAAGCTCTGCAAAATATCAGTTACCATCACTTTAAATTTGATCTTGAAAGTTTTTGAGCTGTAAAAGCACCATGTTATAGTGATAATTGCAAAACGGATACATGATGATTTACAGTATTCACTTGTCCAATTCTGCTAGGGGTAATTCCAACCATTTTACCGTCAAATTTTTCACAATGATACCTGAACTACCTTAGAATGGTTTAAGTTTTTTGGCCAATCTATGGAGAATGTCTTGGAATTTGAAATTATCCAAATGTGGGAGTGGCATTTGAACGCCGTATGAAAGTTTGTGAAATCTTATTTGGCCGCCTAATAAAGTATAACTAGAAAATTCCATCATTTAATTTCTACACCTGTGCTAGTCTAGAATGGCTCCAACAATCAGACGACTTCAACCATAATCAGTTTAACTATTTCAGGCATTGCCTGACCTTCCTTTTATGTTTTATTTTTTCAACAGGAAGATAATATACATTTCGACTTGAAATGTGGATATTATTCTCTATAAGACCAATGAAATGTACAGAGAGCTTGAAGGCATTATGTTGTTAGGTTCTGTGTTAAAAAATATATCTTGATTGGAATTAGGCAACAGTTAGGCTGATTCCGGACAGAATCAGCTATATTTCCTACTTTGTTATCTTCTGATGAGATTTTCACTCTAATTTTTCTAATTACTTAAAGAATTTCTCAGGGCCTCCTCAGTTGTGATTCCTGCATGTTGACAACTCAGAAATTCCGATCTACTTATTTGCCTTTTACAGTCACTGTGTGCGAAATCAAACTTTGCTGTTTTTAAGCATGATGTCAAAAACCAAAGATTTTAGATTATTTTTTAGAAGTGGCGTCATTAACTTCGAAAAGTTAATTTTTGATTTACTGTATGATTTTTAACATTCACGATTTGCTCTCTCTCATGCTGATTATTTATGTGTATGTTAATGTGTATTTTAGCAAACACCCAAAACAAACTTGTTATTTTCTAGATAATTTTGTACGTCACTTTTTTTGAGCCTTCTTTGACCACTCAGTTTAATTTAGCCAGAAACTTTTGTTCATTTTTCATCATCTTCTAATTTTTTCAAGTAGGCCCCTTGAGCTCAATAAATGGCATGAATTTTCTCTTTTTCAATTTATTGGATTCAAAAGATTATTTTCCTAAACTGCTTAATGGACTACTAGACAGGGTCTGAACTGAATATTAACATCACATAAATTCTCTTCAAAATTTTCATAGAAAACGTACCTTACGATGGGAATTTCGTAAATCAATTTCTGAATGAGATATTTGCAGATATTTCGTACATTTGTCATTTAATCAATGTTATCAAATTTTGTAGATACTTATTCTTACCGATTTTTCTAAAATTGTTGATACTTTTACACTACCGCCATTTCGAGGAACCGCTCATCGTCAGGTGTTTAAAAAAATTTTATAAAATCTAAAATTATGGTGCGCTTTCACAATCATGAGAAGTCGTTCGGTATCCGCATTCGCGTTCATGATGTGACTGATAATGTGACCGATTTATAAAAATTTTTAAACACCTGAAGATGAGCGGTTGCTCAAAACGGCCGTACTGTAAAAAGTATCAAAAATTTTAGTAAAATCGGTAAGAAAAAGTTTCTACAAAATTTGATCAAGTATGGCCGATAAAGTTAACAAAAGAAGTGATTATCAATGTTAATTATGATCACTTATTTCTTGTTTAGGAGTTGATTTTCAGACCTCCCTTTGTGTGATTCGTTTTCATCGTGAAATTTTAAAGAGGAAACATCTTGCACAGTGTTTTCATTTGTACCTTGTCTATAGCCTCATTGTAACTTAGAGGATCTAACAGAGGCAGGAGAAAATACCATTTTTGTCATTTTAATTAAGGGACAGATGAAGAGCAAGCCCTTTGATTGCCCCGCAGCAGGCTGAATTTCACTTTTTAAAAAATATTCAAATGTTTCATTCAAATTGTAAAAATTAAATCGTCAGTTTTCTTTTTCAAATGCCTCACTGTTCTAATTTGTACAAGTAGGAAGTATATCATATAGGTACTCATATTCGTAACGCCTTGTCTCCACGGGATGTTCCCCATGTTCGAATCGCAGGAGTGAAACTTCTGGGCTTTTTTCCTGTTAAAAAACTTAACAAAATCTCTTCTTCTTCTTTTTATATCATTTCTGGGACTCCGCTAGAACTCTTAGTTGCCACTGTGATTAGTATTGACTAACTCAATATTTTTCCCAACTTCGCAAGTGAGATTTTTCCCTGGGACAAATCCCTTGAAACGTCCCGTGGAGACAAGGCCTAATGCAACAAAATGCTCTGCTGGACCTGAAATATAATCCAAGCTCAAGGGACTGCCACAAGCACAGACTTATTTAATTTTCAAATGTTTCTGCACAATAAACTGCCTTCATTATAGTTCAGCCAACTGGAAGCTGTGGCACAAATTTTTTTTTTTTTTTTTTAATTTTTATGATTGTTATTGTGTTTTGTTTGTTAAGTATTTCGAAAGTAAATATTTTATTTTATTGCTCTACACATTCAGTTTAATTGAATCAAGTTCCTTGAATTGTGAAAAATGTTATATTGCCGGTGAAACTATAAGACCATATATCTCAGTTTGCAGACTTCCTTTCATACTTGATTTTTTAAATGGAAAACATCTCATTGTTGATTCTTGAAAACTTGCTTGATTTTTCTTCCGAGTGCGAAGAAAGATCTGTAAAAACTTGAAGGAACGCTATTGATTTGCTCTTCTTCAAAAAAATAAAATGAGAGCCAAGATTTTTAATCACTGCGAACGGTTTACGTGGTCTGGTAGTTTCACCGGCGATATGCTGCCTGCCATTTTAGTCTAAGTTGCCTCCTTTTTCCTTTCTTAAAGTGGGCATAAGCTTTCACCAACTCCAAATCTTTTCAACTTAAAACAAATTCCAGTTTCATGCTCCAACAGGCACAACAAAATAAAATAATCAACATTTAGGGTGGTGCCTGATTTGAAGACCAGACAAAAACCTCAGGACTTATAAGATAATAAAACTCCAACAACAGATTTTAAAATAAATTATTCATTTATTTCAGATAAAAAATTATCCAGCTATCATAATTTGTTCAGTTTCTACAAATCTAATTTTAATTTTAATAGAGAATAAAACTTTGATGTCTGTGAATTGTGCAAACATGAACGAGTTTCTTCATATTCATTGATTCAACTCAGATAAGATTCATTGAGGGAGACTACATTCGATTTTGTTAAACTCTAAATGACAGGTAGCCTAAAAAATAAAAATTAACAATTACTTCCTTGAGAATAATACATTTTGTAAGTAGTTGGCAAGACTCAAATTTTCAACCGTGCACACCAAAAAAAAAAATAAATAAATAAATAAAAAAATCAACCCTGATGCCCTTGAATTTTTTCATGTTTGCTACGGCTACCGCTGAATTAAAACTTTCAGTACAGACCAAGGCTGTAGATCAAAATCTCAATTCAGAGGTTCTTTGCTTCACTGACTCGAACGGTTACCAACTCAGGTACAGAAAATATAGCACAGATGAAGGAGTATGGATATTTTAACTTTCGATACTTGACATTAAATGAAGAAAACTTAAAAATAAGAACCCGATACAATTTTGAAACTGCTTCACACACATACACACAAAAAAAGGTTAGGGAAAAAAATCTTTTGAACTGAAATCTACATTCACGTTCCTGCCCTTGTAATTTTGCCATTAAGAAAAATATCCACTGCTGTTCTTTCATCATGACTCTAACATTTCTTTAATAGGAGTAGGTACCTGAAGTGTTCATTAAAAGTAAAGGTAGGAAATGGTAGTCCCTGAGATGGAAGACACTTTGATCACCACAGAAAAAAGCCAACGACAAATTTCAGACCAAGTCCTAGAAGTGTAGATGAGACACGTGTTTTTGTTTCTTTATCTAAAGTACAGTGATCTAACCATAGTTTCTGTGTACTCTTAGGACGAGAAGCGTTAACCAATGGAAAGCTTTTACTTGAGTGTCCTCTTAAATTTTACTTCGATTAAAAAGCAGAAAAAAAAAATTACAGAATTCAGTGAACTAATAAAACAGGAAAAGATCTCCAGCAAGCCAATTTGAGCAGTCAGTGCCCCAAAAAAAAGATCTGGCTTCTCCCTGAATGCGGAAATTAAAAATTAAATAGTATATTCTATGCTCTTCACTATTGAAAAATAAGAGCGCAATATTAATACAATAGTAACGAAGACTCCCTCAATGAATCGTCCGATCAAAAAAAGTTTTTTGCAAATTAAGAAAAACATAAATTTTCCCTCAGATGACAAATGATAGAAAGCGAAAGTGCTACTGAAAATATCGATATTTATAATTTGAAATCAAACTGCCTTTTGGTATCTTACTCGAAAGGAAGACCAAGTTCCTCTAGAAACTAGAGGGGAAAAATTAAAGAAGGTGCCATAGACTTTAGGCTAAACACACTTAACAAAAGGGACACAAAGATTGACTGGCCTACCAGCTTTTCTGTTTCGTAGGACAGAATGACGCTTTTGTCGAGTCACGACACTCGGAGGGAATATAATTTAATCACATTTAACGATCATGCAAGAGAGTAGGTTGTGGCATTGAAAAAGTCACATTTTCTTTTTCTTTTTTTTAATTTTGAGCTTCGATGGTTGTTTTATAGTCATGTACATGCTGCCAATTTTTCATTTTTATCCATCCCCAGGGTTTCCGCTGAGTTGGGAGAAATTCCATGAAAGTTCCCTACCATTTTATCTAAAATTTACCTCAAAGTTCTCAATTCCTTACCAGGGTTATTATTTTATGATCTTTGAAAACTCATACATCAAACAGGAGAAAAAAATGTTGCATCTTTACCAAACAAATTTTCCCAATTTTTAGCCACATACTCGCGCTTAGAGCAGTAGCCAAATAGTAAAACTCTTCATTTGATGCACTTATTAGATACAATGGCGGAGTAACCATTTTTGACAGCATTACTTTTAATATAAAAAACGACAATGATAAATGATTTTTGAATCAATAACTTACAAAAAATCAAAATTTACTTGACCAGTTATAATATTGTACTGACGATATTTATACTTTCACAGCTTGGTGGGAAAAAGAAACTGTACGGATAATTTCTAGGTTACATTTACTTCAGATCAACAAATGGGTCACTACTTGCAGCAGCCGGATTGTTGAAACTTTAACTGGCTATGTCGGCACGATAAGACAAGACATAGCCCTATCTGCGCCGTGTAATATATCGATTTTCGATTCTTGTCGTGCCGACATAAATTTCAACAATCAGGCTGCTGGAAGGGGGCATTTATTTATCATTGAAATGTATCAATTTTGATCTTCTTAATTGAAAAAGAATTATTTTCTTCCTAAAAACTGCAGCCACTCTATCTAGTATTTTACAAGTGCAGTAGAATCCTATTATTGGTCAAATATTTGGCTGAAGAAATAAACTGAGTTCTAGACACTGATCTTTCATGCTCTCTTTGACCTTTGACCAAGTCTCTAAGAATACAATTTTTCCAAAAAAATAATAGGCAATGCGATTTGTATGAGAAAAAATAAAAAAAGTACAATGCAATTCAAGACGTTCTGGTCCTTCTTCCGAACCTTACGTGCTAAGTTGACGCAAAATTTCATTTTACTTCATTTCTAATGCTTTTGTGTACTAGAGGATTCCTATTTTCAGTTACTTATTACCTTTAACCGAAATCACTTCAGAAGAAACTACACTGTACTTGTTTTTGCTCGAGTTGCAATGGAAATTACTATGGTCAGAAATGAGAGCAATGTACATATTAAGGGGTCTTTGGAATCCACCACTACTCTAAAAGCCATATGTGAGGAACTCTATAAATGACCAAACTAAAGCTCAAAACTAAACACATTTTGTACTTTTTCAATATCACAGTTAAAATTTTTATACATGCATTCACGAGACATCTAAGTGTAGCGAAACTCTAAAACAACACCTTCCACTAGAGTTTGTATCTTGCCCCTTTCTGATTGAAGACTGCTTTCTGCTTGATTGCAAGACATTAAAAAATAAAAATCGATAAAATAAAAAATACAAAAACAGGTTGTACCGGGTTACTTTGGTGCCGAATTCTACATACTGAACGTTCTTTTCTTCCATTTCAGATTGAAGCCTTTCGATCAAATGTAAGAAAATTAATTCATTATTTATTGGACAGTTTTTTTTTGCATTTTGAAAGAATTTTTTATATGTATAACTTTGCATGGTTGAGGTTAAATAATCTACCTCCACACACCACCATTGTCACCATTGAACATCAAATTATTCGTCAAACTAGTCTGGTATCAAACCCTTTTAAAATTTTAATTTGAGCACAACAAAAAAGCTACAGGGGGACGATCTGGAGTGCTGATGCTCCAATAAAGCTTTGTCACCCCTCGCATAGTTTTAATAACGATAAATGTAAAAAAAATCCTCCCTCATTCTATGAAAAATTGACAATCTTTCACTTTAGCATGTCCTCACTTTGTGGAAAGCAGACTCTCTTTTAGCAACCGCTCATACATTATCAAGCGAGCGGGATACATTTTCAAACATCATTTTAAAGAAAACTTACGTGCAGAGAGATGACCATTTCAAAAACGCCTGATTGTAAGTAGACAGTTTCCTAATGGCTACTTACTTTCGCATAATACCAATGCAATGAGGGCGTAATTGCAAAATGCTTTAAGTAAGTATTGCGCGCACCAGAGTACCTTAGTGGTAACATTTAACATTTCTTGTCCATCCTGGACACAAAAAAAACTTGACATGGATTCCTTTCATAGAATGTCCTATCAGAGCTACAGCATTGCTTGAAAATGCTTCATTTTGTCTACGAAACAAAAAGGTGACAAGACTCAACATCTTACTACTCTACAGAGGCATCAGATTAATCTCATAACATCTAATATTAATCAATTAAATTAAAAATTAATTTAATTAATTAATTAGTTAAATTAAACGTTCAACGATTACTCTCCCAAGTTACAGGATAATTAATACAGTAGCTGGAGAAACGTGGACCGAGGCTATTGCATGGCTCACAAGGAACAAGAACGAAGCGAAAAATCGTTACTTGCAACAAGGGCAGTGTACCAATTGTTGATGCTGTCGATACGACTAGACAAGACAAAGCCCTATCTTGTGGGTAAATCGCATTTTGATGTCTTATCAAGTTGACATTAAACTTCAACAATTGATCCGCTGATTTGCAAAACTTCAAGAACCATAATGCCGTGCTAAGTAAAAACGGCACACGCGCATTAGAATGTTGCCAAGTTTCCTCTCAGAAAATATTTATTTTTGTAGAAAGTTATGAATATTTTTGATTAACGTTTTCAGACTTTTAAAATCAAATTATAGACGAAATCCTCTGAAAATCAGAAGAGAAAAATTCATAAATTTTCCTGAAAATTCGTGATTTGTTGGAGGAAATTTGGCAACATTTGATGGTTTGTACGGAGTTTTGCCTTAGCACGGCAGTATAGTATCTGCTGTCCAATATAGCTCTGATGACTCATGAGTTTTTATGCTATCCCCTTGTTGCGCACCACAATTCAATTGAGTGAGAGGCACAAAATAAACCACTTTCGACCATATTAGCAAAAATGTCTCCTGATTAAAATGACTAAATTCGATTCCTAATTGTAAAGAAAATTGACCCAAATTTCAAACACCATCATCATTAGGTTCCAACAAAATTTGGGAAATGAACTTCCCCGTTATTTCCACGATTTCCTGGAATCATTTTCTGAAATTTGACGATTTTCGGGATGATTGAAAAGGTATTAATCTGAAATGGTTTCCTCGGAAAATTTGTTGTTCAAAACGTCAAACTCATCCTAGAAAGCAGATAACAGCGATTTAACAGGGTATCTACTAGAATTTCATTTTACATTTTCCTGACATTTTAGATGAATTTTTCTGATTTTTTTTCTGCGTGAATAAATTGTCATTCGTTTGATTTTACAAACTGGCATATTTAATCGATTGAATCAACTGTTGCACTTTGTCATGCTGATAAACTGCATGTGGTTGAGAAATGCTTGATGGCCTAGGAATTCCCTGATTCATAACCGATTTTCCTAATATTTTCCTGATTTTTTTTTTAAGGACATCAAAATTCCTGATACTTACCGGTTTTAACTGACGGTAGACACCCTGTTTAACGATTTTTCCTGACATTTTTGCCAGTTTCCCTGCCATTTCCAAGTTTTCCCTGACTTTTTGAAATTCCCTGACTGTGACAACCCTTCATCATGAATTCAAGATTTATCCAAAAGTATGTTAGGAGGATTGACATTATGCTAATATGGTCAATTCACACACTGTACTTATCAGCTACAGCCTCAGAGAGGCTCCCTCTTACTGAAGATCAGGTAACGGACAAAAACTGCAAGACTACAAATAAACTGGATCTGCTCACTAAAAACCGATCAGATATACAATTAAAACTTTTAAAGTTATCATTTAACTTCTACTCTATAGGATCACAGAATAGGTACATTTCACATTTTTTAAAATGCAACTTTTTCTAAAATGCAGAATTGGCACTATCTTGAATGAGTCAGTCCGTAAGTGTCTCTTGAACTATTTTGCAAGCTAACTTACCAGTTGGGTAAGTCAAAATCAAAAGATTAATTTCTGGAATGGACCACTAGACAAGATGCAAATTTAAGCATTAGGCTTTGTCTCCAACGTGACGTTTCCATGAGATTAGTCCCGGGGAAAAGTCTGTTACAAAGTCAGGAAAAATTATGACTGACTCAATATTAATCGCAGTACTAAATATGGGTCCTTGTGGATATCTAATAATAAATCCAACTAAGAGAGGAAGAATAGAAAGCAAATTGTATGATCTTTCCTTGTTTACTCGATTGCTTGTGTTTGTTTACTTCAATTAATTTGCATAATTGTTAGTGACGCTCAATCATTATCTTAATGCCAGTTACGTACTCGATTATAACAAATTTATCTTCACGCGCAAACTTGTCCCAGGAAAAGCCCTGTTCCATAAAGACGGTAACTGCCGAAAATCCCCCAAGTTTCATTCTTAGGATTTGACTTTGGGACAATTCCCATGAAAGCCTTGCGTGGAGACAAGGCCTTATGATAAAATGTTTTCTCTTTGAAACATCTAATATCAATCTTATTACGATTTGTGCAACAATAATCATCGAAAGAAACTTCTGACAAAGATATTAATGCTTTTTAGTGCTTTTAGATTCGAAATTCCCGCTCATGAAAAAACCCGTAGTCTACTCAAGTTAAATTGTGTACTGAACATTACCGTGACAGTCTTTGCAGCATGAAAATATGACAACTTCAATATCCACACTTCGGCTAAGCTATTGAACACTGTCTACATTTTGTACAACACAAACTGCTTATTGAAAAAGCATGCCAAAACTGTTAGGATTTGTGATTTGATTTATATAGACTCTTGTTTTTCTTCTGAGCAGGAAGTTTGAAAGTAGGAATCGGAAAATGTTAATATCTTGATTAAGAGTTGATTTTAGTGACTATTATAGTGCGAGTCATGTTCTGAGTGAAATTTTGAAGAGGAAACATAGGTACATCAAAATGCTTCAATTGGTACTTCGTCTAATGATACATTGGAAAAATGTATGATAATTGGTCAGTTCATCTAAAAAATGTATACCTGACTTTTCTTAAATACCAAGGACCAATTTGATTACTTCATTTTATGGCAGTTTAAATGGGGAGGGGGGAGGGGAGGATTACAATACACATGGAAACAGAATAATTTACAATCTTATTACAACAATAGGGTGTCTATGCCTTGGAGCTGTTTTGCAGAGCGCAAAAAAGGACTGAGAGTTGAGTCCTGAGCTTCTACCTCCTGCAAATATGAGAGCTGGAGAAAGCAGTAGTGACTCCATTTTCAGCTCTCCTTTGCGACGTTCAAAAACAGCATTAGAGACATCCACAGAGTTACCAAGGTGCCGACCAACTTCAGGAGGAAGATTTTTGGTTTAAAATCTCAAAACCTGTGGATTGACAATCAACCAACATGTATGTGTAAGGAGGGCAATTTCTATGTTGTTCAATTTTGAAACTGACAGCAGAGTTCTCAGTTTCCATTAGTCAAGTTGTAGTTGAATCTTTCATTTTCAGAACGACTTTTTTCATGCTGAATCTATTGGTACTGCACAGATTTCATTAATTCCTGTAAAATTTAATTTTGCAGATAAGTACTTCCTCTAACCAGACGGATAGGATTTTTCACCATCTTGTATGTTAGGACTGATAAAATGTAAAAAAATTAAACATGAGGAAAAAATACCAGTCTTCTGCATAAAATTTGAGGTGAAAATCAATTCCCAGTTGTTTGCCAGTCCTGTAAACACCCTGTTCTTTCCATGGATGTCACTTTGTTGGTCAGGATCTATTTCATAAATTAAAAGCAAGGATAGCTCAAGCTGAGACAAAATACGGTCAAATATTTGGAGAACTTAAGCTTTTAAGAGGAAGTGCGTTACGCCAATAATGATACTTGAAAAAGAAATTTAGTCTTACCAAAATCATTCTTGGACAGTATCAATGATCATGATGATTTTAATGTATAGGATGTAAGTAATATTGCACAAGGAAATGATGGGTGACAGGGAGGGTGTAAAGATGTACCGAAAAAAATTTTGAAAAAAATTCCGGTGAAGGAGCACCAAGAGGCTGCATTAGAATAAACGTCAAACATTCACATGCAGTTACGAAAAACTCGGAGCTACTTAGAATAGGAACGTCCGTTGGACGCAAGTTCCCGTTAAAAAAAAATTTAAAAATATTTTTAATGACGGTAATCTCAGATAAATGCAAGAACAAATGTACAGTTAGTCTAGATAGTTGAACAGCAACGATGACGAAAATAAGTTATTAAAACATCCATATGGTTTAAAAAAATAGTTATTTGAGATCCACTCACTCAAACGAACAAACACGTCATCCGAGGATGAGAAACAAAAAATAGATTGAGTTAAAAATAAATCTGATCAATAAGGGAATGGAGTATCGTCGGAGTCATCACAAACGTCAACATTTGATTTTTTAAAATTCAAAACCGATTTCGATCGCCATTTCGAGCGTTGTTATTGCGAAAATTGACGGAACTGATAATAAAAAGTAGAAAACTAAATCTATCTACTGGTTTTTAAAATGACTATACATGCAACGCACACGATAAAATTCAATGAGGGGAGGGAGGAAAAAAAGAAGTGGGGGGAGGGAGGGTAGAGTATATACATGTTTTGTTCTTTCAACAAAACTGAAAAACAGTAATGAATTAAGTATAATAAAACTGAATCGGGGACTCTTGTTGTTGTAAAAGTGATTTATTTACACGGAGGATGTGACGGTTGGCGTTGCTGGATCCATCTCGTTGCTTCAAACATCAGTGAGCCCTGGCTGCTACCTTCTTGATGAGATTATGCCATTACTAGTACTAGGTAAACTTGGAGTCATTTCTAATTCTACCAGCAGAGGAAAGTGATCTATGAAACCAAAGAAAGTAAATTATGTAATGTTTCTACAATGATTTGTATTCAAAATCAGGCACTCATACTGTATGACTAGGGGTGTTCAAACGAATTCTTGCCGGAACACTTTCCATATCGTCTCTTATTGAAACTGGCGCAGTACCGACAGTGGCGATGATATCGACAACAGCCGGCCTTATCGGATTTTTGAGAGCTCGCACTCAATGCATTATTGCCCTGTGTGTCGGTTTATCAGATTGCCTGGCGCGGTGGCGCGTAGAATAGATGTACAAATGGCAACAGCTTATTTTCGTCCGCTCCAAAAACTCTGATCGCTATCCACATGAGCGCTCTTATCGTAAATTTTTCTTAACGGAACTGTTTCGGTAGCTTACCGACAACCGATAGAACAGCCCTATGTATGACTTTAACATTTCTTCACATTTCTGTGTGGGACTCGGGGAATGACCTATCCTTTCATCTGTCATCGCCGGCAGATGATGCACATTTTTGTTTAATCATTATGTCTATAATTGTTGACCGTGCTCATTCCCTAATTTTTCTCTGCTTTTCAATAGCTTATTCTTAAATGAGAAATTTAAGTTTTTTTCCACTTCTCCAGGACTTTCTTCAGAAAAACTGAATAATTCTCCAGAGTTCCAGATATGACGATCGATTTTTTTCACCTTTTAGCTGATTCTCTGGCTCACATTAAAATTTTTGATGTTTATATTATCCGGTCGATGAAAGCTTCTCTGTCATGCTAAAAAAAAAGGCCGTATGAACATTCGAGAGTTGCCAAATTTCTATCGATAAAATGTTTATTTTTGAGAAAAATTATGAGTATTTTTCCTTGAAATTTTCAGACACTTTAGATCAAATTAAAAACAAAATTATCTGAGAAATTGGCAGAAAAATATTCAAAAAATTTCCTGAAAATTAGTGATTTGCCAGAAGAAATTTGGCAATGCCTGAAGGCTCATACGGCGTTTTTCCTTAGCACGGCAGTTCTCTATTATTATGTCCATTTAAAATTGGTTCAATAATGACAAGTCAGGTGCAGTAACATAACGTTAAAATATTCTATAAGCAGTAGAAGAGATTCCCAGTTTTTGGAACAGATTCTCAGATTTTTCCCTGATTTTCCCTTGAATTTTTCATTTCCTGATAAAGCCTGGTTTTTTTCAACCCTTGACATAAGTTTAATCGATAAGCCCAGTTCTCTTGGATCTTAAAACTTCCTGACTTTCCCATAACTTTTCGGCGGTTTTTTTTTGTGTAATTTCTCATAAAAATGCTTTTATTGCACTTTGTGAATGTGAGGAAAGCAAGGAAAAGAGACGTATTTGATTCTCAATTGATTTTCACATCATGATAAATGTACGGCGGTTGAAAAAAAGCATGAGTTATGTAACCTACATATGATTGAATGTATGGGAAGGAACCTCATTTTCTGGGAGAAAATTTTATGAAAAACTATATTTATCTACAAACAACCTAAAAACTTGTGTCCCGGAACTTCACGACTTTATCTCCTTCAATTTTTTGAGCTTTAACTCAAACTTGCGCCAAAATTTCTAGATTTTCTTCCCCCATGCAGAGGTACCAATTATTCAATTTAAATTTTTGCAAGTAAGGGTCCCTTTTCACAGATCCAGTAAAAAATGTTGACATTATTAACAGATACAGCGATGGTTGGTTTTTGTGTTTCTTGAATTTCCAAAATAAATGCTTCGCCTAACTGGAAAATACATTTATATCAGCTAAGAAATGACTTTAGTACATAGTACAACTATTCTAGTTTGCATTTTAAGACAGATAAGATATAGCCAGAATGTGAGGAAAAACAGTTGAAAAAAATTGTTAGCAGTCAAAAAACTCTCATGACTTGATCATTTCTCAATTTTCTGGGTGTCTAGTTTTTTTTGTTTCGAGAAATCCTGATTTTTCCTTTTTTAGCCTACTAAATCCTGATTTCATAATTCTTCCAAATCCTGATTTTTGCGGAGAAAAAATTAAACTTCTGCATAAGCGTATACTAAAGCATAAAAAAATCCAATCGGACAGCCGACTTTTCTCAAATCCTGATTTTACTACCAATATTTCCTCAAATCCTAATGAAATCAGGGGTAAATCCTGATGCTAAACACCCTGAATTTACAATTAGAGGAAAATACAAGGGTATTGATCTACAATTCGTTGCATACTTTTGAAAGGCAGTTGCTCATCTTTGATTTTAAAAGGCAAAAAAACACCAAGTAGACATCGATTTTAGGAGAACTTTGAATCCAAAACTGTGAGATACAAAAAAGGAGCTTACCTGAGGGTATATGTGGATGGGGACATCCTATGACTTTGTTGTCTCGCAACCAGTCGGCTGCTAATGGTCCCAGTAATCCTAGTGGTGTCATGTTCTGCTTTGAGTAAAATATGTAGTCTATGATACCTTTGAAATGAAACCTGTAGGCGGAAAAACAACAGAGAAAACAGGCATTAAATCAATACAATCAAGCGATGAATACTTTCTTTAAACATTGAACATTTAAATATTGACAGGAAATGCAGTGATGAGAAAGTGTAAACCGATGGTTTTACGAATTATTATTGTTTACGTAAATGCTAAGAAAATAAGAAAAATTTGAAGTTGAAACCTTCTTATACACACAAGCCCACAGTGGCCCTTTAAGTGCCACAGTATACAGGATGTCTACTAAAAATTAATTTTGGATTTTCCTGATACTTTAAATGGAGTTTCTTGATTTTTTGTGGAAATAAATTGACACTTGTTTGATTTTACAAATCAAAGTGTTAAATGAGTTGAATCAAATGTTTCACTTTTGCATGTGCTAAACTGCATGTAGTTAAAAATTCTGAACACACTTAGAATTTCTTGATCTACGACCAACTTTCCTGATGTTTTTCAGTTTCAACTGACAGTGGCTACTCCGAAAAAGCATGCTTTTCCTGAAAGATTGAAGTCTCTTTTGTGTGAAATTCCTTGTTCAAAAAACCAGTACAGAACACATTCCCATGATTTTGCTGACAATGTGTTGATAGAATTATGTTGAAAACCCAATTTTTGCAATCAAGGATTTAAAGTGATGAAAACTTGTTTCTAGGCATCTTAATGTACACTAAAAAACGGCCACTGAATTTTCTTTCTTGAAATGACAGCTGGCAAAATATAACTTTCAAATTTCCAAAGGATCTAATTTACATTCATAATAGATATGTGCAAGATTTTTGAAAGGTGGGTTTATTTAATATCTGAAGTGATACGGATGACAAACACTTACGTGTAATTAGTATACGGCATAATATCCTCACTATAGGCGGACGCTAGCTTGTAGGAATGTGTGAATTCATTCGACTGATCACAGTCTGAGATCTTCGACAAAACCGATTTGTAAGGCAAATCTTTGAAATCTTGATGATCAGCTGAGACGCGCCCCGTCGATAAAAATTCTATCACACCTGTGAAACCACATTTTGAAATTGGTAAAAAAAAAAAAATTGTTGAAGGGCTCAATACTGAACTACATAAAGATGTCACTTTGTGAGAACTTAAAAGGGACAGAATTTCTATTTTACTCCATGCAATGGATCAGAAATTCTCTTCATAAGAACTCAAAAAGTTCTGCAGAGTTGATTAGATGCTTTCCAAACCTGAAGTTCAAATTTTGTTACATTAAATCAAATCGTCAATTTCAAGTTCAACTACTTTTAACTTTTATCCTCCATTTTGACGAATAAGCAAGAGCAAATTTAAGCTTTTGTGGTCCAACACTTTAGTAAAATTTTAATATTTTTATGTAGTTAGAGGCTGTCCTTTTTAAATTTTGTAAATATATTTTAATTACTGCATATAGTGATGCCATGACTGAAAGTTGACGATTTTGAAAAGAGATTGAAGGAAATATCAGCTGAGATTTGCTTTCAGACACAATAAACTTCTTTTACCAAAAGAGAAACATATTTCTTTGCAATGTTTGATGTTCGCCGACATCCAGAAGGAATTCAATCACAGAAAAAAAAAAGCTTCGTCAGAGCTGAAACTCACCTGAGTCCGGTAAGGAATTGAAATCCCCACAGAGTAACAACTGAACCGCATTTGAATCTGGCTTGTGTCCAGATTTGTTGAAGCTAAGGCTGGTCTCCTCTAGAATGTGCTTGAGTTCAGCCGACAGCATCATAATCTGGATCAGTTTGACATCACAGAACTCCGGATCCCAATGAATGTGAGCCGTACAGACTAAAACAGGTTGAGCCACTTGCGCTGGGTCTGGCGGTAGACCTGAAAAACGATTTTTGATTGGATAAAGAAATCTCTTAAGGTCGATCCACAGTCATCCATTTTTGTCCAGCAGGTAAGAAAACAATTAACAGCTGCGGCTGTCCCCTTGATTATCGAGTCCAAAATTTTAATTCATCACTCTTTCCATGGGAATGTAAAGACAGAATTCGATTACTTACAAGGTGATAGTGTGGGAGACTTCTACTAGGTACAGTTCCTTCAATGGTAAAGCAAACGCCTCAAGGAAAAAAGATGACTTAAATAGATACTACTTGAATGGATTGATGTCAGGCCTCATAATATGTATTGTTATTTTCAAAAACATAGCAACTGACGAATTGTGTTGTGAACCATCCATGGATTAAATATCTCTCAATTTCCTAATTTTTCATCCCTCACACATTGTTTTGGCAAAATGAGGAATTTGTAGGGGTCTGAAATTTGATGAATTTCATATTTGAGTGGAAACTTCTGAGTGAAACTGAGCTAAAGGTATTCTCGCTTTCAAAATGGAAGAATTTTTGGAGTTGATAAGGCAAAATAATCTTCTCTGCTGAAGGGATAGCACAAGGGACATGCTCATGATTTAGATCACTTGTACCAATAGCTAGTATTTTTAAGCTAAAATTTCACAATAGAGATTCTCCCCATAAAATTAAAAAAAAAATAAAATTATCTTCGATCTTCCAGTGATGGTTGCAAACATAGCACTAAAAGAAAATGAGCCGACAGATTTTGTATGCCTGATTACTTGAAACTCCTTCCTCACAAATCTTGATTCACCTTATACCATCCAATATAGAGAGAAAAATAAAACGTTTACTCTGAAATTGTTTCGAAACTGCTTAATTGGACTCCTAGAGAGTTGGAAAGTTTCTTTAATGCTTGGTACAAGAATTCAACTTTAGTTTTTCACCAAAAAACGCATAAGAACATTTCCCTCTGATTGTTTTTCGTTGGTCATAGATATGCAAAAACTATGATTTCAAATCAACATTTAAAATATCAACACTGCCTATGGGACATTTTTTTAGGCAAATTACCTAAAGGTGACAATGCTATTTACTGAACAAATTGACGAGTGAAAAAGCTTGATGTTCAGAGAAATTCTGTACGATAAAGCCATGGTAACTTTCGAAGGATTCATCATCTATCTTTTCCATACTGGGTAAAACAAAAAATATTATCAACTCATTCGCATGGTTTAAGTAGTCTTAGAAACAAAGAGCCTAGAATTTTTGAAGCTGACATTTTTCAGACTGTACTTCTACACCATCAGTTCCCTTCCACAATTGATATTTTTCATTGGGAAAATTAATCTGAATCCGTTTCTCCATCGCCAGTTTATTTGGACGAAATTTCACAGAAAAGCACTAAGTTTCATTAAGTATGAACAAGTTTTAGTCCTCCACGAGACTCAATGTTAAAGAGGAAATCAACTATTTTAACCTTGAAAATATTTTTCTCTTGTCTTTGAAAGTACGATAAGAGAGACTCTACGCTAGTTGAATTTTAGACTTTTCTCAACTTTTTTCCCCCCAAACTGCAACAGGGTGCGTTTTTGTTAAAAGCAGTCCATTTGATAGTAAATGCTTTATATTACGTGTTTACAATCTGACACCCTAGAATATTTTTTAACCAAACACCACCAAAAAAATTAAAAATTTAAGCGCTTTTTAACTAGTTTTCAAGATTGCATAAGCCTTGACGGTAAAATTTTGAGAAATTAACCAGGGGGATAACTTTTTCAGATGACCAATAAGCAGGTTCTGCAAAACGGATTTAAAGAAAAACCCTTTCAAAAAACAGTTCAATTTTTTAGAAATATTGAGACAACATAAATTGCTCATGGACTCAATCCAAGTATAATTCTTTCCATGCACTTGTAGGCATTTTCTCTGTTTCTTTCTGAAAGTTTAGCTACCCAAGCTGATGGTTGACTCATTGTCTTCCGTGAATCAGCTAAAGTATTAAGATAAGATAACCAACAGTACGATTAAGAAAGCCCCTAACATTTCAATTTGATGACTGACCAAATTACTTTAGAACTGATGTATTTTCCTGGTTCTTTGCGACTGATTCCAAAGGAATTTCCCTAATTTTGATGAAAAACTAACATTATCATTTTGAAAGAGAAACACAGAAGTATGTGCATCCATTTGTAGCTAGGTTTTGCTTGGTTCATGGCAAGGATCAAACAAGAAGGCCAAAACAGGTACGGGTAACGTATCAAATATATTTAAAATTTTACAAACTTTGAAACGAATCTTAAGCCAATGTTCAAATCAGAACACTTAAAAAAGGTAGAACAAAAATAACTTTACAAATCTATTAAATTATTTGTTTACAATGACCTTAAAATAACACCAGAAGCGCAAAAACACCGTATAATAAAATACATGGGTAAACAAATAAAAGCCTTTGATTAGAGTCATTTGATACCGAAACGAAGATTTGAGAAGCAGAGAAACTGCACCAGAAGATGGCAAGAGCCGTTAGAGCCCAACCTACTACGTTTGTTTGCAAAGGGATAAATAAGCTTAGACACGACAAGAAAATCATGGGTATGATCGAATAACCCAAAACAGAGGCGACAAAAGTCAGCGTCATGGCTGTTGTATTTGTCATTAGATTCAGTAAAAAGTACATCATGAGACAGCTTGTAACTGCAAGACCATAGACATACCCAAAATTGATTTTGCTACCCATTACAATTAGAAGCCCTCCTAGCGTTAAACAATAACAAACAGGACCGACTAAATCTACATCGTCAAACGGCACTGACTGGAACGGATTCAGGACCGCCAAGGATCTGTCCAAAATTTTAGATGGTTCGATGCCCAGTTCTTCCAACAATGGCGGCTCGTTATCGAAGTCCGTGTTCATGCTAGGTCCATCGGAGTAACCACCGTACATGTTGCCGCCTGCAAGATTGTCATTCGGGACAAGGAACGAAACTGGTGTAGTGTGCTGTTGTTGATAGCTGACATTGGGATTGGAAACGTAGAAGCCTGACTCACTGAACTGATCAGCAGTTTGATCACCCTCCATCGGCCAGTATGAGTTGAATCCGGCAGGATTTTCGGACATGGTGAAGCAGTTTTAAGACACAACAATACGGAACACAATTTGCATCCGGAGGACTAGGCAGGAGGCGACAAAGTTCACGGCATGAGAGCGAAAAGTAGCGAAAAAATTGAAACGTGAGCGAACGCAATAATGAAATTTCGAAACGCACAGAAAAAATGATGAAAAACGGAGAGAATTCTGGATCAAGACGATGAAATTCGGAAGAGCCGAGACGTGTAAACAAATGAGAGGTAACACATAACCTAAAAACAGTGGATTGAGAGTTCAGGTGTACCAACTTCGTTGAAAAATAACGATGACGAACCACTTCCTCGGGTTGCGTGAAAAGTGAGAAACAACGCACAAAATGCTGATAGAAGAATCAAAATTACGTATTTACAGAATACTCTAATAGATATAAACCATTCAACTGAAAATTTTAGGACACAGAAGGAATTGTTCGAAACAAAATATTATGTACTACGTGTGATTATGCACTGCAACGTTTGCTGACGTGGAGCTATTTTAGAACGTGAAAAGACGGGAAAAATACAGAATTTTGGAAAAAATCGTCGAAATTGAAATATTTTTCTGAAGACCAAGAGAAAATGACTCTGAGAAGTAAAATAATATAAGGGAAAATGTGTTACGTTTTTTAAACATACGCAAGGGCATGATATGCCAATCGTGCGTGTGAAGGACGAAGGGTATTCAGGTGAA